CTTTGTTCTTTATACTATGGCAGAAGTGCACGTTATGGCACTTAATGCTACTATACAATGTAAAACCCACTTTTCACAATTTATGTTATAAGTCCCATGTAATAGGGGGTGAGCCTATTGCCATATACCGGGAACATTTCCAAACTCCGTGCTACTACTGAGGTGTTTATCTGTCGGGTAAAATATTACTGGGTTTGTGTGTGTACAAACCCAGTAATATATTACCCGACCCGGGAATCGAACCCCCTTGCCAATGAGGCAGTCTTTCTATATACATTTCTATCTAATCCCAAGGATTTATATAATTTATCTAATTAATATGCACAGAACTGATGGCACAGATTGATCACAGATATTTAAATTCAGTGACATTTACAAAAGTCAGCCAGCTAACATTATCATGTAAATTATTTTTGTTCGTTATGAAATGTTTGTCGTCAAGCGATAGAAGAACTTGTAAATTATGAAAGTTTGTTGTCGTGTTTATTTTAGATCCGTCTTTGAAATAGTGAAAATACTTCATAATAACATAACATCACGTTTTTTATCCCCGAAGGGGTAGGCGGAGGTGCACATTATGCCATTATACAATGTAACACCCACTTTTCACTATTTATGTTATGACTCCCATGTAATAGGGGGTGAGCCTATTGCCATATACCGAGCACAATCCCAGATTCCGTGCTACTACTGAGAATTTAAAAAAACAGTAATACTTTGCCCGACCCGGGAATCGAACCCGAGACCCCTTGCGAGGCCCGGCAGTCGCACTTGCGACCACTCGGTCAATGACTACCTCGTTAGCCGAGTGGTTACACGTGCGACGTACTCATAATAGTCTTATTTCATAATAGATAGGTACCTATAACCTGGGTACAACTAATAGTTTGATTTTGCCTTCACAAAACCCAAATATAAATTCAGTCATCAGTCTTTTTATGCCAAAGTTGGCCCTTCTTCAATATATCGCCAATCTCAAACATATAGAGCGCCCTCTACCTCTATACTTTAAATCTGCTTTCAACCATCCTTTCTACACGTCTAAACCTTCGTAACATTCCCTTTTTAATCCTTGTCATTACATCGTCTTACAATTCACACTTTTCTCTAATCACACTATTTTGTACAGACGCATCACCTGATGATAAGCAATCGGCGTCGCCTATGAACACCCGGAACACCAGAGGCGTTACAAGTGCGTTACCGGCCTTTTGGGGATTAGGAATTTGACGATTGTTGGGGATTCGGGGATTGGGGGATTGTGGAAGGGGGGGGGGATAACTGGATCTCACTCATACGACGAAACACAACGCGAGCGTTGTTTCACGACAGTTTTCTATAATTTTTTTCTTTAATCTTTATGAGTAGACAGTGAGACAAAGTCAAATGGAAACCCTTGTCAATCGATTAGACATATTGTTTAATTATTTTAATTAATTATCTAACTAATTGCCACATGATTAATCAAAGACATTTTAACAGCTCATTATATAGAAATAGTCACGACACTGCCTCATGTTAAACTCAATGATCGGAAATGATCAATTTTAATGAACATCCTATGATAATTTCCTATTAATTACATGTAAATTCTAGTAATCAGTAAAACCAATTAATGACAGATAAGTGCGTAGGGAAATCAATTAACCATATTTGCGACTTCGTTAATTAGGTTTGTAAATTCAACTTTCCATATATACTTTTCTGTTGTTTACTAATCAGGTGTTCCTAATTTATTTAAATAACTAGCTCTTGCCCGTGACTTCGTCCGCGTAGAAAATGATTCCAGTTTTATCCCATGGAAGCATTTAATGGGGATAAAAGTATCGTATCACCTACATCACCCCATACCCTGCCTAGTGCCTGTATACTAATTTCATCAAAATCCGTTCAGTAGTGTCAGCGTGATTGACGGACAAACATCCAAAGAAGCACACAGCACATACATTCATGTGATCTCCACCAATGAAGGGCAAGAATGTGATCGAGCTCACTTCGAAATTTCAAATTGGCAACTACAGAATAGCTGGAATGTTACAAGCTGCTGAATCTTTAGTTTAAACTAGTTTAAAGTGTGTCAATAAACATTTAATAAAAGAACATAACATAGTGTTCGGACGGTATGTTTTTATTCTTACCTATTTATACTCTAAGAATAAACCAATCTGAACATTCATTCATTCTTTTCTTCGTAATGATTATTTATAGTGGTATCACTGAGAAGAACTTGAAAAGGTGGTCACCCGCGGCGATACGTACTCAAAGCTTATCCCAACAATAATTCACAGAGACCGTAATATATTTCAATATAGGTAGGTACCTATCTACCAAGAAGTTTCATTATATTTCCAACAAAGGTTCTTTTTTAAATCTCTGAGAAAATTACTCGGAAGAAGCTATTTTCAAATTAATCTTGTTGTTTATTTACTCAAACAATTATGTATATTTAAAAATTGTCTATGTTTGTATTTGTTTACGATGCAATTGAGCTTTTTACATTTTATGGTGCGATTTTTGTGTTTGTAGCAGGGTTGTTGCAAATATCAGCATCAGCGGAATATCAGCATTATTGTCCACATCAGCATCAGCATCAGCATTCGCATTGATTGCAACAACCCTGGTTTGTAGATATTATGTTCATAGTACAGTGGGCAGATCATCAACATACTTTACTGTGTTAATTTTTATCATTAGATTTTCGACTTCATTTCTAAACGATAGAGTCCAAAATGTAAAGGCAGAAAATATTAGGGTAACCTGCCGCCGACTGTAGTATATGGGCCTATAACCAAACGCCACTTTAGCGCTTGTCTACAGAGAGAGTAGAAATCAAAATGTTTGGAGATGACACTGTCAAAATGACAAATTTTACGTCAATTCCATATAATTTGGTTTTCTATTCTACATGTAGACAAGCACTAAAGGCATTTGATTACAGCTGCATGTTACAATGCTGGAAAATTAAAGATAATGTAGGTCACATTTTTCGAGAGATATTGCGATTTTTTGACAAAACAGACTTAGGATTTGAGAAAATTGTGAATGTATATATAGCGTGTATACCTACGTAAAACCAATAATGTTAGGTATATCAGTTTTGTATACCTGTCACAAAAAGCTTTGCAATCATTTGCACAAACGCTTCTTTCCAGTTTAATGTTTTAACAGGTGCCTACTAGATTTTACTATAATAATTAATAATAACACAGCAACTAAGTATTTTATATGTACTCATTGTGATAGGTAGGTATTATAAATGCGCGTAAAAATTCTAGAAATCTTTATTTATTTCGGAGGAAACCTTCAAAAGGCACCTAACTTTTTGGGGAGATAGTTCCCCCTACATATTTCAGTTGTAGTCAGTATCGTCTTTCCCATAAGAGCTCTCGGATCCCTTGCCTATTGCCCCATTCTCAGTGGACCGCGAAGGACCCACAATTTCTACGACTGACACACATCCGCTACTTTGTCCCCGCAACGTATAGCGGGTTCGATTCCCGCCCGGACCAAATCTTTGTGTGATCCACAAATTGTTGTTTCGGGTCTGAATGTCATGTGTATGTGAACGTATATGTTTGTAAACGCACCCACGATAGAGGACAAAATTCTAATGTGGTGCAACGTTAAAAATAAGAAACATTCCACAAGGGCTACGGAATATTATGTACTCAAGAGCCTCAGCGTAGTCTTAAGACGGCCCTGGTATTGTATGAAAGTTTCCTAGGGTCCGAATTAATTAATACATAGGACACCCGTTTGTTCCATTCTTTAGATAGCATTCCTACCTATGTAAAATTATAGAAATGGCTATTACCTACTTTACGCCTTTTCTCGATTGCCATGTAATACCATCATCATTTTAATAATCTTCCCGAAGAGGTAGGCTCTGCCTATTACGGCACTTAAAGTAAAAAAACACTCTGATGTATGACCAACATTACTGTGAAGTTTCATCTAAATCCGATCCGTAGTTTTTGCGTGAACCAGTAACAAACACACACGCACACATACATCCTCACAAACTTTCGCATTTATTATATTAGTAGTATATCAAGACTATAATGTCTTGATATCCTACTATACACTATACTTGGTACTTATAACATAACATAACATCACACCTTTTATCCCCGAAGGGGTAGGCAGAGGCGCACGTTATGCCACTGTACAATGTAACACCCACTTTTCACTATTTTATGTTATGAGTCCCATGTAATAGGGGGTGAGCCTATTGCCATATACTGGGAACATTTCCAGACTCCGTGCTACTACTGAGATTTAAAAACCCAGTAATACTTTGCCCGACCCGCGAATCGAACCCGAGACCCCTTGCCCGGCAGTCACACTTGCGACCACTCGGCCAACGAGGCAGTCAGTTGGTACTTATACTTTACATACATACATCAACAGCCTACAAATGCCTACTGCTGAGCAAAGCCTCATTTCACACAAAGAAGGTTTGAGCATTAATCACCACGCTCGCTCATTGCAGCGATTCCAAACTTATAATTAGAAATTATAAGTCCAGGTTTCCTCACGATGTTACCTTTACCGCTTGTCAGTGGTGTTCAAATATTCATAGAAAGTACATATAACTCGGAAAAAGTCACATTGATACTTGCCGTTGGTAGGTTTTAAGCCGGCACCCTGTCGCGGAGAACCTAACGGGTAACCGGGGCTCCGGCTCGACGTGCAGGAGAAGGAACGGGGTGGTTTTTAGTCAGTAAGAGTCTGACACTCCCTCCCGCCTCACCCAGGCGGGAGCAGTCATTCGATGATTTTCCCCCCTTAAAAAAAAAGCCGGCACCCTCATGCATGAGAAGCAGGCGTTTTAACCTCTGAAAAACTACGACGACTTAAAGTAGTAAAAATGACCTAACTACCAACAAAGTTTAAAAGAAATTGCAAATTGATGCGAGAAATTTGTTTCAATTGGATTTCAATTCGAGGAAAATGAGTATCATCTGTCTCTGTTTCCATCCCTTATCGCTATATAAAAACCAAGAGTAGATGAGTAAATACGAACAGTACCCATTCGTATACCGACGTCGCCGTTTTATGTAGTTCGCGGGAAAATTTTTCTTTCATATACGAGTTACGTATGTATAGTTTTCACAATGAATTATACAAGATACAAATTCCGACCATGTACACTGATCTCCTTTTCCATCATCTTAATATTGAATATAATTTCTTTAAATGGTGATATTATTGTAAAAAGTCAGCAGGACATTTTGGATGATTTACCAAGGGCATCAGATTTGGACCACTATCTTAGTGTATTGGAGAAAGCAGTAGATTTTTGTGTTGAAAATAAATATGGCGTGGATATGAGTTTAGACTTTGGCTTATTTTTAGCTGGAGGTAAGATATAAGTATATTTATAGTTCTGTGTTATGTGTTACAATCGGTTCCAATTGATTATTTGCTTTTGTCACTGACGCACATAGCAAGAATTAATTGGTACCTACTTGCCAACTAGTCAAATTCAATACATTTTTCGAACTGTCAAAAACGAAAGTTTTCTACGATTTTTGTACGAGATTGTGTATTGGAACGTCGCGTTCGTTTATCGTCAAACAGCATACTTATTTTTTTTTAATTTGCTGGAAAAATACTAAAATTAAGTTGGTCATAAAATTAATTAATGAAAGTTTGATTATTTTTAATAATTTCGAAATAATTTATTTTTGATTAAGGAACGTACCCAATTGTGCACGTGTTATTACAAAAAGATGAACTTTTATTCAAACGTAAACTATGTAATGTGAAAGTAATGGCGACTAAATCATCTGAAGTGAAATGGATATTAAAAATAAAGAAAAAACTAAGTTTGAAAACTTCTAAAATTGCACATAACTACAGATGAGTAAATTGATAACCATAACTAACTGTTAAATTTCTAATAATATTCTCGTGATCGTGATCGATGTAGAATCTATTAGAATTTGGAAAAAAGGAATTATATACTTATAATTCTTCAGGGTCAACTTTCGCTAACTACATAGTTTAATTTGAGTAAAATTGTCGCGTATAGATATGATAGGTATTAACCAATCTTGGCGATTTAGTGGCTTTCTGATCCATACATGCGTATATCTATAAGTACCAACCCATTACCATAAATAGGTAGGTATATCCAACAATAGCAATTTATCAATTTTTCAGAAACTTGTCAAATATATACGCTACTCTTATCTTTCATTTCATTTTGTTATTGTTTTTCTAAGCCATTGTAAATAAATAATCGCATTTTGCGAGCTCTATTCTGCACCTAAGAAGATAATACTAATCGCGAACTAATCAATTAGTTTCCAATAAATAGATATAGTCGCATTATAGATTGTCATTCTCTGTTGTTATTTAATAGCTGTCGTTCGTAACTGTGCAAAAAAACGAGAGCCAATACAGCATCAGCATCCTCATTTTTTATTATGATAATATTTATTTTCTTACCCATAATATCTACATATACCTATATACTGGGTGTTTGTGTTCTACCCATAAACCCTTCGCCCAAATATCACGGTGGGTTTAAAAAAGTTCGTTCCTTGATTATTTTTTATATATTTTTTTTAAACAGCAAGAATTTTATTGTTTGTAATTTAAATATAGAACTTAAAATAAAAATAACATTAATATAACTAAATATACTTTATTATATTAAAGAATTTGATTGCTAGAATAGAGCTCTTTACAACCGTTTTACATAAATATGTACTTGTATTAAGACCATAGATAAAATAAATAAGTTTTTAATATTTGCTATTTTTAATATATCTGTGATTAAACAGTATTTTCTATAAAAAATATTTTGTTTTGCAGTAACAATAAACCAAGTTTTGAGGGAAAAAATACATAAACTACCACCTAATTTAGTAGTCCGTTTAGAACAAGTGCTCCTTAAGTATGGCGAAATAAAGGACTACTTCAACGTAAATGTAAGAAAGGGGCTGCTACGTAAATACGGTCCCTCAGCACAAAGTAAGCAGTTTATTCAAATTGGATCTATTTCTCGGGTATGCTTTGAGTACCTACATATATATATATAAGATTAATTTTTAATATCATTTAATAACCCTGTTCATTTGTTTAGATTCGCTGAACAATATTTTATGCGAATAACATAACATATCATCACGCCTTTTATCCACGAAGGGGTAGGCAGAGGTGCAATTTATGCCACTGTACAATGTAACACCCACTTTTCACTATTTATGTTATGAGTCCCATGTAATTGGGGGTGAGCCTATTGCCATATACCGGGCACAATTCTAGACTTCGTGCTACTACTGACAATAAAAAAAAAAACTCGGTAATACTTTGCGTGACCCGGGAAATTTACTTAATTTTCTGCGAATGTTAGAAATCATGTAGAAAGTGGTATATCATTTAAGAATCCTTATTGCCACTACTAGCGTAGTCTCTGAATTTTTTTTACAGTCACTTAAAGTCCGGTGAAAATGCTATTCAGAATACTTGGTTCGTCATAAAATTACATTATTTTCCAAGCTTAAGCTGTTGGCTTAGGATTCACCATTGTATATTACTGAATCACTATTCAAGATAACTTAAGCAAAAACTAAACTAAAAATAAACGTATGTAGCAAAAAGACTGGCACAGGGTGTACTTTTTCGTGAATAACACATATGTAAGTCATAGTCATTACAATTCTCCGAAGTAGCATGGAGTCTGGAATTGTGCCCAATATATGGCAATAAGCTCATCCTCTATTACATGGGACTCATAACATAAATAGTGAAAAGTAGGTATTACATTACATTAAGTGCCATATTGAGCACCTCTGCCTATAATACCACCTATGCCTATAAGAGGCGTGATGTCATGTTATGTTAAAGATTTTTTTGTATTTTTCTAATAACTTTAACATTGCCGATCACGTTTTTATGTGGATGTCGGCTTCAGGGAAACCAGGATACTCTATATATAGTTATGTATGTATAGTCTCCAGAATCAACAAAACAATTTTTTACAGTAACACACCTGATATATAATATAAGTTCATGGCAGTTACCTTTGGAGAAATTCAATTTGAATCTTATGAAACGTACGACGATATACGATGGAAATCGGTTGAGAGAGATATATGGAAATTGGGATTCCTATATAAAAACTGTCACAAACTATATGAGTTTTCATCCTTCACTCGAGGATTCTGGTAATGTTTTTATAATAACTATCGTGAGACATACTAAATTAACTAAAATCGCGGGTTACTCACGTGAATTTACTGAGAAAAGCTCTACTAGTTTCGCGCGCGGTCGTGACGGCGTCGCGCACGCTGCTCATGAGGAAGGACCCCTCTGTGGCTCGAAACTAGTAGAGCTTTTTTCAGTATATTCACGTGAGTAACCGGCGATTTTAGTTGATTCTGTTAATGTATTTTGTCTGTTCATTTACCCTTAGTATCACACCTTTGATTTGAATATATGTAGGTAATGACTAATAATCGTATTACTATAATATAGCGCTAAAGTTAGTTTCAACGCGCTTATCTCAGGAACTACAGGTCCGATTAGAGTAACCAGTAACTAATAAACTTTGATAACTTACGCCCTTACATAATATACAACGTGTAACTTAAATAACGCACATCCTGAAAATAGTTTGTTCAGAATCGTTAACTGAATCGATTTATATAATTTTTAGTATAGGTAATTTTTTATCCCAAAAATAATTAGAAGTACGGAAATTATTGTCATATTAACCATGTATTGTTAAAACACATCGAAATGGACCGTCAGTCAAAGCAATAAGACTTTTAAAATCGCAGTTTTATTTGTATTCATACAAATTCTATCATTCAATACAAAATAAAGAACAATAAACCTTATGACAAGACCAATAAGGATGCATATACATGTTAAATTAAAAATTTAGTGTAGTGAACTCATCTAACTTCGTGACAAAGGCATTTGAGTAATAAAATACCAATAAATTATTAATTAATTTAATTCAGTCTCCGCATGAGTTTTAATCAGTCTTTTATGAGGAATATTAGCACAAATAATCAATTTTTTTTCTAGAAACCTAAGAGTTCTACCAAATTTACTAAACCGAATTATTAGGCGAGTCACAGAATTAGATGAGTTCACTATATGTATTGTGATTATAACATAATATTCTAATTGGGGTGTTTGAGGGTGTGCGTTAATTATGTTACATGTTGTATATAATATACTATTTCAGACACATGCATTGCACGTTTGGCGCGACAACCTATATTCCCACCGACTCGGATGCCTCAAGCTAAATGCAAACTCCCGACATTGTGCATAAGTTACCTGTTTGTAGGAGATGTTTTCGGCTATGGATTGGCACACAGGTTGGTGTATTTAATAAAAACATAATTTTAGCATTAATTAGGTCACATTTAGTTGTAGTACACAAAGATGCTGTGTTTTGTAATAAAACTTATTATATAATACTAATTAAATTACAAAAAATAATACTTATTATTACAATAGATTAGAGACGCAATCTAGCCTGCTTGCTACCGCAGACAGAGCGCTGTCGGTGCTGCTACGCAGCTTACTACTGATTTCGTCTGTGTGTGTGTGTGTGTGTGTGTGTGTGTGTGTGTGTGTGTGTGTGTGTGTGTGTGTGTATGATTGTTACTTTTTCACATCAAAACAACTGCAGTAATCGAGATGAGAGAACATGGGTAGATTATGGTCTAAAATTACATATACATAAGCCACTTACAATAGAAGCAAAATCTGTCTTGCTTCAGTTTTCAGTATTGTTATATTGTACACAAAATATTTTTATTTTTCAGACTTTTACTGTTTGTTATGGCAAAGCATTCTCGAAATTGTGCCGTGTTTGGGAAAGAAGTAGATAAAGACAAAATGGACAAGTTTTGCTCCTTTTTATATCTTGAATGCCAGTATAATGCGTTTAACGACTTTGCTATGCCCGATTTGGTTTTCGAAATTGGTAAGTTATTTAAAAATTGAATTGTTTTTACCTAATCGATTTCCCAAAAAGGATGAGTTTCTCAATTCGGCCGGTATCTTTTTTTTATGTATGAACATAGATTACACCGAGGTTTATGCGATTTGCGTGATTCTTTTTTTGTTCGACACAAAATAGTTTCGTATTGAAAATTCACTGTTTTAAAATTTTGAAATCAAATAGTTTATACATAACATATCATCCATTAGCACAAGTATGTATGGAAACCTAGATCTTGTGTTTATTAGTTACTTTAGACTTAACAAGCTATATAAAAAGGACCTAGGTAATCGACGATATAACAAAGCGAAGCATACCTTCCTAAATAACACTATTATACTCATATTGACTAATTTTGATACTCCTTTATTTGTTTTCAGTTGCACTCTGCGGGTTGCTAGGCAACGCTCAGTTTTTAACCAATTCGTGGATGAAATTCCTTACGACGTATCAAACAAGAGACGGGTACTTCAATGGAGATATAATTGGAATGGAACATATAGACACAAATATGAACGTTACTGATCAAAATGAGCTGAACAAGCACACAACGGGAACCGCCGTGGCAGCCTATGCAAACGTTATCAGATATATAATAGAAACCCACTACTAATTGATCGTTTATTCAGTATGTATACAATTAAATGATTATAAAATATTCGTTAATTCCAAAATCTCAATATAGTATTTATTACTTTTATTTTAGATAAGATATTCGATCCTAGTTTTCCTAAGTTCCTTCTCCCGAAGAAGAAGTTAATGCTGCAAACCTTTGTTTTAACACACGAAGTTATTGTCATTTGTCTTCCAAAACCTATTATGTAAAATACATAACATAACACTCATACTTTTTTCCATATAGGTACCTACGAGTATCACTACATAGTATAAGACAAAGTCTGTTCCTATGTATGCTTAGATCTTTAAAACTACACAACCCGGATTTTGATGGGTTTTTTTAATAGATAACTCTATCTATTATATTATATATCTATATATATTATACATATAAACCTTTAGAATTACTAAATTCTAAAGGTTTATATGTATAATACATGTAAGTACATTGCATCTGTACGAAGCCGGGGCGGGTTGCTAGTAAAGTGTAAAGTACCTAATTGAAATGTACGCGTTCAGTGCTCTGATTGGCTAGCTCCAATGAACCAACCAATCAGAGCGCGCAACGCAGTCTCATTTCAATTACTTTAATAGTAAAACTAATTCGTACTAATTATGGCATCAGTAACCGTTGGGTGGGTCACCACACAGTGATACCTACTAACCATTTTACAGATCTCGAGACGTATAAAAATAATTTACTCGATGCAACGTGACGCAACTCTGTGTGATCCACAAATTTTTGTTCGGGTCTGGGTTTCGTGTATATGTAAACTAGTATGTTTGTAAACGCACCCACGACACAGGAGAAAATTCTAGTGTAGAGCAACGTTTTATTTAAAAAAAAACGTGGGAATGGAAATAGATAAAAAATACTCTATTTATAATTACCACTTAATATGTTCCTTGTATGTAGGTTTATTTGATCAAGCTTCGATAACGTATGTCAAATAGTAATTTATAACATGATCACGAACTTATTTGTATGTGTGAACTGGCCACACCCGGCCACGCTGTATAATTCACTTAGGTGTTTTTATGAAGATCAAATTATTTGTGTGCCTGAATTTTCAAGTTTAAAAAGAAGATTATTCTATTGAAGTACGCAGTTTTCTATAGGTAGTAAAACAGTAAAGAGGGCCTAGTGCAAGTATTTTTTTTTTGTATTGTTACACGATAAAAATGTTACTGCCACTGTATGATTGATTAACTTGGAACAGCCAACCACCAAACGTCATAAACATGTTTTAATTATCATATTTTCAGCTTACTCACGTAACTGTTTGACGAGAAACTCGACTAGTTTCAAGTTGCCGCGTAAAGCTGCTCGTGAATATGAGCCTCTAACATGGCTTGAAACTAGTTGAGTTCCTTGTCAAAAATTTATATAAGTAAGCCGAAAATATCATATCATAATTAAATTAGTTTGTCTCACGAAAGTTATAATAGTTATTAACACAGAACATATGAAGTTGGAAAGTACACACGGACATACATCAATCTATACAAAACCAGTTTATCCTGGTGTCGCGTCGCATTATCTTTTCGCACATTTAACGTTCAGTTTATACTGGTTATGTAAAGCTCGATGTGTAGCCGTGTGTACTAGTGTCGCATGCAGGGGCAGACATCAGTGTGTCATCATTGCGATGGTGGTTTGGAGTTGGCGGATACGGCGCGGCATACGGTCGAAGAGTGTAACCTTCTTTATATATTCTATGGTTATAAACATGTTGATTATTATAACGTAAAACAAATTGGCACTAGTCAATCTAGCCGTGGACTCATTAATCGATGTAATATGTGTTTCTCTTATCTTATTTATTTTATATTCTGAAACACACAAATAACAAATGTTTCTTCAATAGATACTTGTTGTAACAAATTATTGACCCTAACCTCAAAAGCCATACAACAACATACAACTCCTCAATTTTTTGAACTGAAAACTGAATTTCAATCAATAGGCTCACCCCCTATTGCATGGGACTCATAACAGAAATAGTGAAAAGTGCGGGTGTTCCAATGTACAGTGGCATAATGTGCACCTCTGCCTACCGCTTCGGGGATAAAAAGCGTGATGTTATGTATGTTATGAAAACTGAATCTGACTATATACCTCTACAGCCAGGCAGCTAAAATTACAAAAAAATACAAGAATAGTACCTCACTTGTCCTAATTAGGATATAAATTAAAATTTGTTTCAAATTCCCTTGTGGTAGCACGAAGTAACCAGTAACGGTTATAGACACCTACCGACTTGCATTCTAATCATTCACATTACGCTAAATACCTTTTTTAAGCGTGGGAGACATTTTTAAGGTTATTTAAAGGTTCAGTCGAAAGGGCCGGCTTGACCAGAGGCCTAAGAATGAATTTATTTTACGTTTAAATTAATAGTAATTGAAACGAGTATGCGTTCGGTGCTCTCTCTCTCTCTCTCCCTCTCTCTCAATGATATTAATTAATTAATAACAAAAGTATGTACACAGATAGATTTTGAGTAAAATTACTTTACTTTACACATTGAATTACTAATTTAAGATTTCATTGTTTTCCTTTCTTTAAATTTATGAAGTGTGTTAGAGAGATTTCATCCTTATTGACCCTAACAATCGATGCAATTAATGTACAGGGTGCAACTTTTACACATTTTAGTCTGTTCGATAACCGTGTACGGCAAGCGAATTTAAAAAAAACTTTAATGCAGTTTTCTTTCTTTTCAAAAATGATGGAATATTTTCATTGAGTAAATTTTTCTATGTAAAGTACCTATTAAGAGTACCTACTTACCCTTCTGGTGGCATTACAAAATTCCACCGTGTATATAGATCAGGCTACTTTAGGACTGATATTATGCGGTATAAAAGTCCCTAAAATTAAAAAGGTGTTAAGTATGTAGTTGTGTATGTATAAGAAAACGAAATATAAGTAAAAAGAGAGAAGGCTTTCGACACACACCTTTATTACGTCTTCAATTGTTTTACAAATTCGCGGGCTTCGCCACGCACATAGATAATCTATCACCATAGACTATACTATGACCATAGAGTACACAACAGATACACAACAAAAGGAAATAAAAAATAATAAAAATATTAATTACAAAAATCTTTAAAAAATCAAAACGAATACAATACTTATTTAAGACAACGATCTATTAATAATAGGTTTCTGTGATAAATCTAACGACATTTGTAACTACTACCAAGGCTATCGACGTCATGTGCTTATTACATAATCCGTTCAACATATCACTGTCCCGTGAAAACGACCATTGTTTCGTTTCGTTCTCAATTTTTTCATTGAAGTCTTCATTACTTTTACTTACGTCTCCCATAAAGCACCCATCTACTTTTTGATGCATCATGATACTTTTTACCCAGAAATTGGTTAAAAAATGGGCGTGACCGAGCAAGCCGCAAAGTGCAACTGTAAATAAATAAACGAGCATCAAAATTAACCAAACATACCGTTTAAAGTATCTTGCTTGTTGTATATTTCCAAATTAACTATCAGGGGGTGATTACGATACTGATGATGTTGAAATATGTCTCAGTAGTAGCACGGAGTCTGGAATTGTGCCCGGTATATGGCAACAGGCTGACCCCGTATTACATGGGACTTATAACATAAGTAGTGAAAAGTGGGTGTTACATTAAGTGCCTATCCCATCGGGGATAAAAGGCTCTCCGTGCAGGGATCGAACCCGTTACACGTTGCGCGGCATCTAATTGGCCAGCCACCGCGCCAACCATGTAGTAAAAGACCGTGTTTGTTTAAACGCGCTAATCTCAGAAAGTACTGGTCAGATTTGAAAAAATATTTTTGCGTTGGATAGTCCATTTATCGAGGAAGGCTAAAGGCTATAAAATATAACACTACGATTAGTAGGTGCGGAGCAGAGCGGGTGAAGCCACACGGATGTAACTCATCGGTCATTCATAAAACATTTCAACGACAACCCTAACTTACATACACGGCTACTCTCACAGGTGTAACTAGTTGCCCCCCTCCCCCCCCCCCCTAAAAGCCTTATCGCAGGAACATTATCATCAGCGGGAATTCACTCTAACCTTTAAACAAAATACTTAATTATAGAACCGTTACACAGTATGTAACTCATTATCGGTGCTATACTTAGATTTGTGTAACATCAATACTTTTGCATATCTACTGAACGTATTATTTCGTTTGTATGACACCCGCTGTATAATTGTCAGTCATTAAATTATAGGTATATTTGAATTGCCTACATTACATTTCCCATCACTACACCTCGGTAATAGTCGGACATTTCATTTCAAAGTTTAGCAATCTTGTAGAGGTATAGTATCGCTGAGATCAGTACCTACGAATTAATTTAGAGGTACAATAACTATTGATTACGTACTGCTTTCCCCGAATAAATCAGGCACTGCAAAGTCACTGAGAGCAATATACTGGTTCTCATTATATGCCATGAAACACAACTTGTCTGTAAGGTACTTGTCCTCTTTTTCGGAAAATATTGCACAATTTCGACCATACCTTGAATTAACTAAAAGTAAAATTCTGAAAAACAAAGGTATTTAGTGTAGAATGCTAATTTTATTTTATTGTCCGTCTGGTAGATTATTTAAAAATATTAGACACGTATTTTTATTTTCTTACGGAAACGAACAGTTTCAAAGATTTATTGATTTGAAATATAGGATAACGTCACTATTGAGTACGATTTATACTCTAAAATGACGTAGCTACCTCCCACTCCTAAACTTTAATTCATCTAAATATTGTTTTCATAAACGACAAAATAAAAAAAACGTGTCTAATATTTTTTCATTACCTAACTGACGGAACAATTAGATTTTTAATATCCATACCCTGTCATCATTCCTACTAGTACCTAAACCTACTGTTCTGAATCTTCTATAGTGAATAATTTTATAGATAAATGAAGAAGAACAAGACAGAAACTCCATGATTATTCTTTTTCAATAAGTTTTACAATTCGATTCTGGGTTGCATTCGATAGGAAAGGTATGAAAGTGAATAAGACAAAAGTGATGGTGATAGAATAATAATAATAATAATAAATTGTTTATTTTATAAAAAGGGACATATTTACATCAATAGTATCTTAACGATTTGATTAGAGCTCAGTAGCTTATTTGCCTGAACTAGGTTGAACCTGTGTTTCAGGCTATTCAGTACAATATTTTTCATTTTAAAGTTATAAATAAATTAACACTATAAAGTACTACAATAAATCTTACATAACATAAAAGTAAAAGGTAAAAACAGCGAGTTAGCAGATTATCTGTCGACCAACAGTAAGTCTTCAGTCTGCGCATATGCAGTATTACGCAAGAACGCAATAACAGTTTTTTTACAATTAAAATAGTTTAATGTAAAAACGCTTAATTTTCTATTTAACCTATTATACAAAAGTGGACCTAAAAATGAAAAGAATCTTTCGGAAAAAACATTTCTAGTTGCATTGGAACTGCATACTATATCATTCCGTCTCTTTTTAGTATTGTTAGCATTATATGAGTGCATAGTATGCTGCTTTAATACTACTTGTAAAATGAAGAGCTGGCGGACTGTTAGTACGTTACAAAATTTATATAGTTGATCTGTGGGATAGAAATAGGGATGGAAGTTTGCAACCTTTAAAATAGCTCTCTGAGCTCTTTCAAGAGGAAGCAGGATAGTTTTTGAAGCACCGCCCCATGATATTATACAGTATTGAATTACAGATTGACATAAAGCCAGATAAACCTGAGTGATTAGTTTTGAATCAGCAAACGTTCGAATTTTTTTAAAGACATATATAAGCTTGCGCACTCTTTTTACAAGACTTTGAATATGATGTCTAAAAGTGAGTGTGTCATCAATTATTACCCCAAGATATTTGATGTTACGGGAATTAAGGATAAGAGGACAATTACACGTGTGGACTGAGATGTTATTACATTGATGAGCGTATAAGTGAAAGTTATCAGTGATGGGTTGAGGTTTTCGCATAGAAAAGTGTACATATTTAGTTTTGTCAGCATTTAATGTTAGTAAATTGCCTTGAAGCCAGTTAGTCACAGTATTAAAACCTATTTGAGCATGTTCTTGCAATTCGCCAATGGTTTTAGCCGAAAAAATTAACGCTGTGTCGTCAGCATAAGATATCACTTTGCAGTGTCCAATATTAAGGTTACACAAGTCGTTAATGTAGACTAGAAAAAGTGTGGGACCCAAAACACTGCCCTGGGGAACTCCAAAACCAGAAAGGACTGAGTAAGTCATGAAAACTTGGAGTAAGTGAATGGGTTTGTATATCTGTGATCTCTGTTTACTAGTGATGGAGAGTGATAGCCGGAAATAGTGTCAATTGTGCATTATTCTCTGTAATGTCGTGTAAATTATATCCAACAAACGACTGGCTATAATACAGTGTGTACTGACATTGATACCAACGCTTATATATGGTAGTGAATCATAGGTGTGACAAAAGAAGCATGAAAGCAAAATTAATGCAGTTGATATACCTTATCCCTTAGAAGCATGTGTGGAGTAAAATGAATTAATCGAGTGACAAGGACGGAAAAGGGAATGTTACGATGGCTTTGACAAGTAGAAAGGATGGATGAAAGCAGATTTATGAAAGAAATATACATTACGGATATGAAGAACCGTCGGTAGAGGACGCTCTAGACGAACTTAGATCGGCCAGATTAAAGAATGGCCTTTACCGTTAAAAGTACCCTTTATCGACGAGCATGACTGATGACGTTGACGAGCACGACTGTTGACGAAGCCAAAGTGGCGCCTTCCTTTCATACGGTATACGTTATGAATTAATTAAATACTTGTAACAAAAAATATTAATCAAGAAACGAAAAAAACACTATGGCTCCATTTCTTTGCTCTGAAGTGTATATTGTGAATGTGAATAGGGTAGGCGACAAATTTTTATTTTAATGTCCGTCTGGTAGATTATTTACAAACATTAGACACGTATTTTTAATTTTTTACAGCAACGAATAGTTTCGAAGATATATTGATTTGAAATGTCGCGTGACGTCACTTCTATGTTCATTTTATACGTAGAAATGACGTTTTAGCCCCCACTCTTAAACTTTGATTCGTTTTATCTAAGTATCATTTTATTATACAACAAAATAAAAAAATACGTATCTAATATTTTTTCATTACCTAACTGACGGACTAATTACATTTTTAATTTTCATACCCTGTCGTCATCCCCATTGAACCCACCTGTGCAATAATGCATATCCAAAACCAGACCCGGCCTCTAAGTACAATTTGCAGTTTTTTGGGACATTACATTTGGCTTGATTTGTCAGAGTGGATTGGAATATAGGTTGATGCTCCAAATGGCCAACGCAAGAGTCTGCAATAATTTTTAAAGTCACTTTCAGTGTTTTGGGATTGCCTTTAGAGGCAGAATTATTTATACGGCATAATTTCGTTTCGCATAATAACGCATGACATGATTATGTCAGCTAAAATCGCGGGTTGCTAAAATGGCAACAGTTAGTTGCCTGTACTAGGAAAGCCCTGTATCACAGGGGAAATTAGCTTTAACATTGTATACTAATTTAGGACATCTTATTTCATGCATACCTACTTAACGGGACCATTTATTTTTTACTCAAACCGTGACATTTAGATTTTATTCAGGCATATGGTAGCTACCACGTAGCGACATCCTATTAAAGACCTTTTAAACCCAACGACCTACGAACATCTCAGTTCGTATTTACAATAACCCTAACGCTAAGACTTAAGTCGTTCATAATTTTCTGTCATCATCACCATCATAAACCGAAAGACGTTCACCGCTGAACAAAGTAAATAACTAAACTAACTTTTTTTCAACATAACACTAACTACCCCTTTTTTAAGGGGGGAAAATCATTGAATGACTGCTCCCGCCTGTGTGAGGCGGGAGGGAGTGTCAGACTCTTACTGACTAAAAACAACCCCGTTCCTTCTGCTGCACGTCGAGCCGGAGCCCCGGTTACCCGTTAGGTTCTCCGCGACTCCGAATCGGCATCGGCCCTGTTGGGCCCCATCTGTGATGGTCTGATGGCTCTTTGAGGCGCGCGCGGAACGCGACGCGCCGTACGCTCGGGTCTGTTTCTGGTCGGACGGGGACCATGGGACCCATGCTCGCCGTCCGCAGGCCCGACTAACTACCGTCCACCGCTGAACAAAGTAAACTAAACAATTTTTTCCAACATAACACTAACTACCCCTTTTTTTAAGGGGGGAAAATCATTGAATGACTGCTCCCGCCTGTGTGAGGCGGGAGGGAGTGTCAGACTCTTACTGACTAAAAACAACCCCGTTCCTTCTGCTGCACGTCGAGCCGGAGCCCCGGTTACCCGTTAGGTTCTCCGCGACTCCGAATCGGCATCGGCCCTGTTGGGCCCCATCTGTGATGGTCTGATGGCTCTTTGAGGCGCGCGCGGAACGCGACGCGCCGTACGCTCGGGTCTGTTTCTGGTCGGACGGGGACCATGGGACCCATGCTCGCCGTCCGCAGGCCCGACTAACTACCGTCCACCGCTGAACAAAGTAAACTAAACAATTTTTTCCAACATAACACTAACTACCCCTATTAATTAAATTATGAAACAATATAGCTATCAAAGAATGAGTACCTAATGTATTAATTATGTGTACCTTTACCTACCTCTTCTTCATCATCACCGTCATCAAACGGTGTCCGTCTACTGCTACAAAGGTACATAGCACGCTAGCACGTCTCTGAGCTCGAACTTCAGCTCTTCTCTTCTAAACACTGCCAGCCAGTTTACGGACCTGACTTCACCTATGCAGGTGGAGGGCGCCGTTCACCCGTTCGTTGACACTCAAGTATAATGAAAAAGTAAACAAAATACACTACCAGATTCATCGGGACTGGGCACCATCATCAGTACGTTTGCGATACTATTGGCATATGTTATCCACTGTCCATACATGTTCTCTAACTGTTGTCTGTCGTATATAGTTGTACGTTTCAGCAGTTCCAGATTGAACTTTTCAAAAGGTACCCATAAGGACATATTGTAATGTAAATATGATACTGTAAACAAATTAGTGCGCTAGTCTACATTTCTTAAATACCTTCCGATGTAATTAAGCACGAATTGCCTATGTAAGTGTAACATTGTTCTCACATATCATGCACAATATTGGATAATGTATCAGAGAGATTGTAGAACATATTTTTTTAAAGGGTAGGTAACGAATGGAATTTCTCTTGGTCGTTCTTCTCCGTTCGAATCTACACTTTGGAACGAACACCTGGCTTCACCAACGGACAGACTGTTATTTATTTTAGGGTTAAATTGAAATAAATGTCCAAATTTTCGCGATCCTGGAATCCCCAATCACCGAATACCTAATAACCCCCAAAGGGCTGGCAACGCCTTTCAACTCCTCTGGTGTTTCGGGAGTCTATGGGTGGCACCAATTGCTTATCATCAGGTGATCCGTCCGCTCATTTGCTATAAACAAAATTACGGATACCTACCTACTTTATAGTACACAAAGTCCTACAACAACTGAATTGGGTACTTGCCAATTACTCAAATTGAATACTTTTCTCGAACTGTCAAAATCGACAGTTTTCCATGAATTTTGTATGAGTTTGTGTATTATGACGTCACGTTTTTATAGCGTCAAACAGCATACTTATTTCTTAAAAAAAATGCTGGAAAAATACTAAAATTAAGTTGGTCATAAAATCTATTAATAAAACTGTGATTATTTTTTAATATTTTACCTATTGTATTTGTTGCGCACAGTCGAAATAATTTATTTTTGATTACGGAAAGTACCCAATTGACCCGTGTGTCAACTTTGTGTACAATTACTCAAAAGTATCTAATAAATATCTACACAAATTCAAACCTTTTAATACCCGCCTATAGGCAAGTACATATAAGGTTAAACTACCCATTCCACCCAATTTGTAATATCCTTTCCAGGACTAGATGCAATTTCAATAAAATTCTTACTTCTGATCTCACGTGAAACCTCACTGGCCTTGAAAATGTTAGCTTCAAATTTATGAGTCTTTTTCAGTTTTGCTACATTCGCGTGAAAGTAGTCTGATGCAATTTTATAATTACGTAGCCATTTATCAAAACGATCAACCAAATTAGACGGTAATGTCTCATTTTTGGCCTTTAAAATTTGGTGTACACTCACTGCAAAGAAAAGAAGACGTTTTATTTTAATGAGAAAGACGGTCTCAGTAGGTAATATGTTATAATTTTCGAAATTGGTCTAAAATCTTGAAGTGCTTGATTAGTGTATTTTTTTAATTATTTACATTGTACATACGCGCCGTCACTGCACCATCAGCACCGCCACCACGCGTGTGCCATTCCACTACCGGCCGCGGATGAGCGTGCGCACAATCCGGTAATGGAATGAATCAAACAGAGGGAACGGACGCGGTGGTGGTGCAGCGGCGCCGTCTGCATGAACGCTTACTGATTTAAAACCACCTTGTTTAGGAACAAGGAGTAGGCTCCTGCCTTAAACCGAAGCCCCGGTAACCCGTTAGGTTGTCTGCGGCTCCGGTTACCACAAGGGTAACCGCGGAGCCGCCCATCAAGTGGACACGCCACTTGATGGGAAAGTGCATTGCAGTGAAAGTTAGATTGTACGGTTGGCGCGGTGGTTGGGCAACTGGCTGCCGCACAACGTTTCGCGGGTTCGATTCCCGCACGGAACAACTCTATGTGATCCACAGATTGTTGTTCCAGGTCTGGGTGTCATATGTATTTGAATGTTTGTAAACGCTCCCACGACACAGGAGAAAATCCTAGTGAAATCGTGAATAGTGAATAGTGAAATCCTAAAACTTTTTTCTAAGAAAAAAGTCTGCAAATTTTTGTTACGCTTTTCGTGAACTGACACTCCATCTAGATGTTATACAATCAAAGACTAAATTTTACGTCATGAAATTCTGCGGTATTGGCCATTTTACATCAAAATAATTTTTGTTTGGCTAAGAATTCTAATTTCAAATTAATTTTGTTTTAAAAACATGGTCCTTTTTCCAAAAGTATTCATTTGTTTAATGATTCGTGTTACATTTTCATCGCATTTCAATTATTATTCTCATAATGAATACATTAAAATTCGAGTAATTATGGAATATGAGTATCGTCGTGGCAGCAACTCAGCACAAGCGGCATGCAACATCAACGACGTTTACAGAGCTAACACTACAAACCTGAAAAAACCTCGCGCTCGGGACGAGCGCGAGACTTTGGTCAACAATGACGAATTAAAGGCGATTAAGGAAGCTGATGATACACAATCTACGGCTGAATTAGCAGCAGTTTCGACGCTAGTGTCAAAACAATATGTTCCATTTGTTTCAAATTGGCAAGGTAAAAAAGCTTAGCAAATGTATGCTCCACGAACTCATGATCGCCAGCGCGAAGTAGGCGTCGAGGCGTACCTTGCATTGTTCAACAGATACACAAATGAAGTAATTTTACCTATTAGCATTGTTACCTGTGATGATAAATCTATTCTATTTGATAACCGCAAGCGCTCAGCAAGTTAGTTGGATTCTAGTTCAGCACCTAAAAGTGCCCTAAACGAAAACTCACCCCTAGAAAAGTGATGGTCACTGTTTGACGGTCTAGCGCCAGTGTGATTCATCACAGCTTCTTACCAAACAGGGTGAGCATTTCTACTGCTGATGTGTACTGTGAGGAACTGAACACAATAGTGAAAATACACGAAAAAATTGTTTAAAGTCCATACAAAACGGCAATTTCATAGGCCTATTAAATATCTATTAAATAAGTAGGTACATGTAGGTATAGGTAACTATCTTACCTCCAAACACCAAATGCGCCCAGTTCATGTTGACATCCATATAATATTTATGTTCCACAACAAAATTGACTGTTTTGTCCAAAAACAATATATAATCGTCTAAATCCGACAATTTTGGTAAGTCTTCTATAATTTTTTTATGTTTTTCTATGTCAATATCGCCATTTAAACAAATTATATTTAATTTTAATATGATAAAAAATAAACACGGGCGAAACTTGAGAAAAATCATTGTTAGAACTTAATAGTGAATAGAAATACGCAAAACGTTTGTAATGTAGGTAGAAAGTAGGTAATGCCTACCTACTTGGCAAAATTTTATTGAGAACACGTGATTTCTATTGAAGAACGAATGCTGTTTGTTTTCTCTCCTGTTTTATCTAACGATAAGACAGTGAAATAAAGACGATGATTCAATTAAAATTCAATTGAAACAAATTTAACGATTGCGAATCAATTTAAACTAGACAGATATGGGAAGTTATTCAGTATTGTAGTCTAGTTTAGTACGGGGCCAATTCTCGGCTTTAGAGATGATGTCGAACTCGACAAAAATGTCTAATGACGTCATTTTTTCGTCAAATTTTAAAAGTTGCTATTCTGGAGATGTCGAATGCGACATTTGTCGAAGGCTAACGTTAGAGTTCATGTCGAGTGCTTCTGAGCAGTAGAGATGGCATGTCGATTGTAGAGATACTGAGATACGCCATTTCTGTGAATTCGTTGAGTTTCGAATTGTACAGTGTTTTCTTTTCTTTCGTTTTAAAGTAAAATACGGCTTGGCATCTTATAAGTATGAACATTGGAAATTCAGTATAGACTCTTCAATTTGTGTATTGTTTTCTTGAAACGACGACCTTCGCGTAAATAACAGTCTTTAATTTGTGTACCCACGATTGGACTTGAAACTTGAAACATGGACGAGTTTATTAATATTTTTATCTTGGAGATGTTGGAAAGTGGCGAGCGACTGGCCAATACACGGCGGCAACAGCGCACTTATCCCGTCGTCGATATTTTGGACTTGAGCGATAGCGAAGTTGTTAAAAACTTTAGATTAAATAAAAATTTAATCAGAGTTTTAATAGACCTATTGGCTCCTGTAATTCAGGATACCACAAAAATAGACCTAAAAACGAAGGTAAATAATTCTGCTTCATAATTTTATTGTAATATGAAACAACCGCTTACAGATCCAAATTGTGACACTGACAGACAGTCAACTGGAACTGTCCTGTCAAACTGAATATTTTTGCACTAAACGTTCCGTTTTAACTTAAATAATTAGGTTTAGTGAACGTTTTATGACAAAATCATTCATTCACTCACAACTACCTAAAATGGAACGTGCGATTCTGCATAATGGTAACATTATCTTCACTCGACTCGACATTTTCGTGACATTTGTTTCTATTTTGACTGAGAATACGGAATTCTGTGCAATTCGACATTTTTTGGTAGAGATAGAGATATTTTTGATAGACATAGAGATAGACTTACAATGTCGAACTCGAGATAAATGGCGAAAATCGAGAATTGGCCCCCTGGTCTATGTCTATTATAGACAGTAATTTATTTATTTTAAATATGTTTTCATTTACCTACTTAAATTAATACTTACCATTATCACGATTGGAGCTTTATGGATGAATGACGAAGGAATATATTGTCAAAAAGGGGTCAGCTTTAGACAAGGACAAGGGGGAGAGAATGGAAAGGCGCTACAATGCTTTTCCTGTTGGTTGGTGCAGGCAGATGCTGTACAATCTACAACGTCAACGTCAAGAGTCAACGCCTGAATGCCACAACTGCTGAGACTGCTCCGAGGACACTAAGTTCGACACGCTGGAGGAGTGGCCAGCGTGGATGGAACATTGACGTGACTGCATACCAGCCAAAGATGTCGGAAGTATCACTTTACAGACCTTGATACGGTTTATGGTCGGCATATACCTAGAGTGCGTGAAACATTGCTGCCTTGTTTTGCGAGGAGGTGACATCACTATAAGAGGCGGCGGGGAAGAAACGCGAAAGACTTCCCACCTTCCCATCAAATAATCAAATCAATTTATTTCTATTAGACCAAGAAAGCACTATATTTTTTCATTATGCTTAGAGACTACTTTCGTATGAATGAATTTTGGGGATTTATATCTAATGATTAAAATAATTTCAACAAATGTTATTTTTACACATTAACATTTTAAAAATCTTTTTTAGTATTTATTATGAGTACCGACTTTTAACCTATGAGTGGGTATTAACAATAGTTATTTTTTGCTTTTTAGTTTTTACTTGTGTTTGTTAGTTTTTGCTTTTTGAAGTCGGTTTTTTAAATGCTGTTTTTATATTTTATTATATCATTATTAGTGTAAAGCTACATAGGGCCGTTTTGCCACTTACAATCTACATAGGTACAAAGTTCTAATTAATACAAAATATACAAGCCCAAACACAAGGTAGTTACTATAAACCGTTGAAGACTTCCTTTAACAATGACACTTCTTCATCATCAGACCCTTAGAGACAGTCCCACTCTATCTAGGTGTAAAGTTCTCATCAATACAAAATAATCAAGCCCAAACACAAGGTACTCACTGTATACCGTTGAGGAGTTCCCTTAACAATTACACTTCTTCATCATCAGAAGCTTAATGCCAGTCCCGCTCCATTTAGGCGTAAAGTTCTTATCAATACAAATTAAACAAGCCCAAACACAACGTAGTTGATATAAACTGTTGAGGAGTTCCCTCGACTGTCTGTCGGCTCCATCATCAAGTCGACTTTAGACTCTTATCAAATTGTAGTATTTAAAAATCTTAATTGAAATATAAATAGACGCATTACTTGCCTCTACAATTTTCGAAAGTTCCCCTCGGTTTCCCTAGGCTTCCACCATCAGATCCTGACCTCGTGAAAATGGGACCATCTCGGGTCGGGAGTATACCCTTTCAAACAAAATAAGAATTTTGGAAATCGGTTTACAAATGGCAGATTAAGTAGTCGGTAAGTAATAAATCTGTAGAGGTCAATTCTTTACATGAAATATCAGGGAGTGATTAGTGATCGATGAAAAGTGTGGGAGAGCCATGCTTCGGCATGAATGGGCCGGCTCGACCGGAGTGATACCACGGCCTCACAGAAGACCGACGTGAAACAACGTTGTGTTGTGTTTGTACGCACTTGTAATGCCTCTGGTGTTCCAGGTGTCCATGGGCGACGCCGATTACTTACCATCAGGTGATCCGTCTGCTCGTTTACCGGCTTATCCCAAAAAAAAAAGATATCTACTACTGCCAAAAATGCAATCAGTTAAATTTTACTAAGGATCCCTAATTTTTTTCAAAATGAAATGTAGCCTATGTCAAATTGGAAGAATGTAGCATTCTATTGGTGAAAGATTTTTTTAAATCGGCCCAGTACTTTTTGAGCCTATAGAATAGAATAGAATAGATAGAATAGAATAGATCATTTATTTGCTATGAATGTAGGTACAAATTATTAGGTGTTACAAAATTTTAAGGTTCCTTGTACCAAAGCACCGCTAATTAGTTAGCGGCGCTACACATCGACACAACTATCATTTACACAATATACATGTGTGGGTAATTTCATATCAATAGATATGTATAGAAACATTCGTCTATCACACACATCTTGGTATTTAAAAATCATTTTTGTGTCGGTATACGCAATAATTTAGTAAATAAGTTTAAATAAAAACGAGGGTAAAGATAAAATTACTCATAACAAACTTTGAATAAATCGAAATCAAAAATAATGAACGATCGAGCTATACAATACCCATATAAATATAGTGCTTTCTCATTGTAATTTTATGTTACTGAATGATATAAAATATTTCGATGATCTCTTCTACAGCGCGCTTGGCGCAATGGTTATCGCCTCCAATTGTCAAGTAAAGTGCCGCCGGATCGATTCCAACATTCACATGTTGTTTTAGAATTAATTTATCAAATATTTGAAATTAGAAACAATTAAATCTTTTCTTTTTTTCCTTTCCTATTGTTCTAAATCTTATGTTAATGTTAATAGTAAATACTTTAGATTTATTTATACCTATAATATCTTTTATTTATATTTTAGTTCTAGTTATTTATTATTTAGAGAATAATCTCATTTGCTTCATGCATTTCAACCAACTTAAATAAGATAAAAACAGTAAAAAAGTAATTAACTGTGATTTCTTAATGGTTCGATACCTGAGTATATTTGCAATGTTTGTGGCGACCATAGAAATCTCGAGTCATTTTATTTTACACGCTTATGAAGTAACTACCGACTATTTAAAACATGTTTTTCAAATCACCCGACTTACAAAATAATTGCGTTCTTAGTTGTCAATTTATGAGGATTTCATAGTTTATTGCTACACTACTTATATTCGTGTGCAAAGTTATTTTTATTTTTACAAGATGTTCCAACACCTATCAACATTTAAAAAGGCTGAAACCATTGTTTTGCATGAGCAAAACATAACTAACAATAACTGAAATAGCAAGGCGTTTAATGATATCGGTGAGTAAATAAGATACTACGTTGATATTCTAAATAATATTTATTTCATTTTGTAACTCGACACACCTATCAATTTTTGCACTAGAATAAAATAATTATTGCAACTTATTATGAAGTTCAATATTATAAAGATATATTAATAATTTATTATTATTGTATTGTAACTTGACTTGTTTTTTTAGGAGTGTTTCTTTAAAACATATCTGGTTAGGGATTTTTATTCCTTACGCCACTACTTAATTATAAATTATTATTCTAACATTGTGTTTACTTATATTTATTATTATTTTTAAGTAACTTTAATTCCTGTAAAGTATTTCCTGGTATTTTAAATACTTATTTGTTTGGTATCAACAGAGGAGATCCATGCAGTTATGGGTGCACAGATATGCGGAGACCGGTGACGTTAAACATCGTCGACGTGGGCCTAAACCAAAGGCAAATTCATCGGCTCGGCACTACGACATCGTAGCCAGGCACATGGCTGATCCGTTCCTGCCAACCCGCACTACAGCGACAGCACTGAATGTTTTATACAAACTGTACGGAGACACCTGCATTCTGGTTTAAGGTGCAGGAAGCCAGAGAAGAAAATATTGTTATCTGTGGTTCACCAGCAAAAGCGCTAAGAATTTGCTAGGACTTTATTAATTTTGATTGGGCGAACAGTGTAATCATATTGAGCGACGAAAAGACTTTCAAGTCGGATAAGGATGGGCGTAAAATATTGTGAAGAAAAGATGGAGAAAGGTATACGAATTGCAACCTTCTGCCTTGTAGGATCAGTGATTGTATTGATTTCGGAATCAATTATTGAGCCTGTCAAACTCTGCCTTTATTAAAATTAACATAAAATAATGTTTAATTTTTTTAAGAATATTAAAATGCTGTCTAGAACATACGGTGAAGTGATGTTATTGTTTTGTGGTTAGAAATTGTCATAATTTCTTTCTATTCAACATGTTTATTCACTTCACTTTAATTTTTCATTAACAAATTTATTTAACTGCTTTCGAACTTGATTGACATATTATATTTACGCCCATCTTCAATTAATTTAAAGTTTCCCTGATTCTAAAGGTCATGAAAGTTAAAATCGTTCCATAGCATTCGTCACATTCTTTTTACTATCATACAGCCCACTGAATATTGAACCTTATAACAACCGTCGTAAAATATAATTAATGGAAGTTCAAACGACAAAAAGTCGCCCATTTCAAGAAATATTATGTTGACAGTGTAATTTTTTACATGTTTTACTTGTTTATTACTGTAAAACTGTAATTTAATAATACATTATATTTTTAAATTACAAAACAAGAATGTTGTATATTTGTTTATTACCTACTTAATAAAAAATGTTGCTGCCATCGTATTACCGCTGTACCGCATGATATTTCCCGATTCGACTATGAGGTTTATTGTCATATCTATTAATTATGATTTAAAGAACTTTAAACTTAACATGTGGTATATAATTAATTATTAGATATAAATATTGAATATAAAACAACATATTTGTATACTTAATAAATAAATTAATTGTAATAAAAAATAGTATTGTTTTATTTACCAACTCATTTGCTTCTTTTATAGCCTGATATTTATATTTTATGACAAAAAACAAAAAGAAAAATAAGAAAAATAACAAGGTAAAATAAAATTAACTTTTAGCTGGAATAGAACCCACATCATTGATCCTTGAAAGACGATAAAAGCGTGCTCATTAACCAATCGACCACGAGCACTACGATAATGACAGTGAAAATGTCGGGTCATATCAATGATTGTAAATAGTTTTAACCTTACCTATGCATTAAATTATAAAAATACGTATACCGACACAAGAATGAAAATACCAATGTGAACGTGGTGGACGAATATTTTTATATACAGTTATATGAAATTACGCACACATGTACACTGTGTAAATGACAGTTGTGTCGATGTGTAGCGCTGCAACTAATTAGCGGTGCTTTGTGTACATTCTACCTTAATTGGCATGCAAATATACATTTGAAAAGAATTTATCAAATATTCATTACAAACATACAAAAATAGGTACAAATCTTTCCTCTTTATAATATTAGTACCTATAGATATAATAATAATAATAATACCTTAACATCAGAATCAGTGTGTTATTTGGAAAAATGTGTTTAGAACGCAAAACGCAACTAAAACTTCTATTAATATGGCATTTTATATTTATGGCAATACTTAAGCTAGAACTGTCAAACAACCATTTTGAAGTATCATTCCCGACTGTTGTCATTGTGTACTCTTGTTTTAAATTAAAATAACTTATAAACCATGGGTTTAGCCACTGTTATTGAGAACGAAGCTCATTTCCAGACGGAAATGGCCAATGCTGGCACCAAACTGGTTGTAGTCGACTTCACAGCCACTTGGTAAGTATAACCTGATTCTGTTCAAATATTCAAGTCATCGCTGTAGTACCTAAATAATTGATTATGTTGTGTATAGGTGTCCGCCTTGCCAACGAATTGCACCATTCTTCGAGCAACTGCCAGCAAAGTTTCCTAGAGCTGTGTTCCTGAAGGTGGACGTGAGCAGATGCGCCGACACTGCTACCGCTCAGGGCATCAGCGCTATGCCAACTTTTATTTTCTACAGAAACCGAGTACGTGTCCCTATTGTTAACACGCTTATTTTATTAGTTTCTTAATTTCAGTTTCAACACATATTTTTTTTAATAATTTCTTGTTGGATGACTCAGTCTTTTTAATTATCGAAAGTACCAGAACGTCATTATAATCTTATTTACAGACAAAGATTGACCAGCTACAGGGTGCTGACCCCACCAGCCTAGAAAATAAAGTTAGACAATACTATGGCACTGATGAATCTGGAGATGATGATAACGCTGTTGCTGGACATGTAAGTTTACACATTTACAACTCTTAAAACTTTCATAATTTACATATATAGTGTGAAATTAATGTGTTTACATTATTTGCAACTTCAATAAACCAAGGATTTCAAATAAAACCCTTAAGTGATACAGATATTGCACTTAAGAGACAAAATCTAATAAGAAAGTTAGTCTTTATAATGTCTTATCCACCTTGAGGTCCAGACAGCTTAGTATAAGTTTGTTTTATGTTTAACGAGATTAAAACATTACCATGTTTATCTTTCTGATTGGGTGCTTTATTGGAGCAGGCCAATCAGTGACTGGAATTTTCTCCTGTGTCATAGGTGTGTTCCCACCCAACCAAAATAACAGTTTGTGGATTACACAAAGAACTTTTCTGTGGCAACCAAAAATGCTGTACATTGTGCAGCAGCTGGTTGCACAGCCGTGGTACTAAACAAGTGCACTCAAGTTCACATTAAACTTCTCAATTTCAGATGGATCTGGCAACATTTATCACTAAGAGTGAGTGTGAGTGCCTGAATGAAGCTGATAACCATCCAATGGCACACTGTCTGACTAGTGCAGGAGGGTACCTTGCCAGTGATTGTGATGAGCAGCTCATCATCAATATAAGCTTCAACCAGGTAAATGACCATTTATAATATAGGCATATATTCATATACTTGCAAACAATGCATAGTATTTTTTCACGAGAACACTACACTAGTTAGAGCAAAGATCTTTTCCAAACATTCTTAATATTAGAAGAATACAATGAATGAGTTCATATAATTGTATGTAAATAATAATTTATTATTTCAGTTGGTAAAGCTACATTCCTTAAAAATTAAAGGTCCCAGTGACAAGGGACCTAAGAATGTTAAGATCTTCATCAACCAGCCACGTACACTCGATTTTGATCAAGCCTCAGGAAATATGTCGGTTCAGGATCTTGAGTAAGTTCAATACGTATTGCAAACATACATAACATAACATCACGCCTTTTATCCCCGAAGGGGTAGGCAGAGGTGCACATAGAAGTAACACCCACTTTTCACTATTTATGTTATGAGTCCCATGTAATAGGGGGTGAGCCTATTGCCATATACCGGGCACATTTCCAGACTCCGTGCTACTACTGAGATTTTTTTTTTTTTTTAAAAACCCAGTAATACTTTGCCCGACCCGGGAATCGAACCCGAGACCCCTTGCCCGGCAGTCGCACTTGCGACAACTCGGCCAACGAGGCAGGCCAATAATGCAAACATATTATAGATAAATTATTTATTATGTGACAGTATGAAGAATACAGTATTTTTAAAGTATTTACGTGAATCGTGACGTTATGGAGTATAAAACTTGAATCTATTTAAAAAATCCTACTGAAACCTTATCAAATAGCATATTCTTATTTGAATGTGCCTAGTATGGTAATAAGATCACTTCTGAAATCTTGTAACTTATTGTTATTTCCATCCTCCAGGTTTACTCCTAGTGATTTAGAAGGCAACCCAGTGCCTCTGAAGTTTGTGAAGTTCCAGAGTGTTCAAAATATTCAGCTGTTTATAAAGGACAACCAGTCTGGTGGAGATGTTACACAAATTGACCACTTGGCATTCTATGGATCTCCCATCTCCACCACAAACATGGGAGAGTTCAAACGGGTGGCAGGCAAAAAGGGAGAAAGCCACTAGCATAATTTAATTCTATAGAAGATAGTTCAGTATTGTTGTGTTCAATAAATTGTAACTGACATGGTGCAGGCATCTATACCCTGGTTGGGCAACTAATATGTATAATAAAAAGTAGGTCATCACTTCATTCATCAACATCATTACCAATGTGCACAAACTGAACTATTTTCTATGAAATCAAATGGTTTCATTTCTCAAACTGTGTCAAATAGTAGATTTGAATTTTCTAATATATAATATTGTATTATCATAATATTCTGCAATGTATTCATGAAATATGGTGTAACACACATAATTAATATTATTGTTTTTAAGTGTAAAGGTCATTCCAGGCCACAGTTTGTTAAATGGAGATTTCGAATTATCAGGAATTTGTATATGCAATAAATAAATATACAGAAATAAAGTTCGTTTATATTTATTGCCTAAAATATTAAACTCAGTCCTGCTTTAGTTCATAAATCTGAATGTATGCCTCTGTGAGTGTAATCATTTGAGGTAGTATACTGGTCACGTGAAGGTCTTGCATTTCATACCTGTAAAAAAAAAATATTAGAGAGAAAAAGTATGGTGGTTAAATTTCTAAATTTACAATTACGATACACAAAAACTGATAACTGAGGCCTTAGTACGAGGTTCTTTTACGTTTAAAGTAATCGTAACAAGTACCCGTTCAGCGCTGTGATTGGCTGGTGCCAATGAACCAACCAATCAAACGAACGCGTTCTAGTTTGGATTACTTTTTACGTAAAACTAACTCGTACTAAGCCCTCGGGTAGTAACTGCGTATGTGCTTGCATATCTACAGCTCCTGTTTGTACGGCTCTAAACAGACGAACGGATTTCAACTGCAATTTGCAGTTCGGATGCAGTTTGAACGCAGTTGACACGATTGCAATAGCTCGTTAAGATTGCAACCGTTTGGTGATGACTGCAGCAATAGAACTGCAATCGGACTGCACGTTAAGTTTGCTATTGCAGTTGTGACTCGACTACATTCAAACTGCATCCGATTGCAGTTGAAATGCGTCCGTCTGTCTAGGGCATAGGGCGTAAAGTTATCAATTGGTTATCCTTACTTGCTTACTAATATTATAAATCGGAAAGTGAGTTTGTTTGTTTGTTCCGCTTTCACGCCGTAACTACTAAACCGATTGCTTTGAATTTTTGCAGACGTAAAGTTATCCGGATTAAATAATAGGGTACTTTTTATCCCGGAAAAATGTGATATTCCCGAGGTAAAATAAAGGTATTGGTATAGATGGCGCTGTGTGTGTCACATAGGCTACGTTTTATCCTTTTGTGGCACGAGCGAAGCCGCGGGTAAAAAGCTAGTAAGTTAAAATTACCATTGCTGTGTAGGTTTATGAAGAACATGTGCTCTGTAGGTTCCCTTTTCTGGTGTGCCATCGTGTACGATGTTGCCAACTAACTCGTAGATGGTCTTCCCATTATGTTTCGCTTTTATTTCTGGTGTTAATATATCACCGAAGTCTACGTTTCTGTGGAATAATTATTAAAATATTAAAGTGTTGTAAGAATCCATACATGTAGTGACCAGACAGGTTAACCTACTCGTTGTTCTTGAAATGAAAAAAAAACATATGTGACCCACCATGACCTTTGAGACGAAGGGTTTATGGGTAACACAAATCTCTGAAAAAATTGTGTCGGTCCACATTCGTTAGTCTCGCTAAAACTCGAGACTGGCTGGACCGATTTGGCTAATTTTGGTGTTGAATTATTTATGGACGCTAGAGAAGGTTAAAAGATAAAAGTATAAAAAACATATTTGAGGTGGTTCGCAGTTTGCCGGGTCATCTAGTGCTTAATAAAATTCTGACATTTTAAATTCAGACATTCGGAGGTCTCAGGAATCCTCGAATTCCTAACCCCCCAAAAGGGCGGCAACGCACTTCTAACGCCTCTGGTGTTTCGGATGTCCATGAGCGGCGCGGATTGGTTGCCATTAAGTGATCCGTCTGCTCGAAAAGAAAATCTAAAAAAAACATTTAAAGGTTGACCCCTAGTTACAAATTAATACAATACTTACTTAACAGGGAAATTGACGACGGTTGGATTCTTCTCGACAAAGAAAGTATTTTTCGTAAACCTCTTGATGTATAAAATCAAATAAGGTGGCAACTGTGTGATCTCAAACCTTTTTAGGAAATTTTCTTTATAAGTTTTGTACTCTTTTGATGTCTGCCCATTGAACTTGGAAAGTAGTTGGTAAAGGTTCACCTGCAAGTAAAAGTAAATAACTGCATTGAAGAAAATTTGAAGTTTACTTAAAAATTTATGTGAACAGAAAACAGCTAATGAAATATAAAAAATAAACACATTAGATTTTACGATTCGTATTTTTCCAAATATTTTTAAAGAAATAACAATAAGTATGACTGCTTCATTGGGCGAGTGGTCGTAAGTGCGACTGCCGGGCAAGGAGAGGTTTCTTTCTAATGGGAATATTTAAATAATTACTAAAATTAGTTGTCTAGATGAAGTAAATGTTGGGCCTTATTTTGTATTTGTCCTTTCATCGGTTGCGAAGTTATTCGATTCGTTATTGTATAATAATACCTGTGGGATAATATTTTCTCTAAATTCATCAGTGAAGAGTGGCGTGGGGGGCAGGTCACACGTCAGATATAGGAAAGGAGACTCCGTAATCATTTCGCTGTACTCCTCACTGCTCAAGTCCACTTTTGCAGCATCATCTGCGTCCGTTGGTGGTAGCTTCCTAATAAATAATAGATAAAACTCGAGTCAGTACAAAAAAAGGTGTGTCACATAGAAAGTACAGTAGACGCATCATCGCTTTCCACCAGGCGAGATATTGGTGAAACGTCGGCCCATTTTATTTTATATTTATAAAAAAAAGACAATTTCCATACAATATTCGTCCGAAAAAAAATTAAAGTGTGTGGCCAAACCCAAATTATCTCCATTGGTTCGGCCATATTAAGAACTTAAAATATTATGGACTAGCAAACCCGACGAACTCCGTTTCGCCACCAGTTAAAAGTGACTTTCTTTGCTATAAACCTCACGGAGCCCGAGACCTTTCCAACGAATGTAAAACCGCGGAAATCAGTTCGTGCGTTCTGGAGTTATAGCGTCAGGAAGGAAAACCCGACTTATTTTTACTATATAGTAGAGTTTTTGTCTTTACTAAAATTTTCATATTTCAATAGGCAGGTAGATAAGCAAACTAATCAAATGACAAGCGATATAAAACCAACTATTTTTAGTTTTTAGTGAAATTGTAGAAAAAAGCCTTAACTAAAAATAACGTTTTACTCCCGTAAATATACTGAGAAAAGCTCTACTAGTTTCGAGTGAGTAGGCGACGTCGCCGCTACCGCGCACTGCTCATGAGGAAGAGTCCCTCTGTAACACGAAACTAGTAGAGCTTTTCTCAGTATATTTACGTGAGCAAACCATTATTTTTATTTCATTCAGTTTGTCTCATCTCACGATAGTTATTACAAAAGTACTAAAAAATCTCCTTTGTTGGTGGAAACAAAGTGAATTAAGCCTATTTACCTGGTATATATCCTCATGTGTCCCAGAAACGATTTGTATATAATAGAACTATTTGGTTTCTTAGTCCCATTAAGAGCCATGTGCAGGGAATTCAAAAACCATGATAAAAAGTCGATGGGATCACCTATAAATTAAATAAACTTGGATTAACACAGTTTAAGAGAATAGACTGTCATGTTAGCCGAGTGGTCGCAAGTGCGGCTGCCGGCCCAGGGGCTCGGGTTCGAATCCCGGGTCGGGCAAACAATTAGTAGCTTTTAAAAAAATCTCAGTACTAGCATGTAGTCCGAAATTGTGCCCGGTATATGGCAATAGGCTCATCCCCTATTACATGAGACTCATAACATAAATAGTGAAAGTGGGTGTTAGATTCTATAGTGGCATTAAGTGCCGTAACGTGCACCTCTGCCTCCTCCTTCGGGGATAAAAGGGGTGGTGTTATGTCGTTATGCAACACAGTTATCAATCAAAATAGCCCATATAATAAAAGTAATAACTCACTTTGTTTGATGAACTGGAATCTCTTTTTTGACCACAATACCACTGCTTGGAGCATTTCATGAGGTGATACGTGAGCTTTGAATGCTCGCGGATTCCACAACTTTCGCAGAAGTTCGCCAAATCTTTGCACCAAGAGGAATGAGGAGTCGCCTGGTGGTCGCTTTACATTAGCGTAGTTCTCTTCACGCAAGAAGTAGTTACGTAGTGGACGTACTTGTGATAGACACTGGGACCATAAATATTATTATTATTAATCAATAAAAACTGGCAACAAAATTATAAAAAGCATACTTGTATTTATTTGTTCTTTTAGGCAACAATATGAGTCGACGGTGAATATTGAATTTCTAATAAATAAATAAATAAATAAAATTAAATAAAATTTATTAAAAAAACAACATAGAACACATTTAGAATTACAGTTCGCTCAGATTTTATAGTAATAAAAAGTCTTAATAATAACACTCGTAATAGTTTACTTAATCTAGTCTTATACAATATACATGCGAGGAAATAACGTTCTAAGTACCTATATATAGGGATTACCCGAACTAGGTTTATTTAAACCTGTGTTTCAGGCTATCAATGCCAAAAAAATGAATTGACACATAAACATAACATCACGCCTTTTATCCTCGAAGGGGTAGGCAGAGGTGCACATTATACCACTGTACAATGTAACACCCACATTTCACTATTTATGTTATGAGTCCCATGTAATAGGGGGTGAGCCTATTGCCATATACCGGGCACAGTTCCAGACTCCGTGCTACTACTGAGAATTTTTAAAAACCCAGTAATACTTTGCCCGACCCGGGAATCGAACCCGAGACCCCTTGCCCGGCAGTCGCACTTGCGACCACTCGGCCAACGAGGCAGTCAGAGAGGCAGAAAAATGAATTGATGGATATAATTATAAATAAAAATCGTATTACACAATTATTTAAAGACCAAGCAAAGACAACCTGTCCTAAATTATGAAACAAACAACACTATACTAGTTAATATGTAGATTTATCACTAAAAATAAGCAGTTTATTTTAACACTTCTAGTAATTTTTCCGTTTCTGAGTAATTGAGGGACTGTAAATATTCTGTAAGTATTAGATTACACTTATATAAACTTACACTATAAACTTTTAACAACCTGTTGAGTTTGTTATATAAATATGGTCCTAAAAACAAATAAAATCTGTTAGTAAAAGCATGTTTCGTCTGAGGGTTAGTGCAAACTAAATCCTTTCTTCTCTTGTCGGAAGATATCGGGCTAAAACCAATTTCAGTATGCTGCAGCAGTACTACGTTAAGGATGAATAACTGGCGTACTGTCAGTACTTTGCATTCCCTGTATAGCTGTTGAGTAGGAAACTTGAAAGGACGAAAGGTGGCGACCTTCAGAATTGCTCTTTGGGCACGTTCTAGGGGCAGGAGAATAGTTTTTAGAGCACCACCCCATGAGTTAATACAGTAGGCAAGAATGGATTGACATAATGCCATATATACCTGGCGGATTAAGGCAAAGTCCGCAATGTTGCGCAAGTATTTGAAGACATATATTAATTTTCGTACTCTAGTGCATAGTGTATCAATATGTTTCCGGAAATTGAGATTAGCATCAATAGTGACACCTAGATATTTTATATAGTCAGTTTTTACCAATGTAGGGCAAGCGCATGCTGTGTCAGCAGTCGTGCTCGTATGACAACTATGTGCATAAATGTTAAGGTTAGTAGTCGATATGTGAGTATTTCTCATTGAAAATAACATGTAGTTTGTTTTATCTGAATTCAATGTTAGGAGATTATTATGAAGCCAATTAGACACTATATTAAAACCATTTTGGGCAAATTCATAGACCTCATCATTTGATTTACCTGTGAACACCAGAGCTGTGTCATCAGCATATGACATAATAACACCATTTTGGAGGGTCAAGCTGCATAGGTCATTGATATATATTAGGAATAAGGTAGGACCTAATATACTACCCTGAGGAATTCCGTAACTACTGTTTTTTAGTTCAGAACTTCTATATTGTCCAATTTTTACGCACTGCTGACGATTTTTAAGATAGTCCGTGAATAATTTCAGCTGTACTCCTCTTATACCAATTTTTTCAAGTTTATGGAATAACAAGGAGGAAGAAATGGTGTCAAATGCCTTCGCAAGGTCTAAGAAGATCCCAATTGTGTACATACCTTTATCCAAACTTGTGCATATATAATTAGTGAGTTGATGAACCGCTTGGTTAGTTGATCTTTTAGATCTGAATCCAAATTGACGATTGGAGAGTAAATTGTTGTTCTCAAGATATTTAATTAGTCTAACGTTAATAATTCTCTCCAAAATCTTAGAAAGGCCTGATAGTACTGCAATAGGTCTATAATTGGTAATATTAGTTTTGTCTCCGGCTTTAAAAACGGGAGTTACTAAGGCCTTTTTAAGAAGATTGGGAAATATACCGTTCGTTAAGCATAAGTTAAATATATATGTTAGTGGAGGTGCAATTACGTGCTTAAATCTTTTAAGTACATTATTAGGGATGTCATCCCACCCAACAGCACAAGAGTCCTTTAATCCATCTATAATACTAACTATTTCTTTAACGTCAGTGTCGAGTAACACAAACGAACCTAAGGTAGTAAGTGACATAGTTGTACTTTGCGAAAAGGAATTTCTGTATAGAGCTTTTTCAGCTAGGTTTTTACCAATATCAACAAAATATTTGTTCACTTTATTTGCCGCTAGAATTGGGGTTGTATCAGTTTCTAAAAGTTCTAGAGCAGAGTCTGATTTCTTTGATCTAAAAGTGTTATTTTTAACAACTTCCCAAATGAGTTTACTATTCTTACCGGCTTTTTGTATTTGAACTTTGTCGTATTGGGTTTTTAAATTTTTCAACAGATTATTGCAGAAATTCCTGTACCGTTTATAAGTAACAGAAAGTATCTCGTTATCCGGTGCGAGTCGTAGTTTTTGGTGTAGTTTATCCCTATGTCGAATGCAACGGACCAGGCCGGGTGTAATCCACGGCTTAATATTGCAGTATTTTCTAGGTAGAATTTTATTAGAAGTATTCTTATTAATAATTTTTTGTAATGAATCAATAAAATACTGCAGACTAAGATTTGGATCATTGGAACAGTAAACAGGGTCAAGGTTTAAGCCGCGTATGTCATTTTCAAGTGCTAACATATTTAGTTTTGTTATGCTACGCATGCAGTTTTTTCTAGGTAATGACATTTGTAGAGTTAGCAATATTGCGTGGTGATCTGTAAGCGATGAATTAGTAATGTAAGTTTTAGAGGGCGATTTAGATTTTATAATTATGTGATCTAAGCATGAACCACTCTGGTGTGTAGGGTGATCATGGGCTGGCAATAGTCCGTGGAATGTACAGATATTCAGGTAGTTATGCGCATGAGTGTTAGTTTTCCCAGAAGCAATATTTATGTTTATGTCACCTAACAGTATAATATTACTATAACATGAAAGTTGTTCTAAAATAGTACTAAGCGATTCTATAAATATATCTACATTTTGAGATGGTGGCCTATATACAGCTAAAACTATTGTATCTTGGTTAATTTTAATTAAAAGACTATTACAGCCTTGAAACAAGGGTTCGTGCACTGATACTGTAAGGGTATTTTTAATGTATACAACCAGACCATCATTTTGGTTGATATTCATTGCAGTTTTATACAAAGTATAACCCTTCAGCATTGGCAAATTATCTGTTTGTTTACATAACCAACATTCTGTAAGTACAATGACGTCACAGCTAATATCAAGGTTCTGTAATAGTACTTCAAACCCATTAAAATTCCGACTTATACTACGAATATTTTGAGTTAGGAAAGTTAGGAACTTATCACTAGTAGGAATAAAATTTTTGCAGTTTTCAACATTACAAACAATCGATTCAGATACGGAAAAATTATCAATATCGCTTAGGAGATTGTTAGTCATATCGTTTGGATGTAATTAAGTTAAGATAAAAATAGAAATTAAGACTACTGTTTATGTGCTAGAAGTGCTATAAGAACACACATGACTTTATTTTCACACAATTATTAAATGAGTATCAACAGCTAGGCAATTCTGCAACTTTCAATTTTAATTTCGAATGATTGCGGTCCGCCAAGTCATAGGTTGTGAGAACAGTATCTTTTTCTTTTTTTTTTAAAAAAAACTTTGCCCTACACTCAGATTTTCTCCTGGCTCGTGGGTGTGTTTACAAACATACAAGTTCGCATGACATGACACCCAGACCCAAAACTACAACTACAATACACAATGCAATAGTTGCTTTGTGTAAGAATTTAATGTTGAGTAGTAGTTGGTTGCCTATACCCATGCCACCATGCAAACCGTGTATTCAAATATCGACTAATAACAGGCGAGAATACGATCGAGCTCAATTCTCTGCCTACCGTCGGGGACAAAAGGCGTGATGTTAGTTAACTTGTTTCATCAAATCCTTTGAAACAGTTTCTTATTTAATACCTAGGTGTTGAATGAGAGAAGTTTGTGATCTTAGCACATTGGATGCCGAACCGGACAATGATGAACGACGCTAGCGAAGGATTAGCCTTTTAGTTAACTGTTTTTGTTGGCAGTTCTTAATAATATAATGTTCATACCTGGAGAATAACATTGCAATAGTCATTTGCCTTGATATTATTAAGGCCAACTATTCCTGGCATGTACATAGTACTGTCGATAGCTCTGGACATCTTGGTGTTGTAATCCAATTGCTTTATCTGCTCCAGTGTGAAGATTGGGTTCAAAACATACTTTATGTCATTTAGAGATGAATCTGGAAGAATAAAAATTTATATCATCTTTTTGCTATACAACCTGTATTTAATTGAAAACATGTAATTTATCAAAGGAGATGGCAGGATGATCTTGATACCTATCAAAAGGATTGGCCACAGAAGGCTCTATGGAGAGATGAGTGGAAGGAGGTTAGGGAGGCCTTTACCCTGCAGTATGAAAACCATGGCTAATATAAATTTTAGTTTACATATGCCACAGTTAACAATTAAATTTAACCCATTGAAATTCGTCCCTTAAATTTGTTCATACAAAAGTAGTCTCTAAATATTGGAAATAAGGTCTATAATCTAGTTAGTGGAGAGCGGTCACCGGTGACCGCTTGGGGATGTATGGGGTAAAAGATATTTTTATTAGATGCAATACAAATACATGTTAAATGTTTAAACACTTAATAAATATCTTACCTATAACTTCATAGTTATCAGGGAGACAGTAGAACTTCAGTGTGTGAAGATTGAGGAAGACATGATGACCATCCGCGACTGAATGAGTGTAAGCATGTGTATTTGTACCTCTTCCCTGTCAAATGAGAACATATATAATTCATTAATTTGGTACCTACTATAGTATGTACCAAATTTCATATTTCAACTATTATAAAGCGGAAGAGTTTTTTTGTTTGTTTGTTTGAACATGCTAATCTCCCTAACTACAAGTCTGATTTGAATAATTCTTTTTGTGTTGGATAGCGCATTTATCGAGGATGGCTATAGGCTATAAAACATTACTCTACGACCAATAGGAGCTGAGCAGAGCGTGTGAAACCGTGTTTACGATCACCTGATCGTAAGCAATCGGCGCCGCCCATGGACACTCGAAACACCAAGGCGTTACAAGTGTGTTACTGGCCTTGATTTAATAACAAACATACATACAAACTTATGTACCTTTTTATTTATAATTTATTTATTTATTAGTATATATAATTAATAACATATAATTTATCATTTACTTGTTTATTAGTAAGATAAAGAATGAACAATTGGTAAAATGTTTACCTGGAAGTATTTGCCACAAACAAGACAAGCATAAACATTGATCCTTGTTAATGAAACTGAACAGAGCTTCTCAAAATCAAAATCCAGGACATGTCTATTGATAGTATCTAAGTATGGACACTGGATGTGCATAGTTTTCGATGTGGGTTCTGTAAATAAAAGTAACACAGTAACATATAAATCTGAACAGAAGCGGTATGTATCAGATATGAAATATGCGGCACGGCGTAATGCACACTACACAACTAATAATTTAATTTTGCAGTTTTAACTGTATGTAAATACGTATAAATCGTAAGGTGAGTAGAACAGTTTGACTGTTCTGTTTTATCTGAATATGTATGAAGGCTGTATAGACCTACGATTGCACAGTTAAATAGGTAGTTAGGTGTGTAGCATGCATAAGCCATTGACTCAGAAATTCTATGTTTATTAAATATTGAAAGTAAATAGGTTATGATTATGAATGATGCTTACCGGGTAAATCTGTGCCATTATCTTCAGATATCTTTCGTTTTTTACTATTAGTTTCTTCAGACATGACTTTAAAAGGCACTTTTCAAAAAAACAACGGGAATGGTTTCTAATTCGTATAATTTAATATTTGGTAACTTCACAAACTAAGGCGAACACAAAACTTGATTGATCAACGCAAGTCAAAAGTGACAGTTGCGGTTGAGCTGTCCGACGAACAACCATAGACTATAGTGTTCAACCAATTTTATTTAAATTCCAGGTGAGAAATCCTTAGGCCCCTTCGCCTGGGGAGGACGAAAGGGGCTATCAGACTCTTACTGACTAGAACCCACCACGGTGTCCCGTCTCAAACGTGAAAACGTGAAAACGAAATTCTTCCGCAGACCCCAAACTCGTGGCGGCCTGCCTCAACTCATATCTCAAGATGCACAGTGGAGTGGTACAACGCGCGCTACCATCCCGGGCGACCCGGGAATCCCGGGTCTCTAACGGGGTGACGGGGACTTCCCCAAGTGTAGTGTAACGTATTCGGGCCCAATAGAGAATGCGAAACAGCGAAATTGCGAACCATACACTTCATCTGACAATCAACTGACATTGACACTAACTATTTAGTTGTCATCCTAGAAATCGAATCTTCAATCGTCATTTTCTTCCCGAAAATGGCCGCATCAGGAGGAAATATTGAATGGTCTACAACTGTTAAACCAATATTAACAGCTCTTTACGGCCCCTTTTTCGATAAAAATGATGCCGTCGAAATCATCCAAGCCATCATCAAAAGGTTGGTTTCAATTTTGCATTCTAGCTGTTCTAACAAAGTTATTTTGATAGCTCACCTGATTAATCATCGATTTGTTACCTATTTATTTATAAACTTTAATCTTATTTTTATAGTCAAATTAGGTCTAAATATCGATATTTTTAGAAAGTAAATCTTAGGTTATTGTTTCGTGAGAATAATTAACTTATTTTTTGTGGACTACGTTTATTAGGGCAGCCAATTTTTACAATAATATTATACCTTCGCATATTTTTTTGTTATTTTTTTATAAACACCGCCTATGACGCCTTCTTATCGTCCTAATTTGTAAATACATAAGTTTAAACTGAAATAATAATTTAATTATGTAAATCCTTAGAACTATCTCTCCATTGTTTGACTGAAAATCTTTGTATCATTGTCCACAGCGAAAGTGAATTCCAGAACCATGAAGACATTTATGACTTGTTCTACACATGCTTTGCATGCCTCTCTGCACATTTTATTAGCATGAATGCTAATAACTGTAAGTACCTCAAATGAGTTTTGTCGAATCAGACCTTTAACAATATATTACCTATATGAACTCTAAACTTATGAACTGTATAATGATAATTTTCCTCGTCATAATATTTAAAGACAACCCCTTGGTTGTGGTTATTGTTTAGTAAACCAATCTCAGTAACCGTCTGTGGGTAGATTTTCTGAATAACCTGATTATCCAGAAAAGTATTTTTTTACCAATAGAAAAATTTCACAATATTTTGCAACACAGAATATTCTCATTACACATTGCTGATCAGCTTCAGTAAGCACTACATGACGACACTTACAGCTTATAATATAATTGTGTATATTTTTAACATAACATAATATAACATCAGACCTTTTATCCCCGAAGGGGTAGGCAGAGGTGCACATTATGCCACTGTACAATGTAACACCCACTTATCACTATTTATGTTATGAGTCCCATATAATAGGGGGTTAGCCTATTGCCATATACCGGGCACAATTCCGGACTCCGTGCCACTACTGAGATTTTTTTGTGTATATTTTTATAAATATTTATTTATTGAGTCCTGTTTTTTAAAATGTGTTACCCAATTAATTATTGATTCAATTAAATAAAATGTCTACTATCTAGATTGTTTTAAGTTGTCTGGGGTATTAAGATCACTGATTGGTACAGTAACAAGATGTCTGGCTGTCTGGCTTCAATTTCTTAGTGGCTCATAAAGTGCTAATGGTCTTTCTAATTAAAAACCATAGAAGCCTGGAGATTGGAAATTCAGCAGACCTTTGGTCCTAAATATGACCTCTCATGATCCAATAAGATAACACCTGTAAGCAATTACTATAATTAGTCTATTTCAACTACTATTTCCAATAAGAAGCTACCACAACTAAAAATACTAATAAAAATACCAGCAAGGCGCTTCTGACTCCTTTAGTGTTGAGGGTGTCCATTGTCCATGCCTTCAGATGATCTGTCTTCTTTGTTAGCCACCACATCCCATAAAAGAAGCATCTTATTAGATCATGATAATTAAAGAACAGACATTTCAGCAGGATGTACACACTTGTGCTTTATAATATCTCCTGCATACATCACTTTAGGCATTTAGAATTTACTGTAGTAGTTGAGACTTGCGAGTATTATGTAGTATGATACTTCAACAACTACTTCTACTATAACACTTCAAGTAACTACATATATTTGCATGCCACATGTGGCAGAATATGATGAAATATTGACTTATATTATAAGACCTTGTCATATACCGTATTCTGTGAAACAAATGATTTGATTTGATAGATATTTTATCCAGCATCATAAAGTAATAAAATTTCATCATAAAGTATTATATTATATTATAGCATCATAAAGTAAAAAGAAAAAATCAAAAGGTAAACCCCACATTATTTTGAAACAAATCTATTTACTGAGTTGAATGTCTGTATACTTTGTCCAACCATGTTACCAAAAGCTCATTTGTTTATGGTTAGACATAGACAAGCTAATTTGAAAGAAGGATTCCAACAAGTAGTTTGGTCATGACCCGTACTAAACATTGTAAACAAGAAGAATTGTTTTATATTAATGGGGTCCGAAATTACGGGACCAATTGGAATTTTTTCTTCATTGGAATGCCTACTCTTCAAAGGGTTTTTGTCTTGATATTCTTATGGGACCCTACTTGCGAGAAAGCCTCTAAATTCCTAGTGCAGGTGTGCATCTAAGATGACGTCATCACACAATGGATAGCCTTAAATGAGTCACATATTTTGTAAAACAAAGGAGATAAAATATAAATTTTTACAGTTTTTAATTATGTCCTAGTTTGCAGCAAAATTTCCTTTACTTCTACAAAGAGAGTACAAAGTAATCTTATACATGTCAATAAATTAAAACTAACTAGATGATACTATTTACTTTTATGAAAAGGAATGCCAAACCTAACTCAGGTGTTATAAATCCTGACAAATGATGAATAATAATATAGTATAGAAGAACTGTGCAAATTGATTCTGTAGTGCTCCTTTGAGGAAAGATCCACAATAGTTCGAGCGACCTGTTGTGATGGCAACATGTATGTGTCAGTTTACAATCAGCTCAACTAACAGCAGTTGTTGAATGATCTGACAAACAATAAATACATACTAATATTTAATTCTTCATTAAAGTAATAAAGTTGAAATGTTTTAGTACCAAATGACCAACTGACTACTGCAAGAGATGCATTCAGAGTGATACTCCGACAAATATTGAAGAAGCTCTCCGAGGCTGGATTGAGCTGTGATGATACGAACACGACAGCTGCTCCCAATGTGTCTGTCAAACAGGTTTGTATGATAACATTACTATCTAACGATCATTTTATTATTATAAGGATGTTTCTTTTAATTTCCGAGTGGGTAGACAGAAGTGCACATTAAGGTATGTAATGCCACATCATAATGTTCACCAACTCTTCAACATTTATGTTATGGAGCCCCATGTAATGGTGTTACCCTATTGCCATATACCGGGTACAATTCCAGACTCCGTGTAAAGATTTTTTAAAAGCAAGCCAATCGTGACTACACGACAAAGTTATTCTGTACATAAAGTTGACCAATATTCCTGTACCGTGCCTTATACATCCGCCAAGACGTAGACAGATTCGACTGTTGAACTGTATCAATGCGGTTCAAGCCTACAGTTAATAATTTATACAGTTCCTTCTCGGTTATCGCCGCACCACGCCTTACTAAGCCTGACTATTAATAATCTATACAGTTCCTCGGTTATAACCGCACCACGTATTACTAAGTGGTTCCGATCGGGTCAAAGTGAAAGCATTTATTTCAATTAAACCATAGTTTGGTACTTTTGAAACGTCAACAAATACAAAATAAATAATAGTCCGTCAGTGAAACTAGGTGAAGCTAGGTGCTCATTCCAAAATGTAGATTCGAATGGAGAAGAACGAGCAAGAAACTCCATTCGTTACTCTTTTTAAAAAAGTATGTTCTACAATCAAAACAAAATAAGTTAACATAATGATTTTCGTTAAATATTTATGTTCCGGTTTTTCCCCTAGCTTCTACTGCCCATTGTGGGGCTATGCGGCATCGACGGAGGGGGATACCCTCAATCTGACTTAGTGATCTTGACGTCGCTGCTGAAAAATGCCAAACTACCCGCACATGTGTCCGTGCCTGGTATGTATCCACTATCATTACTTTAAGAATTATTAAGCAATAAAGAAGTTTTCCAGTTGTTACTAATGCATGAGGAAAAGAGCGAATGTTTCTTTCGTCTTTCTCATGAAATATTATAATGACATATTACCACTACCTCTTAAAAAAATTGCAGCTTTATCTACCACGTACATTTCTGTACTAGGTACTAAAAGAATTATTGGCAGAGAATGCTGTTAGTTAAAAGTCCTCTTTATGCAATTGTATAGTATAGAACAATACATAAATAGACATGGGTACTTTATCCGCACGTTAAAAAATAAGAATGTATTCAATTCATATGACATGTTATAGATAGGTAGTTAAATATTGTTGATTTTTACTTCCTAATTTACTCCACTAACTCCGCTACCAAAGTAACAAGTGGTATTGGTATTTTCATTTTGTATTCAGAGGCATAAGTGCGAGTTGGTATGAATTGACACAAGACCGCGTCCGGACCTCTGATTGGTTGGTTCAATGAGGCCGGCCAATCAGAGCGGCGAACGCGGTCTCGTTTCGATTACTTTAAAAGTAAAACAAACTCGTACTACACCCTCTTATAACAGTAAACCTAAATATTGTACTTGTATTTAAAATTATCGATAACCATATTTTGAAATGCGACCGTTAGACTGGTGGTTTTTTTTTAAAATAAACGTTGCCCCACATTAGTATTTTCTCCTGTGTCGTGGGTGTGTTTACAAACATACAAGTTCACATACACATCACACCCAGACCCGAAACAACAATTTGTGGATCACACAAAGTGTTGTTCCGTGCGGGAATCGAACCCGCGACACGTTGCACGGCAGCCGGTTGCCCAGCCACCGCACCAACCGTGCTTTAGATTAGACATTTCACAACTCTATATTATGTATACTTTGTCCCAGACTCACAAACAACAAAGTCGTCGGTTATACCAAGCTCGATTACGTCACTGGCTTCTCAAACGACTCCTACCGAGAAGCAACCGCCGTCGAACGCCCAAAGGCGTTCTGATGCTTTACTGGAACAATTGACTGCACCATTGCGCAACCCTGTGACTTCAATGACGTCATCTCAAGTGACACCCGCTACAGCCGTCCTGTCACCCGGCAGTAAGGACAGCTTGGAGAGTGCAAAGGATGGAAATGCTGCTCAACAGTCTTCCATTGATATGAAGGTTTGTAATTGTTATTAAGACAAATATTTTCTTTTCTTTATAATGTTATTTCCCATAAAACCCCAAGCGGTCACCGGTGACCGCTCTCCCCTAATATTATATTACATTATAGACCTTATTTCCAATGTTTAGAGACTACTTTTGTATGACCAAATTTAGGGGATGGATTTCAACGGGTTAAGTGCAGTTGGTTTAGTATAGATAGCAGGTAGTATAAATTCGCATACAACATGCTCCTACTTGGTGACAAACAAAACTACGTGTGTGAAGCAGAGCAGAAGGCTTAGTACGAGTTTGTTTTACGTTTAAATTCTAAGTAATCGGAACGAGACCGCGTTCGGCGCTCTGATTGGCCAGTTCCAATGAACCAACCAATCAGAGTCCGAGCGTCGAACGCGGTCTCAGAAAACATTTTTGTTACCACCTCTACTCTTCTTGGATTAAAGTCTACTAAACCCTCAGAATACATTTTTTTTAACATCCTCTCTTCTTGGACTAAATACTACAGACTGGACAGCAATGCTCCGTGATAAATCTGAACGATTTTCCTACCAAGCATGGAAGATAATAGCAAACATTCTTATGTAGAGGACACCACAGTCGAGTACAGCTGCCGATGATAGAACAAAACACTACAGCCGTGTTTCGCAATGTCCGGATAACCGCTATAAATACCAGATTAATTTAAATTAAGAATGGAATTTGTATGAGTTATCTGTCACATATAAGTCTATCGGGTAGTTGTATGAAGGTACCTATGTACGATGTACCTTTGTTTTGTTATATTTTTGTCCCTGTGTATTGTCTATGTTATTTGTGTAGATAAACTAGTAAATAAATAAGGTGATCAAAAAGGTGCTAAGTTAAATTCTCTTTTGTAGAAGTGGGTGGCCTCAACATGCTCGTCACTACTGATGGAGCTGCGCGCTGGGTCGGTGGTGCTGAAGGTGTGCGCGTCCCTGCCGTGTCTGCAGCGCTACCTCAACCGGTGGCAGACTGCCAAGGAATCTACTATAGCGCCTCAATTCAACTCTGACGCCTCACTGTATGTTGTTGTATATTTATTGTTTCTGTTGTTTATTTATTATAGTTTATTGTTAATTTATATGTTACACAAAAGTTTTCTCTTTTGCGAAATAGAGGAGAATGTAATTTCTTTGTACAATTCTCTTTTTATCCTTACTTCCTTACTTCCTTACTAATATTATAAATCTGAAAGTGAGTTTGTTTGTTTGTTCCACTTTCAAGCCGTAACTACTCAACCGATTGCTTTGAATTTGCAGACGTAAAGTTAGAAGTCCGGATTAAATAATAGGGTACTTTTTAACCCGGAATAAATTGATATTCCCGAGGAAAAACAAAAGTATTGGTATAGCTGTGTGTATTGGTATATATCACATAGGCTACTTTTTATTCTTTTGTCACGCGAGCGAAGCCGCGGCTAAAAGCTAGTAAATAAAATAAGTAGTCTTGCTCAGGTCAATTTTATAACTCAGAAAATAGTTTTTAGTGATCATATTTTTAATTGATTTGTTACAAATTTAGTGATATATGTTGCATCACGTTAATAAGAATTCTTGAACAATAGTACTAATAGCTGACCACTAGTGATGTGTGTTTTAATGTAAATATGTATTTGATTTCACATTCATTACATTTCTTATGTAGTTTCCCAAGATTGAGATTAGATACGTTTTAACAAATCAACTTTACCTACTAACTACTGACTTACATCCCCATTACTTTCGTATTATTATAACGATAATAAGATACATTATTCTTTATCACAGTCTCCACTTCCTCGTGAACGAAGTACATGTCTGCCGCCTGGCGTTGTCCCTGCCGTGCCTGGAGCCCTTCACTCCAGAGCGTATCATGACTCTCAGTGACGTCAGCATCGCTGGCTTACTCTGCGCTACTGCTCAGGTTTGTAATATTAACAACCATGTTTTTTACAAGCTTTTATCAAACACGACAAATGACCTGACGAAGTGAAAATCATACAGTTAGATTTACAAATGACAATTATAGTAATACTAACTTCGCTACCGTGGCTTTCTTTGATAGCACGGTCAAATGAGGCTATATTACTTATCAGACACAAAGACCGTACCAAACAACGCCAAGTTACGATGAGAAAAAGAAATATAAACTCGCATTTTTATTACATTTTGTTTGAACAACAAATAGAAGATTTTTATTTTCTCAAAAAGGTGTAACGATTTAAAATTCCAATCAAGTACAAGCTAAAATGAATTCTATATCCAAAGTATTGGAAACATTTTTCTTTTAATGACAACTTCTTAAAAAATAATAGCATCCCGCCCCGACTTCGCACGGGTGCAATATGCATGTATTATAAATATAAACATTCCTTAAGAATCACTCTATTTAAAAAAACCGCTTCAAAATTCGTTGCTTAGTTTTAAAGATATTTGGATAAACAGACGGCAGAGAGCGACTTTGTTTTATACTAAGTAATGATTGTTACCAGGCGTCCCTACACCCAAAAGACGAGGAGTATGAACAACAAACGGCTACACTGGTGGAGAGTGCACTCAGCCTGTACAACACTGTGGGAGAGACCTTCAAACAGTCTACCCGCGCTGGCGGATACGTAAGTAATGCCATTGTTCAAATTGACGTACAGACGACTGTGTTTAAGTGTCGTGGATGCAATTTCCTCACGAAATGTATTTCACTTTTACAAATAATTGTTTCACAAGGTTTAATTTGGTTCTAAAATTTTTGTTCTGTATCTGGGTTACCCAATTTCTTTCAGAACAGTTGCACTAAATCTGTAAAGCCACTGCAGTATGAATACCAGTATACTTCGGGATTTAACTATGATCCCAAGTCGCTTGTCCGGTTTTCTGTGTTCTGTAGAGGAGGTTATTCCTGGTGATGTTAACGATGAATGGTTTTGTTTGTCCAGGTGTACCAGAACCATTTGATGATTGGTAGCTGGGTGTTGCTATGCGGGCTTCATCACGCGCTGGCGGGCGCGCCCTGTCCCACTACCACTGCTGGCAAAAGCCCCGCCAAGACTCCCTCCAGACCATACAATCTTACCAAAATGTAAGTTTTTTTTTCAAATATTTTACTTATGTAAACTCACACATTTTAGTACATACTGTACGTTTTCGTCGGTCATCCAAGAAGAATAATGTAATCATTTAATTATATATATTAAAATGCAAAATAATTTAAAATTCAATATGCTAATGTTATACCAGCTCTCAATATTGATTCAGTATCAAAGAGTAAACCATACTAAAAAGAAGTATAAGTTAAACTTTATACTAGCGCAGAGTCGAAGCGCATCGACTGTCGCCACGTCTAAATCGATGTTACATAGCAAATTCGTCCGTATAATGGCAAAGTAATGCCTTTTGCAGTTTATTCGATGAAGTAAACATAGTTTATTTGTATAGGCAACAAGGTTTGGGAGTAGTATGGGTGGCTCTGGGCGGGCGGTGCCTGGCGTGGGTGGGCGCGCTCCTGTCGGACGCGAGGCTGGAGGCGCTCAGCTGTGGCGAGGCCGCGCCCGCCGGGCCCGCGCCGCTACACATACTGGCTCAGCATACGGCGCATCAACGGGAACTTAGACTGGCGTCCGCTGCGCCTTTGCATCAGGTATACTAATGTATAATACTATCAGTTGTAGCTGCTACTAGCTACTGGCTGGGAGCTTCAATAGATTATGAATCTTACAGCCGGTCTGATTGTAAACAATCAAAGTAATTTTAGTACATCTACAACAGCCTTTACGAATGTATTGTGAACCTTGTATGAAAATTTAATTAAACAGTTAAGTATTGGGTATCAGCAGCTCTTTATTCAGCAGGTGAACCGTTGCAATATTAGAAACACTATTGCCAAACTATCATGTTTCAAACTCTTACGCCCGAATACTGAAAGGTTACTCAATTTTAAGTTGTACTTAAATATCGTGCCATCTCTGTCATTTTACAAAAAAATTGTAGTGACGGAACTATACTTAAAATACTTAACTAGCGCGACTTAATATTCAGTGACGTCTAAATATTTCAGCATTAATTGTAGAGACAATCTTGAATCCTGAGGATGATAAAATTTCTGCAAATTACTAAAATGACACTATTAACACTAACCTAAAATTATTTTTAACAGCTTCTGGTGGCATTGGGTGTGGTATGTTACCGCAAGGCGACCAACTTGAAGCGCGCCGTGGTACAGAAGCAACACCAGGATGCGGACCCTGACCGCTCCGACTCCACCGTCTACTTCCAGGACATGATACTCTGCTCCGAGGACTCGGAGACTGATGATGGTATGTTCCTCTTAATTATTTGTTATTTCATTTATAGGCAGTCTCATTATAGAGATTATCTGCCAGTAAATCTGGTTACTAAATATTAAAGAGATTATTTTGACGTAAGCTCTGTACAAAAGGTATCTCTAGTTGCTAAATTAACTTGTAAATGCACGATAATGAAAAATCCACAACATTTGTCCAATTCATACAAAAGTAGTCTCTAAATATCGGTAATAAGGACTATAATGGAGTTAGTGTAGAGTGGTGACTGCTTGCGGATTGATCAGTTAAATAGATTATGGTATTCACGTGTAATAAATCCTTTCATTTCACTAGAGGCTAAAAACGAAGAAGTTTTTTAGAATATTCATGACATTGAAAATAATTCTATAGCTTTGTAATTTTTGCCAAATAGACAGTGAACCACTTTTCGGTTTGTGGTTCGAATCGACGCTGGTGGCGCCGGACGCGACTGACAACAGTGGACTGGTGCGTGCGTCGGGGAACGCGGACAATAACGACAACACTGACACGCCGCAGCGACCGCACCAGGCCATCGTGCCGGACAAGGCCGAGCCTTATTCTGTAAGTACAAACATACATCTATTAAATACTAGCTTCTGCCCGCGACTTCATACGCGTAATCCCATTTTTTCCCGCCCCCGTTCGTGATTTTCGGTAAAAAGTAAAAAAAAAATGGTTAAAAAGTATCCTATGTCGGTCTCCTGGCTACCTCCCTACCAATTTTCAACCAAATCTGTTCTGCCGTTCATGAGTTATAAGTGGTGTAACTAACACGACTTTCTTTTATATATATAGATTATCGGCTTACTCACGTCACTGTTTGACGACGCTGCTCATGCATAGGGGTTCATATGCATAAGCAGCGTTGTCCGACACACCCCGGCACTACGCAGTGAATGTCGCGCAGTTATTGTCTCCTATAGATTGGCCCTGCCGTGACTCGCACACTTTCTTCTGCCTGCGGCAGCGGCGATGCTTATGCATACCATACATAATAAAGATAACCCGATCCAACACAAAAATAATTATTCAATTCGAATCAATAGTTCTGGAGATTAACGCATTTAACAAACTCTTCAGCCTTGTAATATTAGTATAGGAGATAAAAAGGGGTGACCCTATTGGGAGACTTTGTAGAGTAAATTAATTTACCCAGGTTACTACTGTGTTTTTATAATATCGTGATACATACTAAATCAACTAAAAATCGTAACAGTAGGATACGCGACATCGCTGCGACCACCCACGCTGCTCATAAGGAAGAGCCCCTCTGTGGCTCGAAACGAGTAGAGCTTTTCTCAGTATACAATGTGTATTTTTACTTCCAGTACATAACTCTAGCGACGGAAGTGTTCACGCTACTGACGGAGGAAATCATCAGCGAGGGTTCAGATCGCTTGGGCCAGCATTCTCTGCAGTTGCACGATGCGCACCAAGCGTTGCTCGCTGCGTTAGCCAAAGATTTGGACAGAGAGACCGCTCGTACTGACACTGGTAAGATTTAGATCGAATACTTATATTACACTGCCTTTTTGGCCGAGTGGAGCAAGTGCGACTGCCGGGCAAGGGGTCTGGGGTTCGATTCCCGGGTCGGGCAAAGGATTACTGGGTTTTTAAAAATCCCAGTAGTAGCACGGAGTCTGGAATAGAGCCCGGTATATGGCAATAGGCTCACCCCCTATTACATGGGACTCATAACATAAATCGTGAAAAGTGGGTGTTACATTGTACAGTGGCATTAAGTGCCGTAATGTGCACCTCTGCCTACCCCTTCTGGGAAGACAGGCGTAATGTTATGTTATGTTACTTATATTACAAAATGAACAAGACATGATATGCCAACATTAGAATTCAGTATTCCCTTGCGAATTGTTCGAATGTTCGACGATTTTATTAAAATATATTTAGTGTGTTCATATGTTGTACATGCTGAGTTTTTGGAATTTTGATTTTATAATGTGCCTATGATACAGGCGAAAATCTTAGTATTGGGTAACGTTTTCAAACTTACTGTACTTAACAGGTACGATTTCGTCATGCTTCGGTGCCCGTCTGGGTGCGTTGTACGGTGGGTTCAGTTCAGCGCTGGTGCGTTACTTGCACAACCTGAGCGGGGCGCCGGCCTTCGCCTCGCTACAGCCCGCTCTGCATCAACAACTTATATCTGCCGGCTCAGAGCGGACCAACATGACTCCATTGCAGGTTTGTAACCTTTTAATTCATAGGACAACGTTTGGTTATTGTCTCGCCTGATGGTAACTTGATACGTTGAGCTATCAAGTATAAAAAAACTGATGGTACAATTAATGATGTGGTTTTACTTTGGACCATCGAGTGTATCGATAATAATATATACCATAGAGTGAAATTTGATTTACTCCTCACTAAATACATTCTTTCAGTGAAAACAGTACCCAATCATTTAACCATAAGATTGATATTTGAATACATTCCTATACAGGTTGGTCCACGCGTAGTGAAGTTACTAGGCGGCATGGTACTGAGCAAACAGGCCGCTGAGCGAGAGAACAGTATCCTTGCCATGTGGCACAAGATTGTCAACACGTTGCAAGAGTGCGCCTTGCAAGCTCAGCCCTCGCAGGACCATGATTATGAAGGTAACTTATAAGCTGTGTATATTTATCATCAAATCATTTTAGAGGCTGTTTCTTAAGGTCATAAGTCATTAGAGCTACCCTACAATCGACCAGCAATGCCTCGCTTTGAGCGGTTAGTATTATTTATATGAACTTGTATGGATACGCGCTCCTTACATCTACTGATGATCGCGTCGCTCGCAGCGCCTGCCTACGGGTGGACGACGGATGGCTCACTTGTTGACAACTCGTTGCTCGCACACTTGCCTTGTGCGAACCGAATGATTCATGCGACAGGTATAAATGCCAAACGAACAATTATTGTTCGTGTGCCGTGGTCAACAAGTGAACGTAGCGTGGTCAATGAAACAAAAAACAAACGAACCATTATTATTGAGAACGTGTCGTCCATCCGTGGACCGCCTGTCGACAACGAGTTGAGGCCGTGCTGGGCCCCAAGTCTGCTAATTTACGTATGGCTCAATTGAATATCAATTGAATCTCAGTAGCAGTTTTAACTACATTTGGTATTCTGCTACTAATTTAAGACCAATGGTTTTCCAGTGACATACCATTGAACGGCTATCGGAATATTTGCTAGTCTGCTCTTCAATCGTGTTACAATTGTAAATCGATTGTGGTCTAAATCGGCGATTTATTACCGACAATGTAATTCGTTATTTAATAACAGAAAATGATAAAAACGTATATTTAAATTTAAAAAATAGTTCATTCACTCATTCAGCTTCTTGATAGATTTTGAATGGCAACACCGTTATCTGTTCAACTGAGAGTCAATTACAATTACACTACGATTCCATTACGACTCAATTAAGTTTCCATTCATGTTTTTGCAGAATACCAAATTTGTTCTAATCGTAATGGAGTCGTGGTTGAATCTCAATTGAATTTCAATAGCATGTGAGTTAAATAAAATTAGCAGACTTGACCCCCTGGTCGGGTGCCGGGTACTTGTAACGAGTCATGACCTTACACACAATGTCGGAGGCGTGGTCGCCACTGGCAGAGCACACAAAAAGTATTCCATTCGGGAATCGGAACCGTAACGCGTTGCATAACAGTTGATTGTTCAACCACTGTGAAGTCAACATTGCATTAACTTCTTAATCTCCGATTATGAAAAATCCACAACATTTGTTCATACAAAAGTAGTCTCTAAACATCGGTAATAAAGTCTATAATAAAGTGGGGAGCAGTCACCGGTGACTTCTCGGGGACTGGGTAGTTATTTGAAACTATGCATAGATCATCCTATTACAAAAAAAAATGTATAGTATTGTGCATGTAATGCTAGATGCTAATTTTTATTTTTGGTATACCATCCTTATATGTTAGTTTGCACACTATTTGAATATTTATACATATTGGGCATTATTTGTATCATCATCATCATATCAGCCATAGGACGTATTATTTCTATATAGTATTTTTATGTATTATTGTGTACATTAACATGAATGCTTTGTTTTTAATTATGGCTAACCGGTTTTCTACAGGCTTTGCTAATATAGGTATGCTAACCATTTTCATTATTATTGTATTATATTATATAATATTTATTTATGTAAATTTATATATTGACTGTAGTTTCATCACAGAACTTACAACTTTATTTTAATACAAATAAGGTTTATATATGATTAAACTTATTTGTTTCAGACTTAAATGTCGAGCACGCTCAGCTGTTGGTGTATCTCTTCCATTCGTTGACGCTCATGCAGAAGAAGTCTGTACTGCTTATGACTTCAAACGCCATCATAAAGGTAATTGTTAATTGATAAAGCATCAAGAGTAAATAGTGTCAAAAGTCAAAAATCATTTATTTCAATTAGACCAGGAAGGCACTTTTGAACGTCAGCAATAGAAATTTAAAAGTGAAGCTATTTGCTCATTCCAAGGTGTCGATTCCTATGGAGAAGAACGAGCAAGAAACTCCATAGGTTACTCTTTTCCAATCAGTTTCACACAATACAATTCTTCAGTTACACAGTTTTATTGGTTTGATTGTGCGAGAACAATGTAACACCAAATCTAGCCAAAGAGATCGAAAAAGAAAATAACCCTTAAAGACAATAAATAATACAGTCTGGAGCTGACCAGTCACAGTTGACGGCGCCCAGTCACGGTTGTCTTTTGATGTGATTAAAAAGTTTGGTGAGGTCTATTAAATTAAAATATTGTCATCATCTATCACATGTTTTTAAGATTAGTAAGAATAACACCATAAAAGTTAATGTCCAACTATAGTGGCTTACCTGGTTAATCTTAACATTAATATTTATCTTCGTAGGTGGTAGAAACACTAGCGATCAGTGACAGGAAGCGAGCAATGAACTTGGCCCCGCACCAGCTCATGTTGACGACCAGACTGATGCTGCTCCTCGAGTACCTGATGAGGCATCTATACGACGCACCGCAGACACTTCTGCAGCAGGTTAGTACTATGAATAGATATTTGAAGGTCATATGGTGTAAGCTGATAGCGTTTTTTGTACTTTGTACTTCATTATTATAGTCTAACTCTGTCTTGAATAAACAGTGACAATGAGCCTTCAATTCCGGCTTTGTAAATTATACAGTGAAACATGACCAAGAACAAACAATAGCTAAAATAAATAAATTCTAAAGAAACAGCTTATCATACCTTAAACTGTATTGTTTTGAAAAATCTGTCAAAATTTAGTACGAGTACCAGATAGGTATTAGTTTTCAAAAACTTGGTTTTGTTTTAGTAAAGCCTAACCATTTCTAATTCTTAAATCCTCTTTCTTAATCTTCTAGATTGAATGGAACCTAGTAATAGCACCTGGTTTAGCCCAGCCGACGACGGAAGCGAATGCTAACGGCAACAAGACGTCCACTAATGGCCAGCCAAAATCTCGCATCTACTGCGAGGTGCCCTGCATCGAGCAGGCCTACAGGCGACTGTCTCAGGACGAAACATCCATGAGACCAAAGTTCTACGCTTTGACTAACGCTGAGATCAATAACCAGGTGAGATTTTTTTCAAGCTTTTGTATCTTACGAGTATTTGAAGTATAAAATAAAGTTTTAATTTTATAATATTTTACAATATCTGTCAATTAATATATAACAATATCTGATTAGACAGACAGATAAAGCGTCAAAGTTATTAAAATGATTTAAGCGACATAAATATCTACTCCTAATGTCTATGCATTGTAGAGTTCAATACGATTAATATGTTTATTATTATGACGTCGGCTTACTGACCTCAGCCATCCTAGAGGCTCATATTTGTGACCAGCATTCCGCGACCCGCGACGCGGCTCGTCGAATGAATATGACCCTCCAGCATGGCTTGAAACTAGTCGAGTTTCTCGTGAGTAAGCCGAAAACATAATAATCAATTTAGTTCAGAGTCACGAAAGTTATAATATAAACGGAATTAGCATGAATGACCTGCCAGTGTTTAAAGATCCTTTGGGTCATCTGCGTGACTGTCTAAATACTTGTACACAGGAAAATCCAAAATTCGACGGTCTAGCATGCAACTTCGTGTTGGGCACGCCCCACAAGTTGAAGTACCCGCTGCTGCTGGACGCGCTGCTGTCGTTGCTGAACTCGGCGTGTGTCTGCGACAACACGCACTACCACAGCTCGCCCGCCGCGCTGGCCGCCGCGCATTACTGCTTCCAGACTGCTTGGAGGTAACTTGTACAATTTCAACTCTATAAACTTTATTGTTATATTTTGACACTTAGACTAAATTATATTTACTACTTCGATATGACTTTTTCTTTTTATTACACGTCGATTTTGGTTTTATTTTGCAACTTATTCGATTTTAAAACAAACTTATTGTTTCGTTATGTTCCCGAACGTCGACGTCATCGTCGTGCAATAAGTAACTCTAAAGATTCGATCCCAGAGGAATAAGTTCTGGTACTTTTCGTTATTTTTATTTTACACCAAATAAACACTATTATTATTATTACTAGCTACTTCACGTGGTTTCTCCCACTTTGCTCCACTTTTATTGATCGTACCGAGCACGAACTCTTCAGCTTTATATAATTTGATAGAATTATATTAGTTATCTATTTAATTATCGTACAGGTTGGTAATAAGCATGCCACCGGCGACTCCTCACATGGACAAGCTCCAGGCAGGCACGGCGGCCGAGCTGCCGTCTCCGTTACCCCTGCATGCCGTCGTATGGGCGCCGCGAGCTGATAACAAGAAAGTATTCAACCCGTGGCTCAAGGACGCCCTTGTTAAGCAAGGAATGTACACACAGGTAAAATTCGAACCTTCATCTCCAGATAGAACAAACCACTTCCACTATTAGTTTATTAGGATTACAACCAGTTACAATGAAGCTTTTAACAAGGCGTTTTTGATAGATAGAGTACTTTATTGTACACAAAATAAAAGTTTTACATTTACACAATTCATAACGAATACTGTTGGAATGGGATCTCAAGTCAAGTCTTGAAGAGCCATGCTTCGCCACGAACGACCCGGCCCGAACTGAGTGATACCACGGCATTGCAGAAACCAGACGTGAAACAACGCTTGCGTTATGTTTCGTCGTGTGGGTCAGGTTACCGGAAGCCCAGTTAATGTTTGTTTGTAAAAGAAGTAAATGATAAGGTAAAAATCTAATAAAATTTATTCTGTTTGCGTAGTATGCGGAGAACCTTCTCGCTGGCGTAAGCGCGTCATGCGACAACATCAAATACACAGCGTGGTTAGCTTCTGAAACGATCAAGCATCTGAAACAAAATGTCACTGGTAAGAAACTCTTTTTATAATATTCCAGTTACCAATATAATTTTCTGTAATATTGTTTAGTCCTTTATCCACTAATGTCGTTTCGTTGTTCCATATTAAATGAACCGATTTTTTTTTTTACAGCAAATGGCTTACCGTCCCTCCTGGACGTGATATCTTGTGACTCGGCTCTGGTGAGGTTCAAAGTGTGCCTCGCTGATTCCGCCACGCCATCAGAAGCTCACCAGTTCATGCCTGATTTACTAGATTTGCTGGAGACAGTACTGGATTGTTGTCGGTAAGTTCTATCAGCAGAAGTTTATTTATGCCCTTCTTGCTCTTGTTTCCTAGTGGTTCTAAGTGGTTATTCGGGTAGTTTCTTGTATTCTTGAAAGTTTAAACATGCATGACATATAATATAACATAATTTTCAGGCTCAGCGCTGGCCTCGAACTCGAAGGTCTAATGGAGAGTTCGAGCAATGCTTCCGAAATGGCTGTAAGCAAGGCTCGGCTACAAGTGTGTGGTACTTCTGGCCCGGTCGGCAATGCGGCCGGCAGCACTCCGCCGCCGGCACTCGGCGCCTGGCTCAGAGCTCATCTACCACCTAATGCTGCAACTGCCTTGGATAGGTTGACTACTCCGCCGCCTTTGGCTTGCATCAACTTGGTAAGATTTATTTCGAGTATGACGTTCTATTGCCGCTAAATATCATCATACGTACTTTGCGCAAGTGCGTTTAAATGTTACTCTAATTTTAATTACATGCGCAATGCTTGCGCAAAAACTTTGACTGCACGATAGACGTAACGTGAAGCGGGTTCGAGCCCGCACAAAGCAACTCTTTGTGTAATCTACAAATTGTTGTGTATGTAAATTTGTATGATTGTAAATGCACCCACGATACAGGAGAAAATCCTAATATAGGATATAGTCCCGTCGGGCGACGTTATTTTTTTTAATCATAACTTTTTTACAGGCTTTCTACGCATCTCACATAATACCATCAGAGAGTGCAGTGTTGACCTTAGTGTCGTCACATTGTGAACTGATTACTGCCAATACGAAATACTCCATCGGGTCATCCCTGATGATGCTCGCTTATTCGGCTGCGAAACTTCTTGAAGTTGGTGCTAGCAAGCTCGCTGACAACCCTGAGCTTATGAAGAAGACGCTTGACTTGGTTATACCGGCTTTGGTAAGTGGAATAATTTGATAAAAACTAAAATGTAAGAATAACTAAGAGCCGCAATCATTATCCGCTCCTTATCCAAAATATCTAGATGGATCTTAATCTTTGACATTAGTTCAACAAATTTAATGTGAAGTAATTTCGACCGTAAACTGACTGTCGCCCGAATACGAATTCTGATAGTCTTAAAATCGATTTCTTTCGATTTCTTCTCCTCTTATAATATCTTCTGATTCACTTTGTTGCGGGAACCCAGACAGTTACTCATGTCCCTGGGACGCGCCGGACTTCAGTGTTCCGGTGTTTTCATGGTTGTATCTACTGTAGATCCTGGCTTACAGGAGTTGCAGCGGTTTTGGGAGGTTGTGGCGGGCTTGTCCCATTATAAAAAAAAAGTCTTAAAATCCACTGACATTTGAGTATTTGACTATATTTTTGTTATTCCTTCAATTTTCTTTATTCTAACTCCTTATTCTCTTTTCGCTACAGACTGACGGTCGTCTAGAGTTCATGTCGGAGCCACTAGCAGCCACGCTAAATACCCTAGTACCACAAGTACAGAAGGCGGAACAGCTGATTCATGAGCACATCATCAAAACTACGTACAACGTTCTCGTCGAACATTTACAACCATCTACTGAGAAGACTTTGAGACATATGGTAAGTACATAGTATAAAATGAGGTAATATAAAGTGTGCGGAATCCTCACCTATCTATCTACATAATGTTTATGATGCTCATTGTCGTATACCGGGCGGTAATAGTGTAAACGTTCATCGAATAAAAATTAATAGAACAAATTATGACAACCACGTATTTTGTTTAGTACGATTTTGTCTTACCTTAAAAGTAATCGAAACGAGACCGCGTTGGACTCTGATTGGTCGGCTCCAATCAACCAACCAATCAGAGCGTCGAACGCGGTCTCGATTCGATTACTTAAGGTAAGACAAACTTGTACTAAGGCCTCTGTTCTATCATATTCGACTAGCGTTTAGTCTACAAGCCCAATTAAACCTCCTTTGATATACATGTACAGGCTCAGGCTCTCTGATTGACCGGCTCCAATGAACCAACCAATCAGAGTGGCGAACGCGGTCTCGATTCGATTACTTTAAATGTAAAACAAACTCGTACTTAAGGCCTTTGTTCTATCATATTCGACTAGCGTTTAGTCTACAAGCCAAATTAAACCTCCTTTGATCTGTAATACATGTACAGAATAGATATATAGTTCTATTTTATTTCATCTTGAAATTGTATTGTGCAGGTAAAATACTGGGAAAAGATTCTGGACCGCCCTGCAGGTAGACTGGCATACGAGAAAGTATTCGCCGATAACTCGGGCTATTCTCTCGGCAAGATACTCTTGTCAGCGCCGAATGCAAGGAATCCTTATGCTGAGAGGGTTATCAAGTAAGTTCTATCCTTTACTTTTTTGTTAGCATTTTAAGTTACTTAGGATCCGAACAACATGTTTACTTTTACATCAAAACTTATCTATTTTTCTAACAATTTGATAAATGCTTTGCTTCCTTCCAGGCTCTTCATAAAAATATTCTCCGGTTGCGAGAATGATTTGAACGGTAATCTCTGCGTGTCAGTATGCAAGTTCATTGGTGTCGCTGATCAACAAAAACTATCAATATTATTGGCTCATATATGTTTGGGCGGTTCTGGTGAGATACTTTTAACAATTTACTATTTATTTTTACAGTAGATTGGTTTTTATTTTAATGTTCCATGATATTTCTAGCTTCTTCAACGGGTGGCACTGCAGGCACTGCTAATGGTACGCCAACAGAGACAGAGCTGCCAACCCCTACGTCATCAGCTCCGGACGCGGGTGGCAACCCTGCATCGCTTGCGTTGCGCAACGCTTTGCGCAGCGTGTTCCGCAGTGAGAGTAGTGACGCTACTACACGTAACGATTCCAATGCTCAAAGAAATGATTCCGATTTACCCGTGTTTGATACTCCGTAAGTATATGAATTAAAACTGTCGTTAGCTAGACTCTTACCTTGACTCTAAACATTTGCTATTTTTTTAGTGAACTTTCGTTGCTTTTTTCTGTAGGTACTTTATTTTGACAATAACGAACATAATGTGACAGTATAGGTTTTATATGTAATATTTCTTTACAGTTCACCAGCTCCCAGAGCCCAGTCTGATACCGCACAGCAATCCGCTAATTCAGGTAATTGTTTCGTTAGTAATTCTTGTACTCATATGATTGCGCAAAGATTTACCTTTTGCGCAATAAAGTGTGTTAAATACTAATTTAGAATATTATTTGTTGGTGTAGAGAGTTGCAGTTGGTCTGACGGCAGTAAGGAGAGTGGCGGCGCGACGACTACGGCGGCGGTGGTACCGGAGCCCGCGCCCGCACCGCTCACGGACGCCGCCAACGACAACGCGGCGCTACTGTCCGCGCTATGCAAGCACGTTGTACTGCACTGGTGAGTTCTTCAAATAATATACTTTTTTATATTTCATTTATCTTGTACTCGTATTGTAGGTTTTCTTCAATTTAATTTTTTCATCCTAAGTATTATTAGGAATTTTTGAAATATTGTAGATACTGAAGATTCAGTGTTGAAGAAATCATTTAAAAATTGATTTAATATTATCGTCATCAACTAGTTTCTGTTTTTAAGGAACATATTTTTTATGCGTTGTTGTATACTAGATAATGATTTAAATGACATTAATATTGTTGTGTAAATAAATTCTTTAAAGTAAACTCTAGTACATAATGAAAAAAAAAATATATGGAATGATATTTTTTAAAAATATTAAAAAATATATGGAATGATATTTTTAAAAAATATTAAAAAATATATGGAATGATATTTTTAAAAAATATTAAAAAATATATGGAATGATATTTTTTTATTCGTAATGGGCTCGGTGTTCGATCACTATCTCGCCTACTGGTAAGCGATGACGCTGCTACGGCTGCCAATAATCAACCTATTTACTCGAATCTTAAAGATATCCAGGTTATAATATGGTATTGTAAGTGAATCCTGTTTGTGTACTAGTGGCGAGGACGTGAGCGAGCGCATGCTGAGTACGTTGGTGTCAGTGTGCGGCGAGTCTGCGTGCTCCCCGCTGCTCCTGCGGGAGATGTGTCGCCTGGCCGACGCCCACGCCGGACAGGACCATCGACAGCTCTTCCCCGCCGCCGTCGGGTGGCTGGCTAACTGGTATGTGCTCTTACATTATTATACTATAATCGTCTTTATTGTTATCCTTATCGTTAGTTATTCTGACTCGAAAGACTATGTCTTTTTACCTTTTTTTTTCTTATTAACCCATCGAGCGTCCGCGTTCATTATGCATTTCCTTATCCTTATGCATGCAAGAAAATGCATTTATTTGGCCATTGGCACACGAAATCAAGGATCGTTACGACAGAAATAAAACAAATACAGTCAAAATAAAAACAAAACATTAATAATAAATTTTATAAAAGAGAAAGCAGCATGGAGCATTTTTTCTTATGATCCACCGGGTGCTTCTAACGACGCTCGAGGGGTTAAATGTTATCAAATCACAAATGCAAGTAAAAAAATCTACCAACTCCCACTAAGTTCGAAGAAACTTTCGAAGATGTTTCTAGTAAGGTCTTAAATATTTACAAAATTTGTATAACAATATTTCTTTATCACACAAACATATTTAAATGATTTTATTTACCTTGCCCCATTTGTGTCTGTTTGAATCTTTAGTAATTGGAAACAGACCGATCTGATATTTGGTATACACTCTTAATCTTGATAACTATACGATATTTTATCTCATTTTTTCACGATTACCTCCATTATGGATATCATACGGCTTGATTGGTAGAATAGAGTTCGTTAAAACCATTAATAAATGTATTGTTTATTTATGTGTTTACTTTCCTATAGCGTGGACAATTTAGGCAGTCAAGAAGTGCTAGATAAACTGGAGGAGGGCCAAGTAGACGGTACCCTGGCGCCTCAGATAGAGTCCGCCTGTGTACTCCTGTCGTACCTCGCGGACGCTCTGCATGCCATCAACACTACACAGCCTCACAGTGAGTGCTACTACTTCTATGTATAACCTAAATATTTTCGGGAGAAGGATCTTATAACAATAAGGTTTTATTTATTTTGATTTATTTGCAATGAGTAATATCTGTTCATGAATAAACCTAACAGTATAAACGTCGAGTTATAACGAGTTATAAATCGACATTATATATTACTAGCTGAAACCACCCGTCTGGGATTTTCTAAAATAAAAATACCCTATGTTACTCCTTAGCACTTTAGCTACCTGTCAATAAAAGTCCCGTCAAAATGGGTCCAGCCATTCCAGAGATTAACCAGTACAAACAGACAGACGGACAAAAATTGTAAAATGTGTTAGTTTGGTATTATTTATATTCATATGCATGTAGTAAAAAGCGGTTATTTCAATGTTACAAACAGACACTCCAATTTTATTTATCTGGTATAGATGGAATTTATTCACTTTATGGCTTAGCTGATAAATAGTGTTTTACAATTTTAAAGAATATCTTTGATAATTGTATTCGTTGTTGCAGCATGGCGTTCAGTGAGCCCGACGTGGGAATCACCGTCGGACCTCGGTTTCGACTTGGACTACACCGATGAGCAACAAGATGATGATGACACTAGTGCTGATGATTCAGTTAGTATTTAATCCCCAAAGCTACCTTAGAACGCCTGGATTATTTATTAGCTTGTTTGTTTGATTCCAAGGACCTCAATCAAGAGTAATAAGTCAATAACTGTGTACTGACGGACTGAGCATCCTCAGGTAATTGCCGTGAGACGATTGCCTCGTGAGGCAGTCTCGATCTATACAATTTTTGGATCGAGGTAGCCTTTGAAGAAACAAAACACCCATTCGGCTCGGTATAGCGCGGAGAACCGACGGCCACTGGGGCAGAAAGGTTCTCAAGTGCAGGCCACGTACCGGCAAGCCCACCGTAGGACGTCCATCCGCAAGGTGAACAGACGACATGATTGAGGTCGCAGGGAGCCGCTGGATGCAATGGTCGCACCCAACCGGCCTATCTGGAAGTCATTGGGGAGGCCTATGTTCAGCAGACGTCCTATGGCTGATATGATGTTGATGATGACTCGGCTCGGTCCGCGGCATGCTCGGGCGAGGTGGCGCCTGCATTTGGCTCAAGCGAGACACATCCTGACTGACCGAACATTTACCAGCCAGTACCCAATTAATCTTTTGTCATTGAAATTGGTCAACTATTGTCAGTACCATAACGTGTATAAACGATGTGGTGTGATCTCGGTTGATGTCGCTGTATTGTATAATTTGATATATAGACGTTTATGACGATAGATAGATTATAAATATTCCCTAAGGTTCTATTCTCAGCACGGTTAGTGGCCACCCGTCACATGCCAATGCACTATAAAACTCGTCGTGGTACACGTGAAAGATAATGTACATATCTTATACACTTTGTCGACGGATGACGGACCCGGCCTTGGTTATGCGGAAACCGGAGCCTGTGACGAAAGCTTCATTGATACATTTTTAGTTGCCAATGTAATCAACTGAACCTCCTAATTTATTGCAGGACGAAGACGCGATGCTGCAATACAAGCTGTGTACGTTCACGGTGACACAGCGCGAGTTCATGAACCAGCACTGGTACCACTGCCACACCTGCAAGATGGTGGACGGCGTCGGCGTCTGCACCGTCTGCGCCAGGGTCTGCCATCGGGGACACGATGTGTCTTACGCCAAGTTTGGCAATTTCTTCTGCGATTGTGGAGCTAAACCTGACTCTAGGTAAGGCCTGGGGTAGCTTAGTTTTGTTTGAAAGGAGCGTAGGTAGCTTAGTTTATTTTCAGTAGAGTGCGCTAGTGTGAACCTATCGGCATACGTCCAATAAAGAATTAGTAAGTGTCACGCCATTGGACAGCTACAGTGATTGGCCAAAAACACCTCTTCCTATATTTGCGCCATCTGATGACCAAACAAACGGTAGCCGCCATTGTGATATTGCTGATGATTGAGGAAGACTTTATGGTATTTTTTTATATTATTACACTATCTTGTTAAGTTGTTACAAAAATAATTAATCGAAAACGGACCAGTATTCAGGATATTAGCAAGTACAAACGAACAGACTCTATAATATTATAAGATTTACTTTTTAATTAGGATGATCTCAAGGCTACATTGTCACTTTACAAAACAGCTTATTTGGTATCAGCGAAATCGTTATTTAAATCTCTTGCCATTTACACACCTATTAAATATAGTTTTAAAAGTTGTTAATCATTCATAATATTGCGCCCTGGTACATTCGAAATGACGACCTTCATCGGGACCTCAAAGTAGACCTCGTCGTAGATATAATTAAAAAGTGTGCAGAAGCCCATGAACGAAGGCTTCACCACCATGTGAACATCGAGGCTATCCAGCTCCTCGACAACACGGACATAGTGAGAAGGCTAAAAAGGACAAAACCTTTTGAGTTAACATAGTGAAGTGTTAGTGTAAAGTAGTGAGTGCTACCGGAACAGAACACAATAACAAAGTGTCTTCCCCTTAATAGAGACAATAAGAAAAGTGTTAATGGACACATTCTTAGTTATACTTTCCTAGCAAATTAAGACAAAATTGAATTACTTATTAGCATTAAAGCTAGATTGTATTTTTTTTATGATGTTGCCGTATGAGGTCACGTCATATAAACAAAAAAAAAAAAAAAAAAAAATTCATAATATTGATTAATGTTCTGTGTCCAGTTGTCAAGCTCTGGTGAAACGGTCGGTGACATTGGGCGGAGCTCGCGGCGCTGGCGCGGAGGAGAGCGCGCCGGCGCCTTCACTGCGGCGCCGTCCGTCCAGCCCGGCGCCACCCGCCATACTGGCGCCGCCAAGACGCCCCGTACTGGCTTCTAATATCCAAGGTATGACACGAAATACATCAATAGTAATACATAGTTTGTGAAATTCAAACCCTTTTTTTGAAACGCATTATTTCCTTTGATCGTAGTATGAGTTTCGTTCTAATGCCATCTCTATCATTTTACAAAGAATTTGTAGAGACAGACTACTTAACCGCGTCTTATAATTGAGTGGCGTTTGAGTATTTGGACATTAATTGAGTAAAATGGTCTGGTTCGAATGGCTTCCTTGTTGATGTTCGTGCGTGTCCAGGTTGTCGCCAGTTCCTGTCGTCGTACGGCGGGTGGGCGTCGTGCATGGAGCGCGTGCGCCGCCTGCTGGAGTCGCTGGCGGGCGCCGTGCGGGCCGCGTGCGAGCGCGCCGCGCCCACCGGCGCGCATGCGCGGGCGCAGCGCGCGCTCGCGCAGCTACACCTCGGGGAGAAGAAGTTCACGCACACTGATAACTTGATGCTGCCTACTCTTGGTGCGTACGATTTCAAATTATTTAATAATTTCTAATTATTTCTTTCATCGTCATTATCGAACGGCGAACGAAATAATTTATTTGATAAATACTGTCATTCAATACTGATTTCATTGTCATCATCTACTGAAAATAAGTCTACTCTCCGTAGACCGTAAATAGTAATTCATAAATAAAATGCTAATTTTATCACGAGCTATTACCGAATAAGAGAAAAAATAGATATATTTGAATTTGACTTTTATTTTGATCACGATGACAGACGTTCGCGGCAGTATTTGTCTCTAACAATTTTTGTCGGATTTAAATGTACAAGTTTAACATTGTCATCACAATTTATCCTCGGCCAGGTTCCCAAGAAGGCGCATTCGAGAACGTACGCATGTCGTACACGGGCGAGACTGGACAGACGATCCGTCAACTGATGTCCGCGCACAAATTGCGGCGCGTCGCTATGTGCTGCCTCGCCTCGCCGCAGGGCCGGCGGCAGCACCTCGCCGTGTCGCATGAGAAAGGTAAAAGAACATCTTGTCAATTACTACCCTTTCAGGGATAACAGTCCTCTAAATAGAACCAAATAAGAGGTTACAACTGAAATCTAGAATCAATCTAGAACTGCTGCTTGGGGTACGGGGTATCTCTTAATAAATTGTCAAGCCAAGTCAAAGGTTCTGCAAGGGCACAAATGATCATATAGAACTGCACCAAAACACTGAAAGCTGCCGCCGCAAGGGTTTTGCTAGTCTTAGTAGTTCCGTGTCAGTGATTTTGTAATACAATTTTTTATGTTATATTTGGTATAGATACTCTATGCTCAACATTCACACCGTAATTTTTGTCCCAGGAAAAATCACCGTCTTGCAACTATCAGCGCTCCTAAAGCAGACGGACTCGTCCAAACACAAATTGACATTGACACATCTGTCGTCTGCTCCCATTCCCTTCATGGTGCTCAGTCTCAGCGGAAACCCATGGAACGAAGACCTACTCGCTGTCTGCGGGCTGAAGGAGTGTCATGTGCTTACTTTCAATAGTGGAGGTAAGCTATATAAATTGTTTTATAATGTACATTATAAAACAATAAAAAAATAAAAAGTATATATATAAAAAGTTTAAAGTACTTTAAACTTTCGTTGTAATTAAGGTTCAAAATATCGTATAAGGAAAGAACAAGATGGTAGTTAGTGATTTTAACTTTGTTCATTAAAATAATTCACATGTATGAACGACGCAACGGCAAAAAACGCTATACAAGTTTGTAAATCTTTTGACTAGGTGCGGTAGCCGACCACTTAGTCCTGAACACCGGTTTGGAAGGTAACAACTACGTCATCAAAGCAATATGGCTGCCGGGCTCGCAGACTCAGCTCGCTCTCGTGACATCTGATTTCGTGAAGATCTACGACCTGAGCAAGGACCTCAACAACCCTATGCACCACTTCCTCGTACCCAGTGGAAAGGTAAAGTTGGAATATATACAAATATTATGCTGTTATAGTTATCGAAACACAATCCTTACGTGTGCTTACTTAAAGTTGAATGTGAGTTAGCCTTCGTTTTTTGTATTCGATATGTAACTCATTGTCATTAAGTTAATGGATTGTGAAGATTCTTTTACACCATTAAAATTAGAAAGCTTAGAAATAGTATAGTAATAACGTACGTGTCCGGCGCCAGGTCCGCGACGTGACGTTCGTGAACCAGGACGGCGTGATGCACATGCTGTGCATGAGCTCGGCCGGCCACATCTACTGGCAGCCCATGAGCGAGGAGTCGCGCGCCACGCTCGGCACCTTCTACGTCACCAACACGCTTGAGGTGCTCCATCCGGAGATACAGGTAAGTCTCTCTGTGCGGTTGAACTTGTGATGTGACCTTATGACCCAGGTTGGTATTATGCACACGCTCTGCATGAGCCCTAGCGGGCACATCTACTGGAAGCCGATCAGCAAGAAGCTGGAGGACTCGCAGACGCCGTACTACGTCACCAACATCATGCAGGTTGAGCATCCGGAGATACAGGCAAGTCCGGTAACAGGTTGTTCACTCGTCACCCTCAAGGATGAGCAACATCGTCGAAATTTTGATAGTTTCGACCGATGAGTGCTTGTTCCTTGATGCGAGTACGGCGATTTTGTTGTTCCTTTTTTTTCGTTTTTTTGTTTAGGCACATAAAACACTAGGCAGCCAGCTAAGCAGCTTTTGAAACGAGATCTTCATACATTTTTACATGCTATGTTTGGCAGAGCATCAAGTCAGCGGTTCCATCAATTTTCATTAACATCTTTGCCCAGGATACGGTGAGAAGTCTGAATATCCCGGATCTGGGCGTAGGAGACAGTCGCTCCGCGTGGAATATAAACAATTTAGCTTAAACTAACATAAAAACCAATTTCGTCTCGAGCAAAGGCCGAGATGTACACGAGACTAACCTACTTGTCAGTATTGACTTAGCTCCCTAGTGGGTTATCTGCACTGAGCCGCGTATTTGCGACTGCGCCCCTCACACGTATGTACTATGTACGGCAGTCGCAATTCCACGGCTTGGACGAGATTTCTTCCTGTGCCACAACTCCTTGTGCATGCGATATGATTTGCTGGTGTATATCTTACTTCATCCGCTTATACCTACGAATGTTGGTCATTGACCTTCGCGCAGGAAGAACATAACCAGGCTCGCTGGAGAACAAAAGCAATGCATATTAATTTCTGATGTCATTGAGTAATATAACATTTTTTATACTTATTGCGAATTCATTCAATTAATAGTTATTCGACGACTGTTAACTATTTAAGGGTAATCCAAATCATATTGGCGCCATATCTATTGTAATAAAAATGAAAATGTATGATTTGTTTAACCTTTTTGTAAGTAACTTTCGTTGCATATCTATTTGTAGGAATATATATATATGTATGACAGGGTTACGGAAAATCTAACATTTTCACTTATTATAAATTATGCTAGCGCTGGACGCCATGCGATTAGTGGCGTTCAAGTTTTATTACTCAGTGACATCAGAAATTCTGTGCTGTATTGTTTTCGTCTTTAGTTAGGCCTGAGATGACATTGGACCATTAACTTTAAATCACATTATATACCGTACTAAAAGGCTATTGGATGATTTAAAAATATTATACATTAATATTAAAGTTTCATCGGTTCTGTCCAATGTCCTCACATTGTAACCCGTAGTGAATCAAAATTCTGTAGTTACAGACCAATTGGCTAAATGTTGTCATATTTTTTGTCCTATTTTCGACTCTTGGGTGTCGTACTTAAGAGTGATTTTTCCTTCTTCCTTAGGACGTTGCTGGGTTGGTGGGAGGCGGTGGAGTCTCAATATACTACTCACATACGCTCAAGATGCTATTCTTCTCGTACGCGCAAGGCAAAAGCTTCTTGGCACCACTTAATACTGTAGAAGAGAGTCTCAAAGGTAAGGTTCTACGATATTTATTATTATATTCATTTATTTCTTGCAAACGGAATCCATTGTCTTTGAATTTGGTTGGTTGCATAAATGAAAATGGAATGTATTAAGTGTTGGTATTTAAATGATTACACAATTCATTATTATTTTAGAATTCTGTAGAAAATTCCTTCTCATTTCATATATCTTTACATTATTTTTCGTCTTTTATACATTTATAAAGACGTAGTTAATGAAATAGCACATGTTTGTTTGCACAGGCACAGCCATGATCACGTTGTCGACAACACTAACGCAGAAGGAAGGCGGGCGCGGCGGCGGCAAGCAGGGCGTGCAGTCGCTGTGTCAGTGGGCGGAGGTGCCGGGCCACCCCGGACTGGTCACCGCCGTCATGCAGGCCTCCAACAACCCCGTCGTACTCATGCTCACGCCCACCAACATCTTCGTACAGGAGATTAAGGTTCATAGAATGATTTGATATAATAATGCCTATTTTCACCAAGTTCTGTTATCTCAACTCTTATGGCGACACTGCTTTATTAACCGGCTTCAAATTCACGATTGTCTCGCGATTGTCTAAACAGATTTTGATCTCAGAAAAGTGTTTGTTACAGTTTAAGTATATTATTAAACCAGTTAAAAAAAGGAGGTCGGTTTTTTATAGCAGTTTATATAAAAGAATTAATTGAGTACTGTATTAAGGAACTAAACAACACTCTAAGAGAACGTAGTCAAATGACACCTGCGCAATAAAATTTATGGTATTTGAAGACATACTTAACACTCCTATCCTTCCAGGTGGTGCCCGCCAAAGCAAAGATAACAGACATGGTAGCCGTCCGGCACTGGTACGGCGGCGGCGGCGAACAGAAGAGCACTCTCATCCTACTGTGTGAAGACGGCAGCCTGCGGATATACGCCGCCAGCAACGACCACACCGGCTACTGGCTGTCGCCCGCCATACAGCCCACGCACGCGCCCAGGAGGCGGCCCAGGCTACTGACGCACCACGCCAAGGGGAAACAACAACAGGTCAGTTGCATACATTCAGAATTGAGTACTTGCAAACTAGTCAAATTCAATACTTTTTTCGAACTGTCAAAAACGTCAGTTTTCTGTGAATTTTATACACGACTTTGTTTTCAACGCGAACTTGTCGCTGTTTACATACATACATACATAACTTCACGCCTGTCTCCCATGGGGGTAGGCAGAGACTAAGGAACGCCAATTACCACCATTCTTACATACCTCTTTCGCTTCATTAACAGTCATCAATCTTTTCATGCATGCTCGTCGGTTAAGGGTACTGTTTGATACCATAAAAAAATCATTCGGTTTGGTTTTATAGTTTTTTATATCATATACGCATTATCATGGTGTAGGAACACCATAGCGTCCCAATGAAATAGTGTCTTTTGTGGAACTATTAGTTAATTCTCATTTAAAAAATCGGTCTGTTTATTTTTTCTAGGCTGTAACAAAATCCAACGCTAACGGAGCTCCACAGTTCCCCATTGATTTCTTCGAGCATTGCGTGGCGATGAACGACATTGAATTTGGTGGCAACGATCTGCTGCAAGTTTATAACACTGCACAGATTAAACACCGACTTAATACTACTGGTAAGTTTAAGTAATCTACACAATGACTTTCTGCTTCGTTAGTCGCGTAATTGCATGTCCAAATACTGACAAAACCATAGTTTCGATCCACGGATTAGAAGACAATTGAATAATAATATTAAATTATCTATGCAGAGTCGGAATTTTCATGGACTATATGGAAACAGACAATGACGTGGAATTACATTATTTTATGATATAATATTCATCTACTTAAATTTATTATATGTAATCAATTTCACCTCTTTGTTCATAGGTTTGTATGTGGTATCTACGAAAATGAGTGGATTCTCCCTGGAAGTGATGAACTCGGATCCTAATATGGTCATCTGTGGTATACGAGTACTACTTGGCACTCAAGACGTCGCCCGAACACCGTCCTTTGTTGAAGTAAGTACAGGCCATACATATAGAACTACCCTGGTGACAGAAAGCGTAAGTTAAAATACATTTTAGGAAATGTATGTCTAATTGTATGAGATGTCTCTATTCTAGGTATATGGACGATCCATCCAAACAATCGTAGTACGCAACCGTTGGTTCGACATACCTCTTACACGAGAGGAGTCACTACAATCTGACAAGAAGCTAACCATCAACTTTGGTCCTTCGCAAGATCCTGATGGTGTAACTATGGTCGACTCAGTCAAAGTAAGTTTGGGAAAATAATATTCAGTCGACTCTCGATAATTATAACCTCTCTATAATTAGAAGTTGCGAAAATCTCTTTGTATTTCGAACTAAATCAATATATTTTTGTACTCTTAGTAATTCGAGCGAAAAAATCAATTCTATGTAACCATATGACTCGTTAATTTGGAGTAATGGTCAAACTCTTAACAATTCAAAGTTACAGAGAGAAAGGGACGGAAAGATCTAACAACTTGCAGGGGTTAGTACATTTTGGGGCAAATTCAGACTATTAGATATTTCGAACATTTGGTAATTAAAAATACTTTAAATGTTTCGAATTAACGAGAGTCGGCTGTATACGTAAAGGATAATTTCGTTACGTTTATTTATTGTGAAATTAATAAAATGTGTATTTTAGGTGTATGGTAAAAATAAGGAGCAGTTTGGTTGGCCTGAAGACAATGAAGATCCATCGGCTTGTCCTTCATCCAGTAAAGTTGCTCAAGTAAGTCAATATAGAATAATATACCTGTCAATTAACAACAAAAAAATATCTCTAATAGGTACTGATCACTTAGACTTTTCATACGGTGATGTAGTACAACTAACTGATTCAACTATGAATTTAAATATTAAAACTCATACAAAACATACAATTTTAATCAATATGATAATTGTAATGAAACTGATGCATGTGAATTGTGAATCGGTCACTCTCAAACAAATAGCAGTATTCATTTTGATTATGTTTGCTATTTCATTTCCGATACATTCAAAGAAATCTCGTATCTATCTATAGGAAGGTGAAGGTTCAGGTGGTGCTTGGAAACCGAGTCCATTGGAACGTCTGGCCTGCGCAGCTCTGGAAGCACTGGAGCTTGGCGCCGGAGCCTCCGCTGCAGGAGCTCATGCAGCCGCGGAGCCTGCACGAAGGTTACTGTGTGCACCGGCCCCGCCACATTTGCATGCACGAGCTCAGTGCTTGCTGAGGGCGTTGCATCATACTCACTATCATCAGTATAAGGTACGTTTTATACGATTTTTTGTATAATATCCCACTAAAAAGTACTCTTTAAACTGTTAACACTCTTATAATCGCTTTCTAACTCTTTCATAAAAGTTTACAAACTATTACTACTTAACTGAATTTTAAAAAAATACTTAAATAAAAGTAGACGTTTTCGAGACATTGTGTTTACCAAGATTCTTTAAAATATATTGAATAAACGACCCCGTCATTGATTGCTTTTCATTTTTCTATAGGACCAAGCTATCCTGAAATATGTATGCACTTCACTGCGCGAACTCCGTGACACGGCTGATCCTCACAACATCGACCCTGAAGCGTATTTCAGACTGGTGCTTTTGGCGCGAGGAGTTGCTGTGGCTAGACCACACCATCTCGTCAAATACAGTGCCCCTACACCACAAAGACCTCCGAATGGTAAGAAAACATAATGTAAACAAAATATTAGCTATACATAGTGTTAGGTTAGGCAAGGTAAATTTTTTTTGAGGAGGAAAGTCGTCGAATCAACACACATCTCAAGCCCTGGGTGACATGTTTTAAGTTGAGATTTATCATCAAACAATTGTACGCACTGTATACCCTGAAACAAAATAGATGAATTGACTGCGCAAACGTAGGCATCTATTTGTTAGCGCACATTAGCGCAAGCTAATAGCGCAACGTGTTTGCGCAATAGAAAAAAATATCGACATCTTTTGTCACAGTGATGTTAAAATCATTAAATCCTTATAGCATTTTCATAACCTTTAATTACTTTTTTTATAGGCGACTGGTCAGTCCTCTGGAAGGGAGAAAATCAAGAAGATAAGGACAAGGAGCCCCACCTTTGTGCTTTATTGACAAGCGTACTATGGCGTTTGGCCGCATGCCGTGCTTCTACCGCTCAGCCACCGGGCATCTTGTCATACGGTCTGAGACACCCGGAACATACGATGCATGCACTCGCTGACACTGTGCATGCATTCCAATTACATGCTGAGCCGGAGTGTGTAAGTGCCTTAGCTTCTAAATCCACAGTTACGAAAAATCCCCAATATATTTTAACTTAATTGCTTTTTGTATGACATACATTATCAATTAATGAAAACGAAAAAACGCTAGTGGCTCCGTTTCTTCGCTCGCAATGTAATTTTTTACGTCAATCGCTTAATGATGATTCTACTAGAATTTGTCTAATAATAACTGCTTATTTTATCAAACAGGTTGAATTCGGCAATCAAATATACCTATCTTTGCTATTGGCGGAGGACCAAAGTATAAGCTTCGGAGCCAAGGCTGCTCTGATGAGAGTACTCCGGCCCAGAGTGAAGAGGCGCCGTGTCTACATACCGTCACCACCTAATACTCCTGGAACGGGTAAGTTACTTAGTTAGTTCATTCATATTTCATATCATCACACCTTTAGTTTAGTTTTTAGTGCTTAATGATCAAACATTCGGGGATAGAAGGTAAGCTTACTCAATTCCGGTTGGCGACTTCAAACTTATAATTAGAAATTTTAAATTCAGGTTTCCTCACGATGTTTTCCTCCACCGTTTGTCAATGGTATCTAAATAATTTTAGTAAAAGCTAATCCATGTCCCTCTTAAATAGGAGCCGGATCATCAGTGACCACAGCTCAGCCAACGAGCTCGATCACAGAGGCAGTAGTTTCGGAGTCAGACCTCAGCGCCAACCGAGATGAGCACCAGGAGAACCAGTTCATGGATGTAGACGATTCCCTGGAACCTATGGTGCTACTGGCTCCTGATGGAGGTAAGATTATGATGAAAAGTAAACCGACATTTTATATTAATTTCGTATGTCTCACTATAGTTATTATACAAATATACAACATGTAACGTAATTTACGCACACCCTCAAACACCCCAATTAGAATATTATGTTATAATCATAATACATATACTAAATTTTTAATTTAACATGTATATGCATCCTTACTGGTCTTGTCATAAGATTTATTTTTCTTTATTTTGTATTGAATGATAGAATTTGTATGAATACAAATAAAACTGCGATTTTAAGTCTTATTGCTTTGACTTACGGTCCATTTCGATTTGTTTTTACAATACAGGGTAAATATGACAATAATTTCCGTAGTTTTAATTATTTTTGGGATAAAAAATTATCTATACTAAAAATTAAATAAATCGATTCAGTTATGTGTTCAGGATGTGCGTTATTTAAGTTGCATGTTGTATATTTTTTATTTTGTTAATAAATTACTGTGTTAAACACAGGTCTGGAAGCGTTACTAGACATTCCCCCGGACGCGGATGATGAGACGATGGTAGAGCTGGCGATAGCTCTGTCTCTCCAGGAACAGCCGCGCCGAGCCCCGCCCGCCCCGTCGGCTCCGCCACCGCCCGCGCCAGGGTTCAGCGATGCTACTGCGTCTCCACCTGCGTATGTCATTTACAAAAAATATATGAATCTTATTGTCTCACGATACCTCTGTCTTGGAGGTTATATTAGTGGAAATAGAGTAATACTTAGCATACTTCTATCAAAAACGTTTTGTCCACAGGTGACATAGATTCGTTAGTGTTCCCCGATTTAATATACCTATATTCGAATAACAGTAATAAAATCATATTCTGTGTGTCTAGTTCCGATGACGAGGGCAGCACGGCGGCGACGGACGGCAGTACCCTCCGTACGTCGCCGGCCGAGCCGCCCGGCTCCGCTGGCTCCGAGTCCGGCGGATCCGGCGCTGACTCCATCGGAGGGGTGTCCGGACGCAGCAGCGCTTATGGTAACTACATATAGTAAAATACTGTTTTTGTTTGTGAACATGTTACAGTGAAATACACTGCTGTATTAATTAAAATTTTCAGTATGCAATATTTTTGTTTGAGTACGAGAATCATTATAACAACCTTGAAATATCACGTTAGTGAAAGTTTTGTTGATTACTTAACTAGCCTATACCTAATATTATAGGCTTTGTATATGTCTTGTTGGTTTATAATACGATTTATGTTACAACGGTATGGAATGTTCTAGGAGAAATGGTGTCGGCTCCATCCGCTGGAACGATGCCAGCCTCCAATATCATCGCGGCCCCTGTCGCTATTACAGGTTAGTAAACTAAACTTTATTTTGATTCTGCTAACAACTATAAAATTTCAAATTGATCATTCAATGTTAATATTCATACTTCGATCAACAATAGCAACTAGATAAAGGGTTACGTACAAAATTAAGCTCCAGTTCTGTCCATGTGAATAATAATAGTAAAAAAATAACAAACAGAGAAAAACGTTTTAAAATGGTTTTAAGTTCAACCTAATAACAACCGTGGCACCTAATAATAAAGTCATAAATCGTCAAAATATTATCGAATTCTTACGACCATTCGTCACATAAGACGAGAAAAGCATTTTCTTACTCCTGTCATATAGAAATTAAAAGACATAAGTGATACAATATCTAGTTTGAATTCAACCTTAAGCTAGACCAAATAAAGATAATTTTTCCGTTATTGCCTTGTGATCTATGTCGTTTTGTTTTGTTTCGTTTTGCTTTTTCGAATTTCGCTACAGGAGGTATGTATAGAGTCGCGTTGAACACTAAAATAATTTTATAATATGAAAATTAAGATTTCGGGATCTTAGTATACTTCACTTATTTTTATTAGCTTTACGTTTTTGTGTATGTTTATTTATTTTAAGTCCAAGTCAAAATCATTTATTTCAGTTAGACCAGGAAGGCATTTTGAACGTCAACAATATAAATTTAAAAGTAAAGCTATTTGCTCATTCCAAGGTGTAGATACCTACGGAAAAGAACGAGCAAGATACTCCATAGATTCTCTAGATTTATATTTCATAGATACTCTTTTCCAATCAGGTTACAATACAAATTTATTTTACAATACAAATCGACTCCATGCATCCTCTGTTCTGTTTAAACAAATGTTTGTGCGCGTGTTGGTGAGGCTTGGCCAAGGGATCGCCAACACACGCACAAACATTGGTAGCGTTGGTTTATAATTGGTAATTTTGTCTAATTTTATATTATTTTCTAGTTTAAAAGCTTAAAATAAAACTTATACTTTATGTACTTATCGAAAGTAAGACACTCCGGCCGTTATACTGCTTTTTCGGTTATTATTTTTGCAACTTGCAATTGCCCACTGCAGCATCGTGAGACGTGATTACGTTGGCCGTGTTTGGAGCGTACTAAACAAAATAAGAGCTCACTTCTCAAGTGAGCTCTTATTTGTCGAGACGATTTTCTTGCGCCGACCCGATATCTAGTTGTTATTGTTGATCGAAGTATTCATACCTTGATTTATGCTGACTTAATGAAGAATAAATATTATCATTGAATTAAAAAATGCTATAAACAAAATCAAAGCATTTGTTTCAATTAACCATAAACAGGTACTTTTGAAACATGAACAAATAAAGATAGAAATACTGAGCCGCGGTAGGCCTTGCCGGGCCTCCAGCTCCATGACCAGGCTACTCCTGCTCATAAATCATCCCGTTCCTACGAACGGGATGATATTTAGTCAGTAAGAGTCTCCATCTCGCCTGACCCAAAGCGGGAGAAGTCATTAGATGAAAAATAAAGATAGACTTAATCATCTGTCAGTCAGTCATCTGTCAGTCTGTCCGGCAGTGAAGCTAAGTGCTCGTTCCAAAGTGTAGATTCGAATGGAGAAGAACGAGCAAGAAGGTCCTGTTACTCTTTTTACGAGTTAAACCCTAACAATGTCACAATAATTGTCTAGCTGGTCCATCAACGTCATCGAGTCAACCAGTAGCGTCGACGTCCCGTACAATGGAGGCTGAGAGCGAGACACGCAAACTACACGCTCTCCGTCTCTCTCTACTGTCGGCTGCATTAGATGCTCTGCCGTCTTTGAGGTTCCTGCCCGGAGTTAGAGCTATACCGTTCGTACAGGTACGTTGAACTTAACGATAAATAATCGAGTATATTACTGTGAAATAAGATAATAACTACTCATTTATATCTTTAAATAGCTTAACTAATAATGACTACCACATATTTACTACTATTCTCTATATTTAAAAAATACGTACGTTGTGCTAAGACGTCATCGTTGTCACAGTACAACGTTAATTTTGTAGTAAAAGTATATATATAAAAGTATAAGCATATAGACGCATATAATTCGGTTAGTTTTGATTGTACGATAAAACTAAGAATACAGATCTATTCATAACATCGAGGGCTTCATACTTACACATATCTCTAAAATCGTGAACATTGTCTATTATTAATTGACTTCAACTATACATACTTAATCAAAATATCACATATCTTTGACATAATTGTATATTGTAGTTTTGAAGTTAAGGTTCTTCTCATAAGGAAGTAAAGATATCGGTGTAACTTTATATGCATCACATTCTGTCTTTACTCCATCAATGGATAGAATACTTCATAGCCGACAAAAGTTTCTGTAGATTTTTTAACTGACTCCAAAAATAATAAATAAGAAGGTTCTTAGTTTCACCTGTATGTATGTGCGCAATTATCTCGTCATTGCCTGAACCGATTTTAATGCGGTTTTCAGAAAAGTGTTTGTTACACGTAAAAAGATTTTTTTTGTAAGTAAGTAAGTAGATTGACTTTAGGGTTAATTAACGACTGCATTAACCAACCTAAAAACGAGGGGGATGACGTTGGTTTTTTTCATCGCAGCTTATGAAAGTATATATTTACGATACAAAACAGTTTTAATAATCAAAATGTACTTTAAATGCTGATCTTTAACATATTATCCAACGTAGGTTGTTCTGATGCTGGCTGGTGACCTGGACTCCAGTGTGGAAGGAGACCGAACAGTTCTAGACCGATTACTAGAGTTACTTGTTTCGGAACTCGATATACAAAGCGAGGAAAATCCAGAGGAGCGCACGGACAGGCGCGAGTTACAACTGGCCATCATGCGCCTAGAGTTGTTAGTCTCTGAACTTGACATGCATGGGGATGAAACCCCGCCCCCGATACATGAGAGGACCAATAGGAGGGAGTTACAATTGGTCATCATGAGGTTGTTGAGTGAGTATTTTGTTAATTATATTGTGATGTAATAGAGAAATGGTTGTGATATGTTTCAAAGATTAGCGTCTCATCGAAGTAGAAATAGCTACTTTATTTTTTTTGATGTTTTTAAATATCTACCATGGAAATACATTTCAGTGTGTTATGTTTCTTGAATTTGGACTTTTTTTTATTCACTCATCATTATTCAACTACTTATTTCCTTCTACCAGGTGTGCTGATGGCTCGTTGGAAGACCTCAGCGAGCGGCGGGCCAGTCCCCCGCGCGGAGGTGACGGGCGGCGCGTGCGCAGCGCACGTGTCCCGGCTGGCCGCGGCCGCGCTAGTACGTGCCGGCGCGCCTGCGCACTGCTTCCGAGTGCTCTCTGCACTACTGCCTTATTGGAAAGAGAAGACTTCTAGTTAGTATACTGTTCATAATTAACTGCTTTTTATTGTATTAAATCTTGAGGAATTTAAAAACTTGCAATAAAAACTTTTTGTTGTAGGTTCTGGGGCAGCGACTACTGGCCAGACTCTCCTGAAACCACAGCCACCTCAGCCGTTGCCAGATATGCAACCTTTCTTCGTGAAAGAGTATGTCAAGAGTGAGTACCTGCATTTTAATCATCATAGACTTCAAAATTAGTTATCTCATAAATATGTCTGTTTTCACCTACAAGTTACATTTTAAGGAACCCCTAAGCAAAGATAGGTCATTCTTAACGACATTTTGGTTTTCTAACACCTAAAGGTAAAAGTAAGGGTTAGTTTAGCTGGCCCCTCACGCTAAGTGAATCTCAGTTAAAATATATTAGGATGATGCCCGTTTTAATCTTCTAGCATATTTTTCTATATCTTCATAAAATATTGATGTTGTTTGCACTAGGCCACGCTCTAGACGTATTCGACAACTACCCTCAACTACTGATGGAGATGGCACTCCGCCTCCCATGCCAGATACACAAGCACTGTGACCCGGCGCACTTCGACCAGCGCTGGCGCACCCTACTCTGCGAGTACATGATGAACCAACAGACTCCACTTAGGTATAACAAAAGATATTATAGTACTGTTTTTGTATTTTAAAAGAGGTATTTTTCAGCCGTCTCTTGGCTTTAATGTCCAAATACTCAAACGTCACTCAAATTTAAATCGCGCTTAAGCATAGTTTTGTCATTAAAAATTCTTTGTAAAATGACAGAGATGGCACGATATTTAAATACAACTTAAAATTGAGTAGCCTTTCAGTGTTTGGACGTAAGTTTAGTTTTGTTGAGTAATTTTACACTAAACAATTAACTACACTAAAACACCTGCCAGAATTCTACAATTTCACTCAAAACCAAAAATAGTTGGGTTTATATTTGCTTGCTTGTCATTTGATTAGTTTGCTTATCTACCTACATATTGAAATATGAAAATTTTAGTAAAGACAAAAATAAAGTCTACTATATAAAAATAATTCGGGTTTTCCTTCCTGACGCTATAACTCCAGAACGCACGAACCGATTTCTACGGTTTTGCATTCGTTAGAAAGGTCTCGGGCTTCGTGAGGTTTATAGCAAAGAAAATTCAGGATTTTTTTTATAATTTTTCTTCATCTTTTAATCACCAAACGAAATATTACATAAAATGAAGCCATCAGAGTGTCAAGCACGAATTACTGTCGCATTCGTAACGTTATAGTATCGAGCGCATTCGCCGTTCTGATTGGTTGATTCATTGGTGCCGGCCAATCAAAGCGCCGAACGCGCTCGATACTATTACGTTACGAATGCGATAGTAGTTCGTGCTTGGTACTCTGGTGGCGAAACAGAGTTCGCCGGGTTTGCTAGTTTATTATAAATATTATATTATTATTTATCCCTGCAGGAAACAAGTGCGCAAACTCCTACTCCTACTCTGCGGTACCCGGGAACGTTACCGACAATTGCGTGACGTGCACGCACTAGATACGCATCTTAATGCTGCGCGAGCATTGCTCGCTACTGACCCTGCTTACGACAAGCTTGTACAACTCATGGACCATCTGAAGGTAGGAATTGAATTAATATTTAAAGATGTTGTTGCTTTTATATGATTATTTCATATGAAGTATTGCAATGTAAGGTGGTCGTGGTGCAAGTTTGCGTAATGCCAAAACTTGAAAGTATATAATAAATAGTATCAGGAAGAAAAGTAAAATAGGTGAAAGATAGAAGAAAAATATCTTTATACAACAGGTCTACACAACACCGTCATCAATATAATTTGTTTGAGTACAAATGTTGCTGCTGAACATTTGTCAATAACCGCACCGTTACGAATTAACAAAATAAGAAAATTGTAAAAAAATAGCGAATACGGCGCAAAAAAGCCAGTGCTCAGTTAAAATGCCGAGCGCGATAACTCAAGTTGCGGCGCTGATTTTTAACACCAACCCTAGATATCAAAATGGCATGCAGGAGAAGTTCATATAACATTTGGTTCCGGCAGGCTTGCGCGGAGATAGTGAGCGCCCGCACGGGTAACTGGCAGCACACGTGCGGCAGCGAGCGGCGCGAGGCGCTGGCGTGGCTCGTGACGGTGGCGCGCCGCGTGCACCCCCACGTCGCGCCCACCGTGCTGCAGCTGCTGCAGGCCGCGCTCTGCGCGCCGCCGCATCTCGCGCGCGCCGACGCCGCCAAGGTCCGTACGCTTCATTCTCATACTGTTTGTCTACGCTTGGGAGCGAACAAATGACGTTGTTGGCATTGTTTCTTTTTCGTTTCTCGATAAATATCTTCTGGTACAAACATTTTATTAATTGGTAACATGTCATATAAAATGCCCTTTCAATAAGAGCATTTTGTTGTAAAAATAAGTTTTTTTATCGTTATTGAGGCTTCGATAAAATAAAAAAATGCTAGTGTCTCCGTTTCTTTGCTCCCAAATGTAGTTAGACTATTTAACTAGGCCATTTTGTGCCAACAAAAAGCTATCTTGTTTTATTTCATGTCAATTTCGTTTGTACCATCTACATAAATTTAACGTAGTTTTATGCATTGAAAATTTTAGTCAATTATATTCCTGAAAAAAAAAATACAATTCTGTTAAGCTTAACGCAAAAACTAACTAAATGAATGCTACTGTATGAATATTATTTCTATTATCTACGAATACGTATCATTTTCAATAAACAATTTTATTTTAATTTGAAACAAAATAAATAACACCCGTCACACATTAGAAACCGTTGCAGCAGAACTCTGCGGACTGGCCGGACCGTGAGCGCAGCGCGGAGAATGATGCCTTCACCACGGACGGGTCCAAGTTCCAAGAACAAAGAGTTGGACCACTCGTCCAACAGATACTGAAACAGGTACGTTGTTTTAAACCTTAAGGATGTATTATTAAGGTTAAAATTCGCACCCAATGCTTTGAAATAAGGTTGAAATCGGCTTCGCATAAGAATTATGCATGAACTTTAGGGAATTACAAATAAGGTCGTGTTTCGTTCAGATCTAGTATTGATGAGCCTGAACTTTACCATAAGCATTTGAATAATTTTCTTGAACCTTAATTTAGTATGCATAAAGTCGTAAATTACTTACACATTAGCGTTGAAACAGATAATTTTTTTTAGACTTAAACTTAGAGTTCATAAGGTTGTAAATCGCATAGATTAAATCAATTAATGTGTATGGTGTTTTCTAGGTTTCCCAAGAGGAACTGAGAATGTTTGTCAAGGCATTCTTACTGGAAACTAACTCTACCGCTGTGCGCTGGCAAGCTCATGCTTTGCTGCTCGCTATTTACAAGTAAGTTCATACGAAATTATACCTATTCATAACTACGTAAAGTACATTTTTTAAATTACATTAGAAAATCTTTTGAATGAATAAATAGCTTTACTGGTGGTTGTATTAAATAAAGATATTTTTATATTATTTTGGACCCACAAGTTACTTTATTTTGATTTGATTATCACTTCACTATTTAATTCATATGACACTAAAATACTTAAGCATGTTGGTATTGGCTCTATATCTGTTTATTTCTCCGTCTAGCAATTCTGCCCAAACCGATCAAGCTTCTCTAGTATCCCTACTATGGGGTATCTGGCCAACACTGCCTCAGTACGGACGCAAAGCCGCGCAGTTCGTTGACCTGCTCGGTTACTTCACGCTGAAGACACCTAACATTGATACTGAGGTGAGAATATTAAAGATATTGTAGAAAGCATTTAAAACTACATATTCACAAAAAATATTCTAGTTACTTCTAGATGCCCTTATTGCTTACCATTTTGGAAATATGATGACTGAAAAATTTTGGGATTCAATTTTTGTTCCGGATCTAGGTATCTTGTGTATGTGAATTTTATGAAATTATGTGCTTGTAAACGCACCCGTAACACAGAAGAGAACAATAGCATTAAGCGATATTTAAAAAAATTGCCGGACACCATATTGTTTCATGCGGGATTTGAGCCCTTGCAACACCGGTTGCCTAGCCAATGCGTCCATCAAGCTGTTGACTGCCGAATTAGTCTACACTTAGAAGCAAAGAAAAGGAGCCACTAGCTTTTTTTCATTTAATCGAATCCTCTATAACTTTTAAAACAAAATGCTCTTATTTTGAAGGTAAATTTATTTCCTTTTATACGCCACACGTTTCCAATTATTAAAATACTTGTATCAGAAAATAGTTGTCAAGAAATTCTTTTTTTCTTTTTTTATAAACGTTGCCTCACACTAGGATTATCTCCTGTGTCGTAGGTGCGTTTACAAACATACAAGTTCACATACACAATGACACCCAGACCCGGAACAACAATTTGTGGATCACACAAAATGTTGTTCCGTGCGGGAATCGAACCCGCGACACGTTGCACGGCAGCCGGTTGCCCAGCCATCGCACCAACCGCGCAGTCAATGATAAAGAAAAACGCTAGTGGCTCCGTTTCTTTGCCCCCAAGTGTAGTTTCAATACCCATAGTTCCATTGATATAATTTTTTTAAAAACCCTAATGTGCTTTTTATTTTCCCATACAGAAATACGTAGGAAGCGCAGTAGAATTACTGCGCAATCAGAACCAACTCCTTTCATCTCACGGTAACGCAGCTCTATACGCAGCCCTCGGTTCCTACGTGGAATTAGATGGGTACTACCTCGAGTCCGAGCCCTGCCTCGTCTGCAACAACCCTGAGGTTCCCATGGCAACCATCAAGTTACCTACTATCAAGGTTGGTTTAGATTGCGATTGGTTAGTTTGTTTTTAGGTACTTTCTTAGTGAATTTTTGACCGTGTGCAAGTTGTGTGTATGTGAATATGTGGATGAGGAAAAGATTTTCAAATTAAATAATAGGCAGACAGACAGTTTTTGTATTTTCCCATGCTAGAATTATTTTATCTGTTACTAGCTTCCGCCCGCGACTTCGTACGCGTACCATCCCATTTTGTCCCATCCCCGTTCGTGATTTTCGGAAAAAAGTAAAAGAAAAAAAATTGGTTAAAAAGTATCCTATGTCGGTCTCCTGGCTCTAAGCTACCTCCCTACCAATTTTCAGCCAAATCTATTCTGCCGTTCTTGAGTTATAAGTGGTGTAACTAACACGACTTTCTTTTATATATATAGATTTATGCCTCTACTACAAAAACAGATACATGTTTTTCTGTTTTCTTTATTTTATTTACACTCATTCATCCAAAACCATACAAATATAAACCATAACTCAACTAAATAAGAGCTAAACACACTACTGTACGCAGATCGACTCGAAGTTCACGACGACCACTCAGATTGTGAAGCTGGTGAACAGCCACATGATCAGTCGAATCAACCTCCGCATCAGTGATATAAAGCGGAGCAAGATGGTGCGCACTATCAACTTCTACTACAATAATAGGACTGTACAAGCCGTGCAGGAACTTAAGAATAGACCCGGTGAGTGCGTTGGAATTTGTATCTTATGTCTAAAGGGTTTTATTACATTTTTAAGGGTTTCATAGATGTAGTGACAGCTTAGCTAATAGGGGTTGGTTAACCGTTGTTTATATTGTTTTAAAAACTAATGTAGTAATCTTTTTTGTCCAATTACTGCAGATGTCAAATATAGAACATCGAATGGTGTCACACTAGCTAATTCCCTATTTACACCTCTTAAACGCAACTTCGTGAGTGATATACACAAGTTCTATACCTAAATGTAACCTTATGTTATTGTCATACGATTATACATTCCTAAAACGCCCGAGGCGCACTCTTTAGTTTGCTAATAGTTCGTTAAATTATTAACTAACTTTTGTAAAGTTTTAAAATGCATTAATATTTCCCTACAAATCGTACAAAAACGTAAAATCGTACAACAGTCGTTAAATAAATTAAGAAATACATTACTGTTGCTATGTTCAGGTATGTGGCACAAGGCGAAGCGTGTGCAACTTCAGTCGGGACAGTCCGAGGTGCGCGTCGACTTCCCACTGCCCATCGTCGCTTGCAACCTTATGATGGAGTACGCAGACTTTTACGAAAATCAACAGGCCACTGGTATGTATACAAAAAAGTATTTAACAGTCAAATAGTCAGTACTTGCTTCAGTTAACAAAGAATTAGTTTTTTGTCAGCAGTTAACTTATTTACGTTGAGTCCCAGGAAAAGGGAGCGAACTTATCGGTGACCATTCCAGACTCAAAGCTTCAAGGAGCAATTTTTGGAAACAACAAATAATACGTTCTTTGCTTCATACATACATACATACATACATAACTTCACGCCTGTCTCCCATGGGGGTAGGCAGAGACTAAGGAACGCCAATTACTACGATTCTTACATATCTCTTTCGCTTCATTAACAGTCATCAATCTTTTCATGCATGGTCGTCGGTTAAGGGTACTTTTAGACTAGAATTGTTTTATATTTACTACTGTTGTTGTTTTGTCGCAGGTGAATCTTTGCAATGTCCGCGGTGCTCACAGTCGGTGCCAGCTAACCCGGGCGTGTGCGCAAACTGCGGAGAGAACGTCTTCCAATGTCACAAGTGTCGGTGAGTAAATATATCGGCGCTAGACTTTTTATAAAAAAATATATACCACTTTACTTTTAATTACATGGGACCTATAACATAAATAGTGAAAAGTGGGTGTTATATTGTACAGAGGTATAATGTGCACCTCTGCCTACCCCTTCGGGGATAAAAGGCGTGATGTTATGTTATGTTTTCTTTTAAAAAACCTATTATATCGGGCTTTTAGTTTTCTTAACTTCCGTCTTAAATGATGGAAATGTGCAATGTGTAACATTTCTGCTAAATTAATGGCTTAAATATACTAAGAAAAGCTCTACTAGTTTCGAGTCACAGGGGCTCTTCTTTATGAGCAGTATCAGCGGGCGGGGCGATTTCGCGTCAGTACCCGCGCACGCTGCATTTTATTTGATTCCAGTACTTTTTTTATTATTTTTATTTATATAAACCGTTATTTTTAGTTAATTCAGTATATCTTCCGATAGTTATTATAAAAATTAACGGCTACACGAAGTCTTTTTTACTTATATTTTGTTACTTGTATTTGTGTTCGTTTTGTTTTTAAATATCAAGATTCAACAAACCATTTTGATGTTTATTGTAAATAGCCAATTGATTTGAAGTTCCGGCGTATATTTACATGAACCATTTTGTCTCCCAGTGCAATCAACTACGACGAGAAAGATCCGTTCCTATGTCACGCGTGCGGTTTCTGCAAGTACGCGAAGTTTGACTACACGCTGACGGCGCGGCCTTGTTGCGCTGTCGATACCATCGAGAATGATGAGGAGCGCAAGAAGATGGTGCAGACTATCGGTGCCTTGCTGGACAAGGCGGACCGGGTGTATCGCCAGTTGACTTCGAATAAGCCTGTGTTGGAGGTGAGTACATTTACAAAATAGAAATATATTTAATTCAACCTAATACAACAAGTGTGTCGCGGAGAACCTAACGGGTAACCGGGGCTCCGGCTCGACGTGCAGGAGAAGGAACGGGGTGGTTTTTAGTCAGTAAGAGTCTGACACTCCCTCCCGCCTCACCCAGGCGGGAGAAGTCATTCGATGATTTTCCTCCCTTAAAAAAGAAATACAAGTGTGTACAGGTGTACTAAATGCCTTGGGCATTGTCTCCCAGTTAACCTTTAAAGTAGTGCAGAGAGAAAGTAGTAGGTGCTTAAGTAACCTTTATAAACAGGTAATGTACTAGCATAATAATCTTACAATTTAAACATAAAACAAATACTATATAGGTATATTTTAAAACTTATACTTCTTTGAAATAAATAATATGAATACACTATTAAAATAATATTTGATTATTAAATATATATAGAACTTTGATCTTATAAAATAAGCGACGTCAGAAGTCCGTGGACATCTAGCGTTGTACATCTAGGGAACGCCTTAGTTCAGTTATGGACGTCTTCTGGCTGATGATGGTGGTATATCTGTGCCTTTAGCCCAACGCCTTTAGCGCTTTTGTACCGAGAGAGTAGAAAACTAAATGTATGGGGATGACACTGAGAAGTGTCAAAATTTACGTCAATCCCATATACATAATTTGGTTTTCTATACTACATGCAGACAAGCGCTAAATGGCATTTGGCTACAGCTGCTGATCTGGATGATGTTTTGCTATGGTGTTAGTCTCAATTAAAGTGGTTAACTAGCAAAGAATGAATGAAATTCGAATCGTATATGCTTGGGATTCCTGTAACGTTAAACCGGGTCGGTTGTTAAATAGCGATTTGTAACGAAAGTGAAATTCAAATCAAAATCAAATCAAATCATGTTTATTTGCTCAAACACATGTGTACATACAATAAACAATAGCATGCAAGATAGCGGGTAACAGTGAAAAAAGTTCGAGACATGTTTGCCGTATACAATGGCGTGCAAATATAGTAGTCACTCATAGTCATTGCGAACTAACCGACATTTTTCGAATGTGGAAACCTTATTCAATATTAGACATCGATGGAATATTGATAATAATATGTCAGAGTAACCATCATTTTACATTTAAAAACAATATAATAATAATAATTAAGAAATGATGTCTACTTATTACTGTTACAACTACAGTAAAGGTATAATATACATATAATAATGTCAATCAGTAAAAACTAATAAAAATAAATATGTCAAATCTGTTATGTCAAAATTATATAAATCAATTGCATTTTATTAATTTTTTATTAGTCAAGTATATCTTTTAGAAATTCGTCGACATTATAATAGGCCTTTCCAACGAGAAATGATTTTACTTTCTTTTTGAATAATTCACCATTAAATTCTTTCCAACTGTGTGGAATCTTGTTAAAAATTATAGGAGCCATGCATATAACACTTTTGCGCATAAATGCCGTACTTGACGAATGTAAACAAAGTTTATTATTATCGCGTCGATTTCGAGGAAACATTTCAGCCATACGTGGGAAAAGATTAGGATTTTTTTGACAAATAAAGCCACCTCTAATATGTAGATTGATGGTAATGTCAGTATTTTATAACGTATGAAATATGGCTTACACGAATCTCTGACGCTCAATCCGAACATAGACCTTATACATCGTTTCTGAGCTTTAAAAACTATATCTTTATCAGTCGCGTTGCCCCAGAAAATGACCCCGTATCTTAAAACGGATTCAGTTAGTCCATAATAAGCGGTCAATAGAGCATCCTCATTGACAGTCCAAGATAACCTGTACAGAGCAAATGCACTACTACTAATTCGTTTACAAGTAATTTCAATATGATTCTTCCAATTTAAGTTACGGTCAATCGTTAAACCTAGAAATTTTGTAGTATTCACAACGTTAATAGTATTATTATTATATTCAATGTCAAATTTAGGAAATGTCAATGCCCGTTGGTTAAAATGTATAATTACTGTTTTATTAATATTAATTTTCAAATTATTGCTATCTAGCCATTCTATTGACCTATTTAAGGTATCATTCACATCTTTTTCATACATTTCTATTGCTGCAAGGTATTGTGATAGTACTATCATCTGCGAATAGTGTCATGGGATAACTAATAGATCTGGGAAAGTCGTTTATATACAACGTAAAGAGAGAAGGTCCTAGTACACTTCCCTGCGGTACGCCATACTTGACAATGCGTTCGTCAGATACAAATATTTCTTCCCTTTTGGTTTTACTATTTATTCGATTGATTTCCGTAACCTGAATTCTATCACATAAATAAGATTGGAACAGATGTAAAATGTTTCCTCGAATACCGTAAGTTTCCAGCTTTTTTAACAGTGTATCATGATGCACGTAATCAAACGCCTGCGTCATGTCACAAAAAATAGCACAAACTGGATTATTTCTATCTATATTTGTCATAACTATGTATAAGAAGTCATAGATAGCCATATTAATGGTTTTATGTTTTCGAAATCCCTTTTGTTCATTGCAGAGTATGTCATACTTTTCTAGATATTTATTTAGTTCTGTATAGATATACGATTCAAAAATTTTAGCAAATATTGATATCAAGGAAATGGGTCTGTAATTTTCTTTCAACTCTTTATCAGATTTTTTGTGTAAAGGTTTAACTACTGACTTTTTTAATGCTTCAGGAAATGTGCCATTAAAAATGCTGAGGTTAATTATATGAGCCAACGGCACACAGATTTCTTTGGCTACTGCTTTGATTATTTTTGTTTGTATACCATCATGGCCAGTGCTATGCGTATTGTTAAGTTTTGAAATAATTTTTAAAACATCCTGCGATAAACACGGAGCCATGAACATCGAATCTTTTTTATTGAAAATTTTGTTTGTATCTTTGGTCTTACAATAAGTGTCTGGAAGAATCTTATCAATAAAGAAGTTATTAAACAAATTTGCGATGTGTTGAGGGTCTGTAATTTCTGTCCCATTTTCGTGTATTGTGTTAATGTAGTTCTTTGGAATGTTCTGTTTATTTTGATTTATTATTTGCCAAGTTGCTTTCGACTTGTTTTTTGATGTCTTTAAAATTTGAAACAAATTCTTACTTTATTTGTTACTAGATCCCTTTTAAAAAAAATTCGGTCGTATGAACCCTGGGAATCAAACTATTTCACTGAAAATGTTCTAATAATATTCCCTCTCCACAGTCCCTTCTCCACAAAATCAGCGAGCATCGTCTAGAAGGTCGTTCAGCGGACGAGAACAGTAATGCAAGTAACACATCGTTCAGTGGCGCGCAGATCAACCGCGTCATACAAACTCTTGCGCATAAGTACTGTGTCGATAGCAAGGGACATTTTGAGGATCTATCCAAGATCATACAGAAGGTGCTGGCTTGCAGGTCAGTAAAATTACGTACAACCATCTTTGATAGTCTGTTAAAAATTGTAATGATTCAAGTATCTTATGCTCGAATACACGAATACTCAATTTTAAGTTGTACTTAAATATCGTTTACTTAATTATGACTGCCTCGTTGGCCGAGTGGTCGCATTTGCGACTGCAGGGCAAAGGGTCTCGGGTTCGATTCCCGGGTCGGGCACAGTGGGCTTTTTTAAGAAAATCTCAGTAGTACCCCGGAGCCTGGAAATGTGCCCGGTATATGGCAATAGGCTGAACGCCTATTTCATGGGACTCGTAACATAAATCATGAAAAGTGGGTGTTACATTGTATAGTGGCACCTCTGCCTACCCTTTCGGGGATAAAAGGCGTGATTTTATGTTATGTTAGGTAATAATTTGTTATTTAATTTACCTAATATAAACGTTATTTGCAGGAAAGAATTGGTAGCATTCGATAGATCGCAAAGCGAACTGACGAAAGGTGATACTTTGCCTGTCTACGCTGGATTGCTGCAGAATTACGACGGCGATGTTACTAAAGGTACAGCTGCGTTAATTCTTATGTTTTCGGATTACCTATGTAACTGTTTTACGTGGAATTCGACTCTTGAATATGAGCCTCTAACATGGCTTGAAACTAGTCGAGGTCCTTGTCAAACAGTTACGTGAGTAAGCTAGAAACGTAATAATTAATTTAGTATATCTTACTAAAGTTATAAAAATACTGCGTATTTAATTGTATCGTACTCACGTCTAAATAACTATGAATTAGTTTCTTTTTGTATTGCTGCCGGACAGTATCAGTCATTTCCAATACTTAAAATATTTATTTGAATAAAATTATATCTTTAAGATTAAGATTGAAGATTTTACAAACATACAACAAACATAATTTGTATGTGTATCGAAGTCAAAGTCATTTATTTCAATTAGACCAAGAAGACACTTTTGAATGTCAATAAAAAAAAAAATTAACTCAAACTCAAAACTCAAAAGTCATAACTCAAAAGCATTTATTTCAATCAAACCATAATTTGGTACTTTTGAAACGTCAACAAATATGAAATAAATAATAGTCTGTCAGTCTGTCCGTCAGTGAAGCTAGGCGCTCGTTCCAAAATGTCGATTCGAGTGGAGAAGAACGAGCAAGAAACTCCATTCGTTACTCTTTAAAAAAAAGTCTGTTTTACATTGCTCCGATAAATATTCCAATATTGTACACACATGTGAGAACAATGTAAAAATTGAAGTTACCTATTTGGAGTCATTTAAATTGAAGTCATTCCTATGGAGAAAAACGAGCAAGAAACTCCGTAGGTGACTTATTGTATGTGATTACTTGAACACTGAGTCCGTCCCGCAGGCGGCGGCTGCTACGGCTGCGCGCTGTCGTGCGCGGAGCACTGCCTGACACTGCTGCGCGCGCTGGCCTCGCAGGCCGAGCACCGCGCGCGCCTGTGTCGCTTCGGGCTCGTGCAGGAACTCGTGCAGCACAACCTACACCGCGGCACGCCTCAGGTATTTATTTTATTTCACACTTTGTCTATTTGCAATATTGAAATAACCGATTTTTACTACATGCATATGAGTGTACATGCGATACATATACCTACAAAACACTTTTTTATAATTTGGAATAACTGGACCAATTTTGACAGGACTTTTATTGTCAGGTAGCTGAGTAACTTAGGGTAGTTTTATTTTAGAAATACACGGACGACCTTGCGGCTACAGCTAGTACACCTCCTAATAATACAAATGTCATTATTTGATTTAGTGCCAGGAAGAAGTACGTGCATTGATCTGCCTAGTCACCCGCGACAACCTGCCGGCGACGGAGCAACTATGCAACTTACTATCGCAGCGCATCACCCTCTCACTCATGGGACACGCAGCTTCACAAGATCATAACAACTCTGTAAGTATTACTCAATATTATACTTTAATTATAAATACTAATAAGGTTTAAATTTAAGCGTTTCCAGTTATATCTATTAATTTTTGTACAATAGAGTTTTATGAATTTTAATTTATTGTATTTTCGGCTTTCATGTAATCACGAACTCGATTCATAGGTGTAGTTCGAAACTAGTCCAGCATTCTTGAACAGTTAAAAGTGGGTGAGCTTAATGCCATATACTGGGTACAATTCAAGACTCCATGCTAATTCTGAGATTTTTTAAAAAAACCAGTAATACTTTGCCTGACACGGAAATCGAATCTGAGACCCCTTGCCCGGCAGTTGAACTTGCGACCACTCGGCCAACGACGCATTTTTTATTTAGTGTTCATAAATATTTCAACATGGATATTAATGCTATAGTTAACATAACATAACATCACGCCTTTTTATCCCCGAAGGGGTTGGCAGAGGTGCACATTTCGGCACTTAATGCCACTGTACAATGTAACACCCACTTTTCACTATTTATGTTATGAGTCTCATGTAATTGGGGGTGAGCCTATTGCCATATACCATGCACAATTCCAGACTCCGTGCTACTACTGTGAATTTTTTGAAAAACCTATTAATACTTTGCCCAACCCGGGAATCGAACCCGAGACCCCTTACCCGGCAGTCGCACTTGCGACCACTCGGCCAATGAGGTATAGATATTAATACTATAGTTTTGAGGTTGAAAATGAATTATTTGTTGATTAATATTATATTTGTTACAGGTACGCCCGTTAGTACTGCTTTTAGGCTCCCTTGTGAAAGTACAAGATTCAGTGGAATGCTGGGAAGCAAGGCTTAGATGTATCGTGAAGCTGTGGGTTTGGTATGTATTTTAATGGCTAATGACTGTTATTAGTTAACACGTTTTTCTAGTAGATTAAAGGCCGAGATTATTGTTACTTATTTAAACATCGATGTTCATTGTAAAGAAAGTAACTGTAGGATGCTTCCTTACAAGCGAGCTTAGTAAGATTTGGTTTTATTTATTTATTATTTCATGTACCCACACCATACAATATTACAAGAGACAACACATTTTAAGCATGAGGTACATATGTTTGATGTTATCGAAATGAGACCGCATTCGGCGCTTTGATTCAACATCAACAGCCTATAAGTGTCCATTACACCAAAAGCCTCTTACACAGAGAAGGTTCGAGCATTAATCACCACGCATGCTCTATGTGGGTTGGCGATTTCAAACTTATAATTAGAAATTGTAAGCCCAGATTTCTTCACGATTTTTTCCTCAATTGTCAATGGTTTCTAGATAATCTTAGAAAGTTCATACAACTCAGAATAGGTCATAACGGCAAGTGCTGTTGGCAGGTTTCAAATCTGCACTCTCATGCATGAGGAGCGGACGTCTTAAGCCTCCGGGCCACCACGACATTAAGGCGCTTTGATAGACCGCCCAACGCGATCTCGTTTCGATTACTTTAAATATGTACTAAGCCCTCTGACTGCCAAGCACGAATATTTATCGCGTCCGTAACGTAATAGTATTGAGCGCGTTGGACGCTCTGATTGGCCTGCTCCAGTAAACCAACCAATCAGAGCGTTATATGTAATAACGTTACGAATGCGATAGTTATTCGTGCTTGGTACTCAGAAACCTTATTTACTTCTCTAACTCCATCACATTCATACTTTTTCTCTTTCTCTATTCTTCGTCTGGCTCCATAGGACTGTTATAAGTTTATGTGTGCTTGTTATATTATTTATTAATGTGTTTATTAGGTGCTGTCCCCAACTGACGGAGGTGGCCGGTATAACGCCAGCTGCCAACACCATTCTGAAGGCGGAGGCCCTCGCTGGCATACCCGGCATCAACTCATCTTCGCCTAACTGTAAGTAAAGTTCTTTAGACCATTCATTAAACTTAAACCCAAACACTGAACGGCTACTCAATTTTAAGTTATAGGGACTTAACTATCGCCATCTCTGTCATTTTACAAAGAATTTGTAGTGGCATAACTATACTTAAGCGCTTCCCTGATCAATCCCCAAGCGGTCACCGGTGACCGCTCTCCACTACCTACATTATAGACCTGATTTCCGATGTTTAGAGACTACTTTTGTATGAACAAATTTTGGGGATTTATATCAAGTGTACGAGTTAAAATTGAGTGGCGTTTGAGTATTTGGACATTACTCCTGTAAATGTTAACTATTCGAGAAAAGCTCTATTGGATCAAATGTTTTCATCATGAGCAGCATTAAATTCATTTTAATTTATAAAAAATTTATAAATTTTTTATATTATATTTTTTTATTTTATTTTATTTATATTATTTTTTTATTTATTTTATTTTATTTATATATAATATTATATTTTATTTTATATTATATAAATAAAAAATTTATAAAAAATTAAAATGAATTTAAACTGCCAAACACCAAGCGGTCACCGGTGACCGCAACCTATTGTTCTTTAATTGTGTCTATAAAACCGGTACTCGACGAGTTAATATTCTTCAACCTTACCAGTTCAACTTTTAAATGTAATTCGGTATTGTAATCTAGAAAAACAAAACAATATACAAGTCTATAATTGTTCATCATTGAAAATTCTTCTTTGAGCTTATTGAACTGAAATAACACCTGAGATCAAAGAAATGAAGCCGTAGGCGTTTTTTATTTTCATTTAATCGAACCCTCTATATTTCTATATCTTTAAAAAAAAGTATGTTACCAATTAATAATTTAATTTCGTATTAAAAAAAATCAAGAAAAATGCTAGTGGTCCGTTTCTTTGCTCCCAAGTGTAGTAGGGACATGTTTATTTTGAAACGACTGAACTTTCAACGTAATATTGTATTTGTATTATTGGTAAAATATGTGTAGACTTACGGAGGTTTAGTCTTGTCGTGTCACACAGCGCACCAGTTCGCGCTGCAGCAGGTGGCGCTGCCGTGCCTGCGGTACATGCAGCAGCTCATGGCGCCCGCCGCGCCGCCCGCGCAGCCGCCCGCGCCCGCGCCCGCCGACGGGGAGGCCCCTAAGGAGGCTGCTAAGGTACGGCATCATTTTATACGAATTAGGATTTTTAAAAATGGAAGATTCGTTTTAAGGGTACAGCCAGTACCCTATCCTCTTATAATATCTTCTGATTCACTTCGTTGTGGGAACGAAGACAGTTACTCCGAACTTCAGTGTTCCGGTGTTTTCATGGTTGTATCTACTGTAGATCTTGGCTTACAGGAGTTGCAGCGGTTTTGGGATGTTGTGGTGGGCTTGTCCCATTAAAAAAAGCGGCACAGATTGTACCATACTGTATATTGTAGCACCAAACATATCTCCCAGCAGGAACCGAGCCCAGTCCCGACTCCAGCGAGCGGCACGGCGGCCGCGTCCCCGGCCGGCAACGTGGTGGTGGACCTGGCGGCCTGGCTGGCCGGCTCCGTGCCGCACGCGCACTGGCGGCGCCTGGCCGGCCCGCGCGCGCCGCGACCAGACACGCCCGCCACGCAGCTACGGGACCTACATCTTGCTACCAAATACTTAGCCAAGTGGAGGGAGAGGGTAACTATTATTTTTAATCATTAGGCATAATGTTTTTGTGGATCTTAATAAAATATAGGAACAATGTAAATAACATAATTTTACTTAAATATAATTTAATCTGTACTATCTTTAAATGACAAAAGTATTATTAGTAGTTGCAAAATGCTAAGTATAAAAGATTTGCTGAAATATTTCACGTATAAAATGTACTAAAGTTAGTAACCAATTTTATTTTGAAGTCACTGAATTACAGACTATTGAATTAAAAATGTACTTTAGTATAATACCTATGTCTTTACGTTTTAACATTCACTTTTAGTAACTTCTTATCGTGGTATATTTCACATTATTATATGAATGTAACTTTTTCTTGTTCACAGACGATGTTATCCCACGGCATGCGTCCCCTGGCGCTAGAAGATGGCGGCTGGCTCCGTCCAGTGATGTTTGATCCCAGCTCACGTATTGCCCGCGACACCGCCTGCCAGATGGTTAAGTCACTCTGTGACTCGTATGAAAGGACTAAAGCTGTGAGTATAGGTTTTATATCGAACAACTGGCGATTTATTAGATAAGGGCCAAATTTAAAGTACCCTTGGAACCGACGAGCTTGCATATGAGATTGATGACTGTTGATGAAGCGAAAGAGGTACATATGTAAGAATCGTAACAATTGGTGTTCCATAGTCTCTGGCGTGAGGTTATGTGTGTATGTATAGGTTTTATTTTATATCGATTGTTTTACACTTAATATGAACATTTTAAGCCAGTATTTAAATATGAATCTCCTTTATAGGTACTGATCTTGTTAACGAGCTTCCTTCCTGAAGTCGGCTCTGCTGGAGAGGCCAGCGAACAATTCTTACAACTTTATCAAAGTAAGTTAAAACCTGAGGCCTTAGTACGAGTTTGTTTTACGTTTAAAGTAATCGTAACGAGTACGCGTTCGGCGCTGTGATTGGTTGCTTCATTGGCGCCGGCCAATCAGAGCGCCGAACGCATACTCGTTTCGAATACTTTAAACGTAAATGAAGGAACCAGTAAGGTTAATGTAAATGTAATAAAACATGTTTCGTGTATATATAGATATAAGACACAACCTTCTTTGTGAAAAAAAAAATGTGGTTAATGTAGCACGTAAGATTTTTGTAACAATTAATTTTGACTGTAAATTAAAAGAAAATGTAATGGAATGACAAGGGCACGGACAAGAGTCCGTGGAGAATAAGAAATGTAATATTAAAAAAAAAACGTAAATGAAACTCGTACTAAGGCTTCTGACTAATAAATTTCCACAATACTAAGAATAAAGGATAAAATAAATCTTACATTTAAGCATAAAACTAAAAATAATGAACGTTGCGCATACTAAAGAAAATTGCATCGCTTCGTAAACTTACACAAACAGTTTGCGTAAGTACATATCTTTATACTGATGTTTTTTTCTCTAGCTCTGGCATCTGAGGCGCCATGGAAGCAGTTCCTGGCGTTGCGCGGAGTTCTGCAGCAGATAGCTGACTTGATGACAAAGGAGATCGAACAGCTGCATCGCCTTGAAGAAACTACGCTCACTTCTGACCTGGCGCAAGGTAAAGTTATGTAGCTAGAAATAAAGTTCAAATTGAATTAATGATCTATTAAATCGTTATACTTTTGTATGAACAAATAAGTTGGTAGCTCATAACGTCATCTATGATAGTCGTTACAACTGATTGAGAGAAGCTAGGCAGATCTAAACCTATTAGGAAAAATGGAAAATACTGCTCTTCTACTTTTTATGAGATAAGTCTCCTTAAACTTCTGTTCCTGTGCAGGCCATACTAATTTTTACAATAAAAAACATTTTACAATGTCGTTTCTCGTAACCTCGTTGGCAAGCGCGACTGCCGGGTAAGAGGTGTCGGGTTCGATTTCCGGGTCGGGCAAAGTACTACGGGGTTTATTTTAAACATTCTCAGTAGCAACACGGAGTCTGGAATTGTGTCCGGTATATGGCAATGGGCTCACCCCCTATTACATGGGACTTATAACACAAATATTGAAAAGTGGGTGTTACATTGTACAGTGGCATTAACCTCTCGAGCGTCCTTATGAGCACCCGGTTGATCATAAGAAAAAATGCTCCATGCTGCTTTCTCTTTTATAAAATCTATTATTAATGTTTTGTTTTTATTTTGTCTGTATTTGTTTTATTTCTATTGTAATGATCCTTGTTTTCGTGTGCCAATGCCCAAATAAATGCATTTTCTTGCATGCATAAGTCAAATCAAATCAAATCAAATCAAATCGTCTTTATTGTGGACTATAGGTATGCATCAGAAATACAGGTCTTAAATAATAAAAAAGTACAGCTATGTCCCGCCGTTGAGGCATACAATAATAATATACAAAACAGAATTTAAAACACAATTAGTCATAATGTTTAGTCTCAATACAATTTTAAAATACTTCAAATACATACAAATTCAATATAAAGTCATGAAAGGTAAAATATATTATAATTCATTATTACAAAATTTCAAATCACATTCTTACATAAATGTTAAAAAGTGGAAAGACAAGCAAATTAAATGTCAATTACAGTTCAATATATTATTATACACATACATATTCACTTTTCTTGTCATTGGAAGACAATATTTTTGTCACACAAGTAATCTTTAACATCATAATAACATCTCACTATTAGGAATGAATGTAATTTCTTTTTAAACTGGTGGATTGGTAATTGTTTAATGTCATCAGGCAATTTGTTATATATTAATGATGTCATGCATAAAGAGCTTTTATTTAATAGTGCTGTTTTACTATAAGGTACCTGTACCTCTAACCTTTTTTTATCCCTTAATTTTCGATAATAGCTTTTGTCAGCAGTTTTATAGTAATTTAGATTTGATTTCACAAAAATACTTGATTCGTAAATGTATAGGGAAGGCAATGTGAGAATTTTTAGATTTTCAAAGTAAGGTTGACAGCTAATTGTGTTATTTATTTGGCACATTGCTCTAATGCACTTCTTTTGAGCTTTAAATACAAGTTCCTTGTCTACCGAATTTCCCCAAAATATAATACCGTATCTGAGTAATGGTGCCACCAGTCCGTGATAAGCCGTTAAAATTGCTTCCTTGTTAACTATTTTGGAGAGCTTATAAAGAGCGAATGAGGATTTGTTAATTTTTTTGCAGAGATTATCTATATGAGTTGTCCATGAAAGTCTATAGTCAATATTTATACCCAGAAATTTTGTATTTGTTACAGATTCTACTGCCTGTCCATTATAATTTACATTAATACTATTTGGTTGAGTTCTTTGGTGAAAGTGCATTATGTGTGTTTTATCTAAATTTATTTTCAAATTGTTGTCAATTAACCATTTAATTATAGTTCTTAATGTTTCATTAATTTCATTTTCATAGTCCTTTTGACTGTCACATTTTATCACTACATTGCTGTCATCTGCAAAAAGTACCATTGGATGTTTTATGTGTCTAGGGAGATCATTAATATAAATTAGGAAAAGCAAGGGACCTAAGACACTACCCTGTGGAACTCCTAGTTTTATGGTTCTAATTTGTGATCTATATGTCTTCTCATCCCGCGTTTGAAGGCATATCCTAGTTATTTCTGTTATCTGCTTTCTATCATGTAGATAAGAGTGGATGAGGTCTAGTGCCTTCCCCCTTATGCCGTATGAATCTAATTTCTGAAGGAGTCTGTTATGGTCAACACTGTCAAAAGCTTTACTCATATCCATGAAAATAGTACATATTGGATTTCTTTTGTCCACATTAGTCAAAACCATGTTAGTGAGTTCATATATTGCAGCGTTAATGGACTTACCTTTGCGAAATCCTTTTTGTTCGCTAATCAAAATATTATATTTTTCAAAAAATTGTAGAGACGACTATAAATTACTTTTTCAAATATCTTAGAGAAGATGGGTATCAGAGCTATAGGTCTATAATTACTCATATTGCCTTTGTCGTCTTTTTTGTGGAGAGGAATAATGACCGATGTTTTAAGTTTTTCTGGATAAGTTCCAGTAGAAATGCATAGATTTATGATGTGACTTAAATGAACTGCGATTGATTGCGATACTTGTTTTGTTACTTTAGTACAGATGCCATCGTAACCCTCACTTGATGTATTTTTAAGTTGCTTGATTTCTCTGTCCACCTCTATTGGGGTTGTGGGGGTAAGGAAAATCGAACTTAAGTTAGTGTGCATGTTTTGATTTGAAGTTTCTTTATTTTTGTAATTATTGGTACGCATCAATTTTGCAGCTTGGTCAATGAAATAGTCATTAAAATTATTCGCAATCGATGTTGGATCTGTAATGCTTACGTTATCTGTTAATATTTCTCTAATTGGTTCCCTGGGAAATTTAAATTTTGAATTGTTTATTAGTGACCAAGTGGCTTTTGATTTATTTTGAGCTGTGTTGATGCGATGATTGTTTTGTGCCTTCTGCGTAAGACAAATAATTTTTTTAAATTTCGTAGCATAGTGCTTGAATTTATGTTTGTTTGTTTCCGTCCGGTGTGTTCTATAATGCCATAATAATTTTCGTTTCACTTTGCTGCAAATTTTGATACCTTTTGAAACCCATTTTGTTTTTTTGTATAATGATTTTGTAATTAATTTGTAAGGAAAACACAAGTTATAGAAACATAGGAAAAGATCCAAGAAACGATTGTAGGCTTCGTTTAAATCATTCGTCAGGTAAATGTCAGTGAATGTCAAGGTATTTATACAATTTTTAAATTTCGTCAAATTTTCCTCACTGTAATCGCGTACTTTAATGCGCCAAGACTTTAGTACACAGGATTTTTTTACTGGAAAGTGCAATAATTGGGCAGTATGATCTGATAATCCTAATTCAATTATTTGGCTTTTGCATTTATGAGTGTTGTGGGCAAAGTTGTCAATGCACGTGCTACTAATGAGTCGAGTGGGAACCGTAATTTCTAGTTTTAAGTTATGACTTTCTAGAATTTGTTCAAAATCTAAAGTTTGTCGGTTTCTTTTCAATGTATTGATATTAAAATCCCCGCATACAATAACTTTCTTACTAGTGTTATCACACATTTGGTGCAGTAACTTTTCTAAATTTTTAAAAAAAGTAGACATACATGAGTTGGGTACTCTGTACACACAAACTATTATCAACCTATGTTCAGTTAGTTCTATTGCACTATATTCTATGATACCTTTACTTGAAAATGTATTATTAAGTACAGCATATGGGTGTCCTAATCTAGTTAATATACAGGCACCTCCCCTATTTACATCTCGTGAAAAACTTGCTGCCAAGCGAAATTTGGGCAAATTAATTGTAGCCTCTTGTTCTGGTGTCATAAAATGCTCAGTTATACATATTATGTCGATGGGTATATCCTTCTGTTCTAATTCTTCTAAATGTACTGTGAGAATGTCAGCTTTAGTTAACAGGCCAGCAATATTCTGGTGTAAAATGTTTATATTATTATAGATGAAAAAACCGTGAGTTTTGCTTGTTTTCCCCAGTATCTACATAAGGAAATAACCTTAAGTCAATTTTTATCCTCTCCATAATATTTTTAAATATGAAGCTAGTTCCAGTTTTATTTAGTTTCCCTGATCTGTCTGAAAACATGTTAAATTCAAATTCTAAGTCCTTATTCGAGTCAAAAAAGTATGCGTATTTATGATATTCTAGGTCCATGTAAAGTAGGTTATTAAATATATCAACTTTATAGTTATATATAGGGGATCCGCGTACATACGTAGGTGTACATATTATGATATTTGTGTGGGTTATATGTCTCAAGCTTTCATTAATTACTTTCACAAGGTCAAAATTATTGTCAGTTTTAATATCTGAATCGCCTAATAAAATTATACAATAGTCATTTATAGTGAAATCGTCTAGTTTTGTTTTAATATTAGTTAAGAGATGTCTTATTTTTGAGTTAGGCATTAAATAGCTACAATACTTAAAGTCATAAGAAAAATATTCTTCAATCGCTTGTAATATGCCTCTATGTGTGCTATTACTTAATACGCACAGTTTCCTTTGTTTGATATCCTCGTGAACTCTTGATCTCGTACTGTTCTTCTTTTTTGATGCCAAGTTATTTGTTTTATTTAGGTTTTTATTTATATTCAGCTTGGGTTGACTAACTTGGGTGGTGCTGGAGTTGTTGACAGAGGAATCTTTACCCCGTACTTTCTCGTCGTCAGGCTCGAAGGGTTGAGAGGAGGCATCGAGGGTGGGTTGCAATACTTGATTTTCAGAGCCCTGCTCTGAAGGAGGTCTGCTGTTGGTAATTTCCTGGTCATTATGACTTGTGCTCGGTTTAGAAAGTGTTTGAGCTGGTGTAGAGCAGCGTCCCTTTCTTTTATTAGCACGCGATGATAATGGGGTCATGCAGAGACCATCTGATAGTGCAAGATTCTTGTAAGCTTGAGTTGTTTGCAAGCTTTTGTTCAAATCACATTTTAAGCGATAGTTTTCCAAGTTTAGATTTTCAATTTCTTTGTGAGCAATATCTAGTTCTTTACTTAGACTGTCTATCTTTTCTCTTAAGTCATAAATAGTTTGGCTATCATTTAAAGACGTGTTCGGTAAACTTGTCATAGTAGCGTCGAATAGATTTGTGTCTGTTTTCGAAACATCATTTAAGGAGAGTGTGAGGTGGGGTTTTCTTTTGCGTAAAGTAATATTTTTGTCGAGCTCCATGTTTTCGTATTTTATATTTAGTGACTATTTTTATTTTCTACCAAAATACTTTTTTTTTTTATTCTGGTATCTCTAGTTTTTTGTGGCAACACTTTCCCCCTTTTTTTTTAATGGTAACACTGGTCAATATGTCAATTTTATTTCTGCTACTTGACACTAGATGGCGATGTTCGGTATGAAGTATTTATTATTTGTAGTAGCAACCCTAATGTTAATGTCAATTTTTAAACGTCAATGTCAATATTTGTTTCGCTACTCTCTACTAGGGGCGCCACTTATGGTACAAAGTTCACTTTTAAAACAAAAACATTACACTTAACCGTTTTTTATACAGTTATAAGTAATTAATTCACCATTTATTATGTTTTTAAATGTTCCACTGACGAGAATACATTTGTACAGTTCGCATACACTTGCTTTGTCAGTGATTAGCACTTTTTTGAAACACAATAACGTTTAACAGTTCAAATATTAGATACAATGTTTTTATTGCATATCTTGGTGTATAGAAGTCACCAACAATTGCACTTATGTGGTTTGATATGCCTATTATGATTCACTACAACACACATCACTTGTACTATGATTAATATTTGTTTCGAGTTTTAAATACGCGGGCGATGTTTACTCAATGCTGTGTTGCCAGCCAATCAAACCAAATAAGGATAAGGAAATGCATAAGGAACGCGGACGCTCGACGAGTTAAATGCCGTAATGTGCGCTTCTACCCTTTCGGGGATAAAAGGCGGGATGGTATTAATTAATTACTATTATACGTTTAACAGGTTACGCGCTGAAACGGCTGACAGAGCTACTAGCAATGTTCCTCGAAGAGAGCGGCGCTCGGCGGACATACAAAGGTCGCTTAGTGGGCGCCGTACTAGGCGGGTACTTGTCTCTACGTCGCCTCGTCGTACAACGCACGAGGCTCACTGACGACACGCAGGAGAAGCTTCTAGAACTGCTCGAGGAAATGACTACTGGTTAGTGGGGATTGGTTATTGTAAAAATTAATTCAAAGTTAAAAAAAAAATGTTCGACTTTAAGCTGTGGAGTTGTCATAAAAATTTTATACGATAAACATTACAATACACACGACAGAAGGTTGTCACAAAAAGTCCAATTAATGATGTCGTTTACCTTTAGAAGGTTTGTGAGATTGAAGTCACTTCATGTTTAATGACGATGACAACAAAACTAACCGAATAAAGAGCAGACAAAAAAGAATAAAGATAAATGTAATTAAAACAAAAATTGTGTTTTCTGAATTATATAATCTCTCATCTTTAGGTACTGAGGCTGAAACAGCGGAATTCATGGCAGTCTGCATAGAGACCGTGCAGAAATACCCACTGCACGACTACCGCACACCGGTGTTTATATTCGAGAGACTTTGTTCCATCATCTACCCGGAGGAGAACGATGTCGGGGAGTTCTTCCTTACGCTCGAGAAGGACCCGCAACAAGAAGACTTCTTACAGGTAAGAATTTTTAAATAAAAGCTACGTGCTATATTCACTCCGATTTTTAATCTCTTAGTTTCTCTCCATTTGTATACCCCATTTCTCCACTAATTTATCTCTCCACCACTATTTCCAATATTCCTATTTTTCCACTGACGCCCCATCTCCCCTCTATATCTTCATTTCCCTTTCTATTTTCCTCTCTTCCCCCTCTACCCCTCTTACCGCCCCTTTCAAGCAGGAAGAGCCCGCTCTCTTTCCCCCTTTCCCTATCTATCAAAGAGAAAAAATGAACTAACTGTTCAAGTTTGACTTTGTCTCTTAAAGAACTCAAATTACAACTTTAATAGGAATACTCAGTTATTACCAAAAAGAGTGATTAAAAACGATCGCAATATTATATAATTTTATTTTTTTCTCCAGGGTCGTATGTTAGGCAACCCATACTCCTCTCTAGAGCCGGGTATGGGTCCTCTCATGCGTGATGTGAAGAACAAGATATGTACCGACTGCGAACTGGTCGCTTTGCTTGAAGACGACAACGGCATGGAACTACTCGTCTGCAATAAGATCATGTCGCTTGACCTGCCTGTCAAGGAAGTTTATAAAAAGGTTGGGTATTTTTTTGATAGGTTTATGTACCGAAAGTAGTGTTTAAAACTATTTAGATGCTCGAGGATGGTGAAGAAATAAGGTCCTCATATTGACCATATTGATAATCATATCCTTCACCCCATATCGATTTCTTCATGCTTTGAACACGTCCAACACTTGTTCCTAATATCGATTATATTGATTGAAGTACTTCGATTCGATACCTAGATTGAGTTTCGTATTTGAAAATATAGGGACATACTATATACTTTTTTGCAAAATGTTAACTTGATATTATTTGTATCTAAGGTATGGTGCACATCTGGTGAAGGTGTAGACGCGATGCGAGTAGTGTACCGTATGAGAGGATTGCTCGGGGACGCCACGGAGGAGTTTGTGGAGCGACTCACTCAGGCCAATGCTGAAGCAGTCGACGATGAGCAACTGTATAGGATGGCTAATGTGCTTGCTGACTGTGGTAAGATATTGTTTCTATGAAAAATATTATAGTAAAAGTATAAGACCATTTTATTATATAGAGTCTATAGTTTGAACGCAACGAGAGTTATCGTAGGACGTTTAGGGCTCCATCAGTACAACTATTTTTGTTAGTATGTTCAGTGCTTTTAGCCGGTCACTTTGGCGCTTGTCTACCGAGAGAGTAGAAAACTAAATGTATGGGGATGGCACTGACAAGTGTCAAAATTTACGTCAAATCCATATAATTTAGTTTTCTACTCTACATGTAGACAAGCCCTAAATTGTATTTGGATACAGCTGCAGGAGTCAAGTGTCCACATGAAGGAGTCAGCAAATCAATATACCAGTCCACAATAGAGACGACGACGATGATGATGATAATGATGTGTACAACTCCAATTATGAATTCCTTCGTAGGTGGTATCGAAGTGATGCTGCAGCGCCTGGCGGCCATCCAGCGCGTGGGCGCGGCGCGCGGGCTGGTGTCGACGCTGCTGCGGCTGGTGTCGCTGTGCACGCGCGTGCGGCGCTGCGTGCGCGTGCTGACGCGCGCAGACACGCGCGCGCTGCCCGTGCTGCTGCACGCGCTGCACCTCGCCGCCATCGAGGAGAAGGACATGGCGCGCGCGCAGCTTGTGTACCAACTGCTAGAGGTCAGCCATACTTATCGAACTGTAATGTCTGTGTTATATGTGATATTGTTGATCCTGGGTCATAAGATACAAAGGAGACTTTGAATTTAAAATGTTTGTAATGAAAGAGTTTACTGTGATTCTAATTTTAATGATATTTTTCTTCCTTCTTTTGCTAATGTAAACCTATAGGTAAGTTAACATTTAATAGCCAAAACGCAATAATAGAAGTAGCCGTAGTTTTCACAAGGTCTAGTCATTTCGTTGTACGTTATTTTAAACTCAAAGACAATTATCCCTTTAAACTCATATTTTGCATAAAGATGAACTACTATGTAAATGATGTAATTAAAGAAGTTTTATAATATTATGTGACCCAAAGAATGCTTGGCTTTATTATGAAACAGGCTACAATTTCAGTAACTAACAGTACTTGTTTATATATAGATAATGGAGCGCATCCTATCAGTCGCTGCAAGCGAGAGCCTCGAGTCCTTCCTACAGTTCTCACTCACTTTCGGAGGACCGGAGTACGTGCAGGCACTACTCAACTGCACCGAGTGTCCAGGTATGTTGGAATAATCACAAATGTTATCGCTTTTTAGGTTTCCCAAATAAACGAATTTAGTACAAAAATAGCTTTTCAAAATATTTTATGTAAATTTTGAACTTAAGTTAAAGAATATTGCGCATTAAGCGCAACAATGCGCAACTTATTGCGCAAAATTGATCAATGCGCAACTTATTGCGCAAAATTAATCAATGCGCAAGAATAAAATTATAGTATCCAAGCCTTGATAAAATATGTTACCATTGACAACGCTTTCGATCCAAAATTCACCTTATGGCACACACATAAAATACTTGACAACGCTTTCGATCCAAAACTCACCTTATGGCACACACATAAAATACATTTCTCTTCACACAGGAATCCGTAGCAACTCAGTGGCACTAGGCCATTTGACCCGCGTGCTAGCCGCGCTAGTGTACGGCAATGATCTCAAGATGGCGATGTTAGTGGACCATTTCAAGCCAGTATTAGACTTCGATCGCCTGGACTCCGAACAATGGACTGAGGAGGAGTTCCGTATGGAACTGTTCTGTGTGTTCTGCGCTAATATCGAGAGGAACTCCATTGGTGGAACGTTGAAGGATTATCTGATCTCGCTTGGAGTGGTTCGGGATGCGCTTGAGTATATTGTGGTGAGTAGTTGTAATTTAAGTTATAACCTGTTTTACAGCCAAATGTAAAAATGTAAACAATAATAGTATGTAATATTTACGTCACTTTTGATTATAAAACGTTCACAAAAGTGACGTCACACGATTTTTCACATTATGAAACAAAGTATTTGTTTCCGTTAGAAAATAAAAAATATGTTACTAATGTTTTAAAATAATGTACATTAAAATGAAAATGAGTCATCTACCCCATGCTATGTACGATGTGCATGTACCATTCCCGTGTCCAGAAACACGCGCCGTGTGTGAAGCCGACGTTGGTGTGCACGGACTCTGACGAGCTTAAGGAGTTCATCAGTCGTCCCGCACTCAAGTACATACTGCGCTTCCTCACGGGACTCGCCGCCGACCACGAACCTACGCAGGTAACTCATATTTATACTGTTTAATTTTTTTATGATTTATTTCGCTTTTTCTTAGTTATATTAATGATTTTGTAGAGGTTAGTGATGGTACTTCTAGTTGATATTAATCAAAACTATAGTTTGGGCTGGAATCAAAAAATACTTTCATTGATTCCATTTACATTTTTGTACTATTGTTAGTTTGAGCACAGTTGTGACGTTTTTTTAAATCAAAATACTTATTTGTATTTGACGTAAGATTTAAGTTTGTAATGAAATTAAAATAATTATTAAATTATAATTATTAGGTAGTAAAATTACATATGTTAAATAAAATATCCGAAACTATTTGAGTATTCTCGAATAATAAGACCTTGCACGCACGATAATCCAGTGATTATCGTCGTGCGTGCAAGATGTCGTTGTACAGTTACGAAAACGTAATACTTAAAAGTTTAAGTATTTCGTAATATAAACTCGCGTAGATTTTTAATATATACTAATAAATAAAAATAAACATCCAAATCAACACACAATCCTCTTTGTAGATGCTGGTATGCGAGAAAGTGATCCCGATAGTGCACCGACTGGAGCAGGTGTCGTCGGGCGAGCACGTGGGGTCGCTGGCTGAGAACTTGCTGGAGGCGCTGCGCTCGCAGCCGCAGTGCGCCGCCAAGGTGCAGCAAGTCAGGGACTTTACTAGACAGGTTCGTTACATGTTCAGTTCAATTACACATGTTTTGGGATTCAATTCTTTTTGTCTGCATGATATTGATTTCGGCCGCACTACGATAGTTACACCCCGCTGCAGTTTTTAAACTGTATAGTATTAAACTCTATGAAACTGTAAATGCGGGCGCGTATCTTCGGTTTCTTGTTTTACAAAACTATGTGATAAAAAGCTGACACAGTTCTGCTTTAGTGCCGCCGGGACCTTACTGGGTTTAAATGCTGGTACCTAAAATATTTGTACTTTTTTTGTTGTTTAAAGCGTAAAACAAAAACCTTATAATATTATGAGTTACTAATAAACAAGGATTTATACCAGTATGCGTGAATCTCATACTTATTCGTCGTTTGAGGATTCAAATGTTCCTTTTTCATCCCAAATTGCAATCAACCAATATTACTTAAATACAATCAACCAAACTAAAATAACATTTAACCTGAATAGGAAAAGAAACGCCTAGCGATGGCAGTCCGCGAGCGTCAACTAGGCGCGCTGGGCATGCGCAGCAACGAGCGCGGCCAGGTGACGGCGCAGTGCTCGCTCACGCAGCAGGTCGCTGACCTCGCCGAGGAGAACGGGGCCGTCTGCTGTATCTGCAGGGAGGGGTACAAGTACCAACCCACCAAGGTACACTATATCATTTTATATTATAACTTTCGTGAAACATTCTAAATTAATTATTATGTTTTCGGCTTACTCATGTAATTGTTTGGCGAGGAACTCGACTAGTTTCAAGCCATTTTCGAGGCTCATATTCATGAGCAGCATTCTGCGTTACACGATTATATTATTTCATTGGATTATTTGTAATATACTTTAAACTCTCTTTTTTTACTGATACTTCATTATAGTTAGTTATTCATTGCCTCAGACGGACGTATCTTCAAGATTTTGTATTTTGATTTCACTCATACATACTCATGTGTTCGAAATACATTGAAGCGAGCAATAAAATTATTGACATTATAAATTCAACCTTAACTGCACACAGCGTAAGGCTTGCATTGTTGTATTATGCTGTGGAGATAAGGTTCGATTTGTTAAGTTCGTAATTGAATTTACGCCTCGACGCTTTATATAGTTTGTGTACATCACCATCATCTTAACATCACGCCTTTTATCCCCGAAGGGGTAGGCAGAGGTGGACATTATGCCACTGTACAATGTAACACCCACTTTTCACTATTTATGTTATGAGTCCCATGTAATAGGGGGTGAGCCTATTGCCATATACCGGGCACAATTCCAGACTCCATGCTACTACTGAGATTTTTTAAAAACCCCAGTAGTACTTTGCCCGACCCGGGAATCGAACCCGAGACCCCTTGCCCGGCAGTCGCGCTTGCGACCACTCGGCCAACGAGGCAGTCGTTAACTAAAATAAACCTATCCGTTAAATTTGTTCGTGCAAATTTCTTTCAGTTAACACTGACTGATATGCAAGAGGAAGAAACACCAGGTTTCTTGTAGTAAAAAAGACTTTGGTTTTCTCGTAGATAATTATTATTTCAGTAGAAAACTTAAATAATTTTAATCTTAATATTCAACCACATAATATGTATGTCGTACCCGCTACAGGTGCTCGGTATCTACACGTTCACGAAGCGTTGTCCGGTGGAGGAGTACGAGGTGCGCGCGCGCAAGACGCTGGGCTACACCACGGTGTCGCACTACAACATCGTACACGTCGAGTGCCACATGGCCGCCGTGAGACTCGCGCGGGCCAGGTGCGGACTCTCATATTTATTAACAAATACACCTAACTATATTCATTTTTTTATTAGAATCATGGAAGCGTTGGATAGGGAAGGAGTTAACATCAATTTATATAATTTTTTTCTCAAGCATTTGCTTTATATTAGGTAAAGTCTAGTTAAGACTTACCAAGCACAGTCACATCGTTCAGAAATAATAATATAATACCTACTTATTAAGAATGCTCAGTTCTTAACCCTTTGAGTACCGTCATTATAGACACAATTAAAGAACAATAGGTTGCGGTCACCGGTGTCCTCGCAGTGTTTGACAATTTAAATGACAATATTTTCCCTCGTACAGAGACGAGTGGGAGAGCGCCGCCCTGCAGAATGCATCGACCCGCTGCAACGGCCTGCTCCCCCTGTGGGGGCCGCATGTACCCGAGCCGGCCTTCGCTAGCTGTCTCGCACGACACACCACTTACTTACAGGTATATATCATTCAAACATGATTATTGGCTATGTTCAATGTTATTAAACTAGATTTTATGAACGCTGTTGTAATTTGTGTAAATGAAAATGCAGTCAGTATACAAATGCGCATCGCCGCTGTCGGACTGGATACGGAGGTATAGTAGCAGTGCCTATTTGTATTGCGCAAAATTGCGCTATCTTTTCATATAAATGTTGTAATTTATACCTTATTACAACGTAAAAACTTTTATTTGTTAGTTGTTTTATCATGGAATTGATATTAAAACTCACTGTCCACCCAGGAATGCACGGGTCACCGCGACATAGGCCACACGTGCACGCTGCACGACCTGAAGCTATTGCTGCTCCGCTTCGCGCGCGGCCGGACCTTCCACGACGACACCGGCGGCGGCGGCCCACTGTCCAACATGCAACTAGTGCCCGCGCTTATACACATGGCGCTATATGTCATCAATACGTAAGTTGATATATTTCATTTTACCCAGGTACTAACTAGACAGCACACGAGCATGACTTGCTGCAACAAGAAATATGAGGGCATAACTACGATCATAGTTACCAAATCATTATCATCGGGGTTTAATGAATTAAAACAACGCTGACACGAGAGGTATATTTATATTAATCTACAACGAATAATGTATTGCACCAGTCATTTGCGTTATTTTGCATCCATTTTGCGCAACACTGCGCAAAATAGAATAGCGTATAAATGAGCTAAGTAGCGCATCCACTTTGCGCAAATTAGCGCATTGTCTGTGACATATGTATAGTAACGTGCCGTACGTCCCCAGGAGCCGCGTGTCTGCCCGCGAGGTGTCCGCGCTGGAGGCGGCGCTGGGCTGGGCGCCGGCGCGCCTGCTGGAGTCCGCGCACGACGCGGAGGGCCCGCTCTACTTCCTCACACTCATGCTCATGCTCTACCCACATGCTAAGTAAGATAGATACAATTTACTAATTAAAATCTATTTAATAATGTTTAACGGCTTACTCACGTCTTGTTTGGCGATATAACTAAGCAGTAATGTACGATACGACGCGTATTGCTCATGAATATGAACCAATAGCGTGGGTCGAAATTAGGTGAGTTGTCTCTCCCAATGGTTCGTGAGACACATTTAATTAATTGATTTGACACTTTTATGTCTGCCGAAAGTTATAATAAATACAGTCAATTTGAGATTGTTAAACAAGTTGTAAGTTTAAAATTTAAAGCAAGCGATTCTCAATCAGAGTACTTTTTTGTGACTGACCTAGTCATCTCAGCTTGTCAATCTGCAAAACCAACCGAACAAAATATTGTAAGTAAGATGTTATAAGTGAGAACCTGCGTGTCCGTGTAGATGGCGGTCGGTGAAGGTGGAGATGTTGAAGCGCCTGCTAGTGATCGGCCACGTGCGCGCGCTGTCCCCGGCCGGGCCCGCCCTGCGCGCGCTGCCGCCCGACCAGCGCGCGCTCCGCCAGTGGCAGGACTACAAACCTTACGCGCTCTTTGTCGCCATCATCGATCAACTGTATACTGTCATGTTCAAGGTATGCACTACTTTTAATGCCTTGTACTGTTTTGGTAAAACTGTCCAGCAACAGTCAAGAAAAACAGAATGTCTGACAAAAAAATAAGGGTTTGCAATTGCGCATGTCAAATGCAACCACATTTTGCAATGCATTTTTGCCAATTAAGTTATGAGTCTGTGTTTTCAGTCGACTTTAGACTTACGATAAGTCGATAACAATAAATAAACTGTTTTAAAAATCATCATAAGAAGTAAAATTTGTAACACACCTTTTCTTTAACAGAACGTAACCGCGACTACGGTAGACCAGTGGCCAGTGAAACTCGCCGAGTACATCCGACACAATGACGAGGCGAATGGCAAGGCGGCCGAGCGTATAGTGACGACACTGACGGATGAACTGCTGCCGTGCGCTTCGTTCGCGGAGTTCTGTGACGCGGCCGGCTTCTTGGAGGACATCCCAGAGCCCGACGCCTTCCTACAGACACTCATAGACGAGCAACCTTGAGAGTGGCCCGCGCCACCGCACTGCCTTGGTTACAACGGGTGCATGGCCATCTAACGAAAAATTTAACATTCTATAGTCCCCTAGAAAATAGCTTGTGTACTGCACATATTACTCAATGTATGCCGTAGTTTTAACGCTGTTCGTATCTCTCAAGATTGTATTCTTTGATAAATAGTGTCGTGAGATGGCACATGAAATAGTTCAGTCAACAAGGCCGTCGCATCCCTTCACTGTCGGCTCGAGGCTTCTCTTATTATCACATAATTAATCTAAAACTATGACACATGACTATGCTTCTAGTGTTCTAGTATCCTTTCTTCTTCCTGTCCTCTGCTATTACTCTGGTATTTAAATAATGTTAAATTATTCTGTATTGTATTTAAAATGTTCGTGCTTCTATTGTAATTAAAGTTTTTGGTTAACTATAATAAATTAGAATCTGCTTCAATTTTGAGTTTTATTTGATACTATCTTCTGCCAGCGGTTACGCCCGCGTTTCCATGGATTAAAAAGTCTATCCCTGTTTCACAACTGGATCCCTTCAGCCGTTTAACGTGAAGGAGTAACAAACATACAAACTTTCGCATTTATAATTTTAGAAGGATGGCGCTAAAAATTAGTTCAACACAAAAATCCCATATAGGTAATCAAAGTACTACTGCGAAGTAAAAATATATAGCGAAAAATAAAATATTTAGTTTGTTGATCAAAGTTGACCACAAACCACAATTAGTGACAAGAGCCTTAAAATGTTGGAAATCTGATAACCTCATCAAGAAACAACATAAAGCTAGTTTTACTGAAAAATTCGCGGCCGGCGAAGTAAGACGGTAAAAGGCACAGAAAAGAGGAATACTAAAACCCGATCCATGCTAGTCCCAAAGAGTATAGTAAGTATAGAGGAAGCTAGTGTACTTTCTGTCCAAAATTCGGAAAATTAAAATCCAATAGTGTTGTATCGCCGAATAACCTGCCCCACGAACTCGACGAACCAAAACCTAGACCCGAGTCGTGTCTAGTGCCACCGTACCGTACCCAGTAACGCCTATTACATAGAACGAATAAGCGGCGAACTAAGCATACATCAGGCTTGATGGAATATTTTTTCTATAATAATTGGCTTACTGACTGAACTGTAGGTACTAGGTTCAAGCCATGCTATGATGTAAGAGGCTCATATTTACTCTACTAATACTACTTATAGCAGCGCGATATAAGAATGATGTGTCTCACGCAAGTCATAACATTTTTTCATGTTTTTGTAAAATAATCTGAACATGGGATCTAAAGATGGCCGCCAGCTAGGCTACAACAACATCTTATGTCACGAGCACGAATTCTGAAGTATGTAGGTTAGTGCAGTGTACCTGTGTACCTGCCCGCCTGTCTCACGCCATGCGCTATGACAAAGCTCATCGCCCCGCCCTTGACCCCGCGCCACATTTTTAAGTTTAACTGCGACGGCACATAGCGATCACAGTCACGACACTTGCGAAACTAATTGAAGATTAGTTCATATTGTGAGATAATTGTGTTATAACGAAAATTCTATCATGAATCATGATCCACATTAAAACGGTCAAGTACGCAATGTGTCAACTTCAGGTCAAAGTCACATGTTACGGAGCTTCTACGCTCATTTGCGCTCACTAAGTACCGATGTAAATGATGTTTACAAATACGTGAACTTTACGAAATAAAGCTTAGATACCTAATAGACCTTTTCAGACTAAAAGTAACGTCAGTCTTTTATTCGCTCTAGGACCTGGGATTACTAGAGCAGAACCGAATTGCGTACTGTCAAATATCGGAAACATATAATACCTATTTATCTATACCCTATAATGAGAAAGGAGCCATTTGGAGCAATAGTTAATATAGAGTAAAAGTTGTAGGACCCAAGATGAAGAAGAAGTTATACCAGTTCGAAGATTCATCATTTTTATACATTTATTGCTTTCTAAGTGCTAGGAAATGCAAAATAAAGATCGATATTGGTAAAAAATAACCTGAGGCAAATGTGATGATAATGCGAAAAATTTTCGCAATCGTCTTTTTTTTTGTTTTATTATCTTCAACTGTGGAAGAAGATTGAGAGACGGCACTTTCAGAAATGACCCAAAATATGATCTCTTTTTCCGGCTCTAACTAGCTGTGGCTGTGACCCGTGCTATCCCACCAAAACCGCGGTTTTAGCCACGGGACCTAGTGTATCAACATCTACATTATACACACTTAGTGTACAATGAGAAATGTAAATGCACCATAATCTTAATTAGGTACATTTGTAGCAGTTCGGCAATAATGCACAACACAATGTACCTAAGTTCATTAAACTTGCATTATGCTGTTGACAGCCTAATAACATTTAGGTAATTAGTTCGCACTTTATGTGATAATGGCTTGCACTCGCCGAGAGTGCAGTCATTACGATTGCAAATGAAGTCTTAAAAGCGTTAGTTAGAAGGGGCTAAGTAAGCTTAGTGTTAATTTTAATTTATTTGTGGTATTTAGTATGTAAAGGTTAATTTAATTCTGATGTTTTAGGTATGTTGAGAACTGATATTTTATGAACAATGTAGGCTATAAATTGCTTTGTAGGTACCGTTCGTTTTCGTTAAGTCTACCTAAGAATTTCTATGAACTCATTTTTTAATCATATACTTAGTACTTACTCAGGGGCGGATCTACCTAAGGGCTTTTTGGGCCTAAGCCCAGGACCCCGGGGATACAGAGGACCCCCAGAAAATGTCAGATGTCATGTCATTATTTATAACATTACTTGTATAAAAAATAATGAAAACTCTATTTTACTAACCAAGCTATTTCGTGAGAAAAAAAAAATGCTCTTTCGTTTGATTTCCATAGTAGAGATAGTTGTAAAAAAGTAGTTTATATTATACAGTCATCAAGATTAAGAGTAAGTAATATAAGATCGATCTATCGTCAGGAAGAGTGTTTTCAATTAATAAAGACCCAAACAAACGGTAGAAGCTAAATAAACCCGTTCCATGTATTAGTTTATTACCAAATCGATACACATTAAAAAATAACGTTGCCTATCACCAGCTGCGAAGCGAAGGGCTCTTTCTCCAGGCTTTTTTTTTATAGTCGACGTCTGTGGCCACTCATGTCAGTAAGCGATGATGTGACCTACGATGGAGCACTCCTGCTCGTAAGCAACCTATGCACTCGAATCTTGAAGACACCTAGGTTCCCTTTGAGGAACACAGGTTTAGGCAACGAATTTCACTCTTTAGCGTTACCCACCATGTAGTGGCCATGGGCGTAGCCAGCTTTGGACTCAGGGTGGGGCAGCAGTCAACCTATCCCCCGGGGGAGGGCGGTGGCCATCCGATTTTTTGTACCTTGAGCCGTTAATCTCAAACTTGTTAATCTCTTAATTTGAGAGGTTTATATTTTCAGGTACAGAAAATAAACAATCACACACAGGACAGATTTTATAGTTTTATTTATGAATACTCGGTGTTTATAAATTAAAGTTATAACTAAGTATATATATGAGTAATATTACTTCAAGAGAAGACGGCGTGTGTTCTGGCAGAACCTGTTGAGCACTTCTTCTAAAAATTTATTTTTCGATTCTGAGACCCTTGTTCTGTGCACACTTAGCATACACAGGCCGCTTAAACAATTTTCGCTCATGGTTGAAGCCACGTTGAAGTGTCGTGGTGGCTCGGAGGTTTAAGACGCCTGCTTCTCATGCATGAGGGTGCGGGTTCGAAACCTACCAACGGCAAGTACCAATGTGACTTTTTCCGAGTTATATGTACTTTCTAAGAATATTTAGACACCACTGACAAACGGTGAAGGAAAACATCGTGAGGAAACCTGGGCTTATAATTTCTAATTATAAGTTTGAAATCGCCAACCCGCATTGAGCAAGCGTGGTGATTAATGCTCTAACCTTCTCCGTGTGAGAAGAGGCTTTGCTCAGCAGTGGGCATTTATAGGCTGTTGATGATGATGAAGCCACGTTTTGACCCACCGTAATGTGCTAAACGATCGTTCTATTGTACAGGTCGTACAGGGCTGGGCAAGTAATATAGCGAGCGCGGTTTTTACACTTGGATAAATTTGTTTTTTCCAAATTTTGATCACATCTACCAGTTCCATCTCCTTCAATGCATTAATGTCTTTTTATATTCCCACAAATTATATCGCTTTGGAAAGTATCACTTAATTTACAAAAATTAAAACAAAACACAAGATAGCTACTGGTAACCGCTGAGGAGTTCCCTCGACTGCCTATCGGCTCCATCATCAGATCAGCTCCAGACCTTTATCAGATTGTAGTGGTTTTAAATACTTAAAGAAAAAAATTAACAAATGCACTAGTCGCCCCTATAATTTTTAAAAGTTCCCCTCGGTTTCCCTGGGATTCAATCATCAGATCCTGACTTCATGACAATGGGACCAAATGACAAACCTACCCTTTCAATAAAAAAAAGAATTTTTGAAATCGGTCCAGGCGTCTTCGAGAAATCGAGTAACAAACATAAAAAAAAATTACAGTCGAATTGAGGACATAACAAGCAAACAATACAAATCGCGCCACGAGCCATAGAAGATTTTAGTCTGCGTTTCGCAGGGTGCGGGCGGGAATGAGTGACCGCACGGTGATGGACGGCTCGGCTCACTACGCCACAAGGCGGGACGCGTGAGGCAGCGAAGCGCTGCCTCCTCGCAAACCAGCCATCGCGAAGAACACACCGGACGTCGGGGATCGCGGGACGATATCCGGCCACCGTAAGCGCGGGCCTGCAGGCGGTGAGCACGGGTGGCTCCCCGTCCGACCAGAATCAGACCCGAGCGTACGGCGCCGAGCGTTCCGCGCGCGCCTCAAAGAGCCATCAGACCACCACAGATGGGGCCCAACAAGGTCGATGCCGATTCGGAGTCGCGGAGCCTAACGAGTAACCGGGGCTCCGGCTCGACGTGCAGGAGAAGGAACGGGGTGGTTTTTAGTCAGTAAGAGTCTGAAGAGTCTGACACTCCCTCCCGCCTCCCCCATGCGGGAGCAGTCATTCGATGATTTTCCACCCTTAAAAAAAAACGCCACATAGTACCTATTTTTTTAGGGAATACGGCTCGCTTTCAAATGACGCGCGCACCGCGCACGTTCGGGAACTCGAGCGTGCATTTTGTTTTGATCGCGCTCTTTTCAAAGTCGACAATTTTTTTTGTGCAATAACTTACGGATAGTATGATTGTTGATGTTGATAGTTAGAGTTAGTAAAAAAAACATTGTTTATTCAGACACCTTATGGGCCAGAGCCAGGGCCCAGGGTGGGGCAAGTGCCCCAACTTGCCCCAGTGTGGCTACGCCACTACTAGTGGCGCTTTACCCATTGTCTTGTGGAACGATGATGGAAGGATTAGGGGGAAGCTAAGCTGTCTAATTCCCCTGCACACTCACCAAAATTAATTAGGCGAAATATCGAAAGGCTTAAGCAGGTCGTCTAAATGCAGCAAAAAGAGTGTTGCAAAGTACTGACCTCTGAGGAACTCCGACGTTAATAGCAAATTGGTCGGACGAGTGATCATCGATGACTACTCGAATTGACCGATCTCTCAGGAAGGAAGGTGAAGCAGACAGGTTTGCCTTTTGATGAGATCATCAAAAGAGCCAGCCTTACACCGCCTGGTATCCGTCCATGCCAAGTAAATCGCGTGCTTTTTCGCCTCGAGGCATCTGCAATCGGCATCGAACCATGGACGATTACCACTGAAAGTTGCTACGCCTGAGAATAGAATGCTGCATTTCATGCCTTGATGCAACACCCCCGTTACAGCATCTATACAAGCTGACGGGTCATCAGAAGTGAAAAAATAGGCCGCAAAAAGATTGCATCCCATCCCGATCTGTTGATATGTATCGCAACATCCGCTGAGGTGCTCTGGGACTTTAACCCTAGCAAGAAATGTGTGGAGAGAGATTTTAACAGACTGTGATCAAAGATACCTAGACGTGACAAGACAGACACCGAGTAGCGGTCTGGATCAGTTGTCAGCAGAAGGTTTAAGCACTTAGCTATGAGTGTATCAACATGTGGCCTCATGGATCAGCTCAGCACAAATTTACGCATCTCCCTTGCAGCATAGTCAGTGCACTGGTATGGGAACAACCACTCCTGGTGATGAGCATTAAAGTTCCCTACTGAAACCAACTGGGCCGAATTTGGCGATGTGGTTCGGTTGCCGCCTCACCACGGTGCGCTTTACCAATTGCGCTAACCCGGTCGATTCCAAATCTTCTGATTCTTGGGTAACAGAGTAAAAATCGCTGGTAGTGGACTACCTATAAAATGGGCCCCTGAGTAGAATTAGCCCAGGGCCCCACAAAGTCACGATCCGCCCCTGTACGTAAGTACTTAATGTTACTGTTGTTTATTATTTTCTAATAGCTATTATTTTTCGATAATTTTCAGGGATGATTCGGATCAGATAATGATAATTCGGATAAGACAGTTTTATGGTTTGAATTATTTTATAATATGGGGTAGTGAGTTAGGTACTTTTAAGCCTTTTACTGCCGACAGAAAACTGCTGAATGCAAATCCTCCGCTCACCTGTGACCTACGCGGCGGTTAACGTGTTAAAGTAGGATTTTTCTCAACAGTGTGAGGATTGATGTTTAATACAATGAGTCAAATAACAACACAAGAATATAATGATGACATTTATTAAAAAAAAAATTATTTCGTGTGAGAAATTTCGATGTGAATACCCACTAGTGTTACATTAAACTCACAATATTTATATTTATAATTAATCACATAACTAGCACAGGCACACGAGTATGGACGCGCTATAACGTCCACTTAAACATACCTACTTTATTCACATAATATAAATAATCTTAATTCATATAAACTTTATTTGTATATCTATAACTTAAATTATATATCTTACTCCGACATAACGGTTTCGAATCGTAGTAGTTTTTTTTTCATATTTTTCGTAAAACAATAAACTAATATTTTGTAATTAAAACCTTTGGATTTCTCGTCGAGCATAGTGACAGACTAATAATATAGTAAACAAGTATAAGCCCATTGACAAAGTCCTTAAACAATTTGGTCCAACATTTGAACGGGTTATATCAATAAGCTAATACTAGCCTTGCGCGTACTACCACCGGAATATTATCACCAATATTAAATTCCAATACCCAATTCCATTTTTAAGGTTATTTATAGGTACCTACATAGCTTTACATACATTTCTGACAACATATTGTACTATAATTTTCAATTTTTATAATAAATTGATGACAATTTAGACTCTTATTTGGCAAATTAGTTAAGAATTGTTGTGTAGTGTACGCGCAAGGTGGAGTTAGATTAAGGCACGATGTATCGCCGGCGTGGTTCGCAGACGGTGTGTAACGCAGTCATCTAGAAGTCGTAGGAGCCGCTGTCGCCTGCCTTGCCGATGCGGAAGATGAATTTGTACACGACACCAGCGACAATACCGCCAACGATGGGGCCCACCCAGTATACCTGTAGACAAAATGATACAATTATCATTGACATCTTCTTTAATATATCTGTGGACATAATACATAAGACTACGTGGGGTAAATTCTTTAGTTACTAAAAGAGGGAGTATGGTGTGTCTGCTATCTGTAGGTCCTATATGTAGCTATAGACTACAAAAATACTTTAGTTTTTTAAGGGCGGAAAATCATCGAATGACTGCTCCCGCCTGGGTGAGGCGGGAGGGAGTGTCAGACTCTTACTGACTTAAAACCACCCCGTTCCTTTTCCTGCACGTCGAGCCGGAACCCCGTTAGCCCGTTAGGTTCTCAGCGACAAAAATACTTTTAGTTAGAATCTGTAAAACGGTTATAATATAACGCGGATAGCCTGCCTAATAAGTAAACTTTTTGAGCTTTTGTGTAGGTAGATAGAGGATCTATGACAGCAACCCGTAAGAAATTCTAATTACAGAAACTTCAACCTCTGCGTCAATATGCCTTAATTAATAAGCATTTAAACCATTAGACATTTAAAACATTCGGTAGTTTTACGGACTGTTTAGTCGAGTTTAAAAAACAACAAAGAACATCGAAGTTTCTCTCCTCGCATGACTGATGAGGTCAGACTTTCTTCTATTCGGTGCTCGTTTATTTTTATTGGGTGCTAGTAATTTTTATTAATGTATCGACAATGTACAGGTTTTTATTTAACAGTCCATCTCTATTGATTTATTACACACATTGTGGGTTGCCATAGATGTCAGTTTTTCAAATCGGTATTACCGTATAAGTTCATTAATGACGCCTAAAAGTGGTGGTCCAGGAATAATGAGAATATTCCTGGACCACCACTCATAAAAAAAGACTTATAAAATAAATAGACTTCTTTTTTAAGTGGGGAAAATCATCGAATGACTGCTCCCGCCTGGGTGAGGCGGGAGGGAGTGTCAGACTCTTACTGACTAAAAACCACCTCGGTCCTTCTCCTGCACGTCGAGCCGGAGCCCCGGTTACCCGTTAGGTTCTCCGCGACAAAATAAATTGACTTGACTACAGCTTGTTGAATCTATTAACGTCTAAATCTGATAGAAATGTGAAGAATTTCATTAACCTAGAATCTCTTGACATTCGTTTCCTAGTAAGATGGCCTACAGCGGCTAACTTTAATTCACAAGTTATTTACGTACATAGTAACAAGTTTCAAAGTCATTGTCACGCAAGTTAGCGTCACTTATACTACAACCGTGAACGAGTTAATTTGTATTACATAAATGTAGGAAGGGCAACGTAAAATATTACATAGCGAGTGTCAAGTCCGCTATTCTTTCAAATTGTTAATTTAATAAGGGGTAAGTTCGCGTCTACCGTACTGAAGCTCATCACCAATTCGGAGCCCATTATACGAATCGCCATGAATGTGAGATACTTAAAACGTGAAAAGCTCAAACAGATGTGTCCTAAATATTACTTATATGGTGATAGTTTTCTTATTTTCGGATTTTTTTAAAAGGCGTTGTGTTGTGTAGCGTGGACGCCAACCCCTGGGTGGACGCGTACAGGCGAATTCAACTTATGTAAAAGATTTCTTTTGTATCGTGACAACACTAATTGAGATATATCTAAACGCGTAAACATTAACTAGTTCCAAGTAAAGGAAATAGGCACTTATTTTAAATGAAACGAATGTGGTTATACAGTAGCCAGTGACAATCAAAACAATTTCGATTTCCCGGTACTAAACACTTATGAAATCATCTTATAACATATATTATAGCAGTACCCATTCTATAATGTCCACGTTATGTTTCTGATTCAAGTGTTCATATTATTATATGTCAGCCATCACTCACAGCTGATGGGCCCTCACTTCCTCACGTTAGGTAACCATAGCAACGTATATTTTGTTTATACCATTATATTGCTGCTATAGATAGAATCGTACGCATGTAAGGAAATTATATCTAAGTACAATGTTCACGCTTACTTTCGCTTGTGAGAAGTGTAGCGTAAAATATCATGGTGTTAAATAAGTACAGGGTATTATATAACATCGCGCTTAATGTTTTTCAAAGGGATAGATAGAGGTGTTTTAAGTAGATATAATAAACCACCCTAAGTTCAACAATTAACTAAGCTATTCTCACTATGTTGATGTATTAAAACGGCCATACCTATTTTATCGTCGTGATCTCATGATAAGTTCGTTTTCACATCTATAGATACCTACCTACGTCTTATATCTAAGAATATATCTGTGAGCTACGCATAGGACAATATAACATTCATTGAGAAATACTTAGTAGGTAATTGTCAAAGAAAATATGACATTTTGAATCAGCCAAAATATAGATAGGTACCTACTAAGAATTACATAAGAAGAGTTTGTTTGACTTGAAACTAGTCGGGTTATCCCGTAGTTAAGAGAGTTAGCCGTAAAAAGTATTTGATTTTACTTATATGTAGTTTGTATTTTATTAATTCTAACCACAATTAATTGAAATATCGATATAATGACACTAAATGTTAATTAGAAAACGGTTCAATTGTAATCTTGTAATCTTATGATGCATTAAATGCATACGTTTACAACCGTGATAATAGTGCTAAACGTTATGGTATTTTAATTTGTACGCAATAAATATTATACATAAAACTAATTTTAGGTCAATGCTAAGAGATGCATGCGTTATTGATTTGTATAGAGCTATTAAATAAGATTAGATGTTTTCTTAGAAAAAGAAGTTCGTGAGTATGGTTTCTAAGAGTTGTAACTTAACAAGCTTTAAGTTTAGTAGATATTTAGAACTGTTGAGACGACAGTTAACTACATAGTGTAAAATAAGAAATGCCGTTAAAAAATTATCGTTATCAGTTAAAGACATCTTTGAGTCTTAAGATGATCTGTGCATCTACGATTGTCTATTTGCTGTCTATTATTCTAAATTTAAATTGACATGGTTCTAAATTTTAAAAATCATAACCTTCCCGGATATACCTACGATTTAAAAAAGACAAATTCTTTAAGAAAAGTTTAAATATTTACCGACCAGTAAATAAGATCACTTTACTAATAAGATGTTATTTGCTGAATTTACTTTATGTACAATAGTATGTAATTTTCCGGCTAAGCCTTATTTGCAATCGTTGGAAAACAATTTAACTGAACGCCGTGTTAACAATACTGGCCTTGTTGTACTATTTACATATAAAACGGCCTGAACTAATAAGTACTAGCGATAGACATTATATTAGAAGAATTTATATGAATTTAAGGTGTTATCGTTAATTTTAAAATTCCATATAATTTTTTAAAAACGTAGTCATCTAAGTAACGAAAAAAAATACATGACAAAAGATCTGTATTCCAGGAAATACTCCAATCATAGAAGGATGTGGCATGTGGTATAAATATAAAAAAAAACTGGCAAAAAATAATCATATCAAAATCTGACAAAAAAGAAAAAATCATCGAATGACTGTTCCCGCTTGGGTGAGGCAGGAGGGACTGTCAGACTCTTACTGACTAAAAACCACTGCGTTCCTTCTCCTGCACGTCGAGCCGGAGCCCCGGTAACCCGTTAGGTTCTCCGCAACAATAAATGGAGACTATGACTATGATCTACAGTCATATTTATAAGGATTCACATCAAGTTATACATAACAAGAAAAAAATGGAATCATACTGTAACAATCTAACCTAACTTGGAACACAGGCTTGTTCCTAATTCAGGCTTTATTTTATTTATATAGATTTATTTTAGACTTACTTTTAATAAGATTTATTTTGTAATCTAGCTTTTAACACCAAAGAAACGTTTTATTTATTTTATATTTTAGCCTAACACTTAGAAAGAAGAAAGAAAGAAAGAAAAATCATTTATTTGGCAACTTAGGTATTATTTTTTTCAGACGAAATCGATATTTTATTACCTAGGTATTTTTAAATGGAAAATTTCGATTGTTACCCCACCACGAGGTCCGAACTGTGTATTATTTTGTAATTGCATGAATGTTAATGCAACTACATATGTATATTCAAGAGCAAGAAGGTAAAATGGCTAACTATTCAACCATCGAACCAGTCATTAATTACAATTACCTACTAATAAGCAAAGCTAGTTTCTAATTACAACTTTAAACAAACAAATCATCTTGGCCTTAAAATGTACTGACATTTAACTATACAAAACTCTATCAATCATTTATAAACAATAGTTAATTTTAAACCACTAACTAACTAACTAACTAACTGCACTTTCATTTTATCGAAAGCTTCGGAGTTAAAGCTTAACTTATTACCAACTTAGAAAGGTAGACATGTTTAATAAAACTTAATCAAGTTATAAAACGTCTTATAGTCCATGAATCATGTTATAACTTCTATATTGATCGGAAACTGGGGACTCTATAAGCAATTTTGACATTTATTGCATTGATATAAGTATGCTATTAACAAGAAAAGCGATTTTGCAATACCGTTCGTCTGTTTATTGCAGTAATTTATGTCTTATGTAGAATGCAATAAAAGTTAAAATTGGCTGTAATGTAAATAGGATGTGTATGTGTGTGAATAGCACTTTATCGGATGTGAACTTGTTTCGTAGGATGTAGCCGGCGCCTGCGCAGACGAAAGTGTACTCAATAGATACTTATATCATCATTATCTGTAATTCAGTTAGTTGTAAATGTCAAAGAAAGTTTTGGGACTTCCCCAATAGGTAGGTTCTTTCGTTTTCGTCACGTAGTTTCGATTTAAGGATAAAAGACATGGGACCTATTTTTCATGGGAATATAAGAATTAAACGAAGTGTAAACTTACCCAGTGTGAGGTCCAGGCTCCCATGATGAGGGCAGGGCCGAAGGAACGAGCGGGGTTCATGCTGGAGCCGGTGAATGGAATCTGTAGAAAAATGCGTAGCATTAATAAATATAGTAAGTATATAATTATCAATAATAAATGTATAAATACTGATAAATAGGTATCTTTTAAGTGACTTCAAAAAAGGAGGCTCTCAGTTCAACCTGTATATGTTCGTGCGCGATTGGATGATCAGATTTTGATGCGATTTTAGAAAATTGTTTGTTACACTTAGGAGAAGGTTTTCGTATTAATTAACCAAGAAGAACTGAAGTCGTTTTTTTAATGTAAATTATAAAGAATTATTTTCTTCGCAGATAGCCGGATAGGAAAGACTTTTTTGAGCCATATTAAGACATCTCTATATTTGGTACTAGAGAAAACATCCCCCATCTAGGCATCTAGGTACTAGTTATGTCCAAAGGGTGCACTTAATAGTCTTCTACTGAAAATGGCATGTAAAAAGTAAAGCTTAGAATACTAACGCAAGCTGCATGGCAGGCGGTGATGCTGAGACCGATGGCGAGGGGCGCGGATCCCTTGATGTCGTTGCGGCGCGCGTCACACACACCGTGCACAACCATTACTAGCAGGAATGTGATCAACGCTTCGATGAGGACACCCTGCGGACGAAATACAATATTATTTGTTATGCTAATGTCTTCCTTTGTATGGGACAATCAACACGACAAATCATCAAAATCAACAAAATTTTGTACGTACCTATTTGATAGGTTACATTTTGTTAAAAGGTATAATGGGTAAATTATTATGTTTTCGGCTTAATCACGTAGTAATTTGACGAGGAACTCGACTAGTTTCAAGCCATGCTAGAGGCTCATATTCATGAGCAGCATTTCGCGACCCGCGACGCGGCGACTGTCGCGCTGCTACTGCTACATGTACATATATGAGCCTCTAGCATGGCTTGAAACTAGTCGAGTTGCTCGTCAAATTACTACGTGAGTAAGCCGAAAACATAATAATTTATTGAGCATGTCTCATGAAAGTTACAATATAAGGTATAATGGGGTTGGCATATCACAGATAAAAATCCCTTGATAAAAAACAGATTAAAAAAATCTTTTACCTGATAATTTTGTAATATAATGAAATCCCTTAATATCAGTGCTAAGCATAACTTACATTTACTGGTCTCCAAAGTCAACGTAAAAAGAAATCAGACACGAAAATAATTGTCAGTAAAGAAGAAACAATCCCAAACCTAGGAACTTAATTAGTTTTAAAATAAATAGATATCTCATCACTTGAATTAATGAAACAAGATCTCACCTGTCCTTCAGTAACGTTGGGTCCAAGTGTCGTCATACCGAACCCACCGACCTGTGCCTCGGGTATCGCCAACTGCAACACAATTAATTAATTAATTCTTCCAATTTAATTGCCGATTAAACACTCATTTACATAAAAAGCGGCGCCTCTCGATGTCACGATATAATTTAAAACCGTCATAAGAACGAACTACTCGGAAATTTCATTAGATTAAAATAGATAAATAAAACTTAAGTACCTATCTAATGTTGTCGTTGTCAACGGGAACATATGCATTTTTATTGACCATTAAAAGTAACTGTAGTATGCTACGATTGCTTAAAAGTTAGTTTGTCATCTAGTAGACAGGTTAACTGCAACATTCTTGATACGCACTTGACCAGGTTTTCAAAGGTCTTCCATCTGGTTCACCCTTTAACTCCATATCGCGTATTCAGTATGAATCTAGTGCATTTTTATTTACGTTGTTTAAAAATAGCAATATTCTTTATGCATACAATTAAATTGAATGTTTCGATTCTATATCTGTATTCACGAGAAAATACTAGCATAAGAAAATGTAATGAAAATATACATAATTACTTCAACTGCTAATTAAAAGTCGTGTAAGTCGTGATCATCCTTGCTTGCTCATTAGAGTGAGTGTCAGTGAAATGTCACAGGAAGGCCGTTATAGTGTGAACGGATTTAACCACTTACATAAGTAATAAACTATATTGAGGTTTTTTAAAACTCAGTAGTACTTTGCCCGACCCGGGAATCGAGCCCGACACCTCTTGCCCGGCAGTCGCACTTGCGACCACTCGGCCAACGAGGCAGTCTAAGTTAAGCAGTCAGTTTAAGTAAGTAAACTTAAAGCATGATAAGAAAATTCATTGGTAGTAGCGCTGGTGTCGTTTTAGAGGTAAATTTTTTATATTTTTTTAGTTCCCTTCAAATCCACATTATGGCTATTTGGTATTTGTCATTATGAAGAACCATAAGTACTTTAGTGTTACTAGACACCTCACAGACAGGCGGTTATCGAACATCTTTTGTACGTACCATTTAAATAAAGTAATTATGTACTTGTAATTGCAAAATCTTCCTGTCAAGTGATGCAAACTAACCTTCGTTTTGATCCCTCAATTTTGATATTGTTTTTATTGCAATCTCTAGCGAATGTGATATATGACCTATTCAATTTAAGTACTTTTTGTGTACATTCATTATGATGGTATTGTATGATGGGTATTATAAAAATCCAGCGTCAATGTCGTAAAGTAAATCGCTGAATTAAGAACTAACTTGAAGTATATCGCCATATATCAAACTCATGACCTTTTCGAGTACTCATATCCGAAAAGCTTTATAGCAACGTTCAATTAGTTCCACGATTACACTGAAGGTCGCTCCACTTGTTTCTTTATTCTAAGATCATCAGTGTCACGGTGAACGAGACAGTTTTTTACTAAGCGTTCATATAAGGCGATTAGAATGTCGGTACGATGACTAGTATATGTGTAATTACGAGAAATTGTTTGTTTATCTGTTTGTTTGCTGTTTGGATAAGTTCTAGACGGACTGATTGATAACTTCTCATTACATTTCGGGAATAGAAAACGATGGCATCAAAGCTCTAAAGCTTTTTTATTATTATGAAATGCGAAGTAACAAATGATTAACACAACCTCCTCAGTAACTTTAATCGCTACACAAAAAGCCGTAAGTTTGAAAGAAATAGACAGCATAACACCTTGATTCGAACCTCTTTACAAGGATAAGTTACACAGGTTTGCTCACAAAGTTCACCCAGATGATCAACCAAGATAAACCAAACCATAGAAATCAATCAAAAATCTCATTTTATGGACAGACATATGTTGACCTGTGTACGTCGTACCTTCGTACTTGAAAACTAGCATCATCATATCAAAAAAATCAGCGTAACGTTCGATCAAAGTTTAAATAGACATATAACCTTGTATTAACTGTAACTCATTATAGGAATATTCAATTAAAATGTAACTCGACTTCATTAACGGATTACTTGTCAAATATTCATACAGTTCATTGCTAATACACGATGTATGTTACCTAATTGTAGATGTATTTATTATTAAGATCTAAATCGAATCATGCACATCATGATCGCTACCTAATTAACTCATTACAGTCAAGAACTTTTGGTTCTGAGTTTAATAGAATTATTAATTTAGTTACTTCATTATTATGTTTGCATGTGGAATTAATAAGTAGGTATCTATTTAGGTTGTTCGTGTTCGGGTTTTAGGTGATCTAAAGTATGTACATCACATGAATCTTGGATCAGATTTTATTAAAGATATTTTCGTTCAAGATGCTTTGTATTACCTATAAACACAGGTCTTCTGTATTCTTATTTTGTGTGTAGGCGCATCTACACTCTAATTTGTTAGTATACTATACAAATGTAAAGTTATAGTAGACTTTATATATCCAATAAAAGCTACTTTTAATACTACACTAATCAGGCTAGTTTTCTAAAATCACATAAATTCCCATTAACTGTGATAATTACTAAAGTACTCGGACTAATATAACCTGCATTTGAAATATATAATTTTCCATGTTCATAAACCACTTACCCTGATGAACGCAGCTCCGGCAATAGCACCGAGGGTTTGGACGATGATGTAGCAGATTGCCTTCAGGACCTTGATCTCACCAGACGCGAACAGACCTAGCGTCACCGCGGGGTTAATGTGACCTCCCGACACATGGCCGATAGCCTGAGGACAAAAATAAGTCATATTTAATAAAAAAAAACATATCAACATAATATTTTATTACTTTATAATGATGTATAAAGTAATGTTAGCATTTCCTTAATTAAATTCAATTAAGACAAACAAAATTTATTCTATCACCACTTTTTACTTTTACCGCCTAAAAAGTAATTATATAGAATGCGCACAGATGATAAATATTTCTTTTTGATATAAAGGGCTATTCGAAATTCAAACAAATAGTTGGAATAATAGTTTTTTTTTTACCAGCAGCCAGATTTTTTTTTGTTGTTGTGTGAAGCAAAAGAAACACTAGTTCTGCCTACTTTTTTGTTTAATTTATAAATGACATACAAATTTAATTTGATATATTTGCACCTTTTATGTAGCTTCTTTATTGAAAAAGGACGCCAACCTTTATTAAATGATATGATATTTGTTAAATCGCATATCAAAATGATCTAGTATCGACACTAACCCTTTAATGAATATGTATTACCGGCGTACGACAGGTATATTAGCTAATATAATTTACAGCTCACGCGCTGATCTTTGATATAATTTAAACTTCAAAGGGCAAATCCACGTACATATATGGGTAAAATGTTACCAAGTAAAAAAATAATAGAGGATACATCTTTAATATTAAAAATAAATCTTTATAAAATTAATGAACTTATTGATTAGCCGTTATTTTTGTCTAAGAAAGAGTAAAAGAGAAGCTAAGCTCATGAACTAACAAAGGTCTTTAAAAATTGTACCCCAAATATAAGGAGCGTTTATCAGCATTTTCAGTACAAAAATATGACATACTTATATTAATTTTCCATGTGACGTTAAACAGACGTATCACCCAACTAAACATACTATCGTATTATAAATCTCAATTTATCTGCAGTAACGAACTTAAATTGTAATTGGATGTATTGCCTGGTAATCGGCGAACATCTGAGCACTGTGAAGTGGCTTTATTGTTTTATAATTGTGCCTTTATACTGTCATTAGATCGTTGCCATGTTGCGATGTAGATTGCGTCTGCTTTATCACGCTTTTCGGATATTCAGCCTTTGGTATTTTGGTTCGGTATTCCTTGATCTTATAAAGTTTTCGAAGCGATTGGAAGATACGCATAACATAACATCACGCCTTTTATCTTCGAAGGGGTAGCCAGAGGCGCACATTGTGGTATAATGTGTACAATGTAACACCCACTTTTCACTATTTATGTTATGAGTCCCATGTAATAGGGGGTGAGCCTATTGCCATATACCGGGCACAGTTCCAGACTCCGTGCTACTACTGAGATTTTTTTTAAAACCCAATAATACTTTGCCCGGCCCGGGAATCGAGCCCGAGACCCCTTGTCCGGCAGTCGCACTTGCAACCACTCGGCCAACGAGAAGATACGCACTTTTCAATCGACGTCAATAGGTACTTTTTTTAAGTCTATTTAGTAAAGACACGGTGAAAGAAATCCAATACTTTAGTACTACAGGATGGTTTACTTTTAGTTAGCAATAAGTAGGTACTTCATTTTTTTTAAATTTTTTAATCAACAAACAAACACACGTCTACTTCTATCTCTGATACTACGTAGGTCTTGACAACATAATTTATAGGTATGACAAAAACATCACTCGACACACTAGGTAGTAGGTACAGTTCTCATCATTCATAATAAATTGCTAGTTTATCTCATTCGTGAGCTAATCGTTGAGCATCAAACGGTTTAATACCAAAGTCGTTAATACCCTCGCGTGAGGGAGCCCACACTGAATCATCCGTTGCACTATGACGTCACAGGTCAACTCTATATATTTATTGGCAATTAACATTTTTACACACACATTATGTCATAAGTGCGCATTCTATGTAGGTCAGGGTAATACGAGAATTCAATTAGTGCAATTAACTTAATTTTTTGCAAATATAGGTATCGCTTCTTCTATACGAAGTTTGTGCGAAGGTCTATAGTTGTTTATCTATTTATTCCACATTTTAAATATTTTTTGTAATAGGACTTGATGTTTTTGGTTTAGTTTTGACTAAGACTATTATTATATTATGTAGGTTCTATCGATAGCAATAAAGCTTGATTGAGACCGAGTGCGTTGGCGACCATTTCGGAAACGGTTGACATAATATGTACCTACTTATTTCAGAAAAAATAAAGTATTTTTTTAAGGAGGAAAAATCATCGAATTACTGCTCCCGCCTTACCTTAACTGGGTGAGGCGGGAGGGAGTGTCAGACTCTTACTGACTAAAAACCGAGCTCGAGGTTCTCCGCGACATATATAAAGTATGGCTCATTATTTAAGTCTAATCTAAAACAATGTAAACTATAAATACCAGAATCCAAAACAATGGATTTTACCAGTGTAATAAGAAGATTTATGTGACTAAAACATATGTCACTATTTCCAAAACATACAGTTATAAGGAATTGTTCTGTAATTATGAGTAAAGTAAGGAGGTATTTGCAGTATATAAACTGCAATGGTTTATAGTTCCCACGCAAGTTATGGGTTAACTGAGGACAATGGGTTGTTATAGTCTTATAGTGCAGATGGGCAATTAGGTAATCCATGGCATGAGCTGGCGAGGTGACGCGGGGAGGAACTATTCATCTTTATAGGTACTTCTATGTGTAGGCGAGTTGAATTTCAAAGTAGCCGATCATTGAAGTACCGACATTTAAACGAATTGAAGGGCAGAAATTAAGGTGACTGCATGGTGGCTGGCCAACTGGCTGCCGCGCAACGTGTCGGGGGTTCGATGCCCGCACGGAACAATTCTTTGCGTGATCCACAGATTGTTGTTTCCGGTCTGGGGGTCATATGTATGTGTACTTGTATGTTTGTAAACGCAACGACGACACAGGAGAAAATCCTAATGTGGGGCAAGGTTTTATTTAAAAAAAAATTAAGTCAGTCTCTTCTCATACTTTGCATTAGTAGCTCAAAAAGTTGTGTATGTACAGCTTAGTATGCTTGAAAAGTTAATAATACTTATTAGAAAAGAGATTCTCAAGTAAAAGTGAATTAAAAGAGATAAGATTCTCCACGAACAAACTCGAAAACGACAACCATACCAGACGACGAACCGATACATTTAATAAAAATGTAAAATATGATGTAATCAACATTGAACTGTCGTGTACAGGTTATGAATTTATTGCTTAAAATAATTCGACAATAATCGAACCACACGTTCAATTTAATTTTACCAAGTTCACTGTAGTATGCTAATGTAGCAGCATGGCGGCCTTGACTTTGACAAAATATATTCTAAATTTTATAAATAAAATATTAAATGGCCGATATGATTCATAAAAAACCTTGAACGAGAATTAATTAGTGTAAACCGGTCAATTAAATCGAACACCCATCGTTTAGTTTTGGTATAGTCGAATGTATGAAAAAAGTAGTTTATAGACATTTTAAGTGGCTGCTTAAGTAGTAATTTATCTGTGTATGTTTTTTCAAAATCGTGTTTGATCGGTAGTAAAAATAACACGTATTTAGTAAAACTGGCGTCTTGACGCTCCGTTTATGCATTATTTTAATTGTATTCCATTTTTTATAACATTTTGTTTCTACGCATCGTCTTCATCAATTTTTACAAAATCTAACGATATGAATACATATGAAATCTTAGTTATTAACGCAGTACGTACCTATTTTCTAGTCTAGATCTTTAAGTAACTATTTTGAAATTATATGTTTGCCGTGGTGCCGCCAAAAGGTGTTTCTAATCATAATTTTATCTTATACAATTTTACTTTAAAAAACGTATATTTTTTAATTTGGGTTTTAATTGCAAATCGTCTATCCTTATCTGTATCTGATTTAATATTTTCGTATCACAAATTAATTCTATGTAACCAGCTGTCACACTTTTCCTGATAATCAAGTCTCTAACGATTTGTTAATTGCTTTTATATCGTTATAGGCCAGATGCGAACAAAATACACGTATTTAATATTATGTAAATATATGTTAAACTAATATATTTCCCGACTGCTTTGACGAATGTGTGTAATAAAGAAAATTATAAATTCTGCCGCTTGATTAAACATTGTAAATGCGAATAAAATGGTGTTTACGACTGCGGTTGGGACGTCTTCATTTCATGTTTTTTATGTAGACTTTGAGCTTTATTGGTTTTGTAATAATGTCAAATAATAATAATGAAGAAAGTAAAGAAGAGTAATTACTTAGATAATATACTATTCTAGAACCAAATCATTACAATAACGACTATCGGAAACCAAAAAGACGTTTTCTTTTCAAATGTATTTTCAGTTTTAGTGACTGTAAACTGTAAGTGCTGCTTATATTAGAAACAGACACCTAGTGACAGTAAAGATATTTTTATTTCATTATCATCATCAACAACAGCCGCAGTAAGTCTACTGCCATAGCCCATAAACCCACGCTTGTCAGGCTGCTTGGAGTTCGTAGCTATTCATCGAAATCTTGGAATATGGTATGAGCTCTTCAAATGTATAGAACATATTTAATGAGACACAAGAAAGGCAATCCTTACTAATATTATAAATCGGAAAGTGCGTTTTTGTTTGTTTGTTCCGCTTTCACGCCAGAACTACTAAACCGATTGCTTTGAATTTTTACAGACATAAAGTTAGAAGTCCGGATTAAATAATAGGGTACTTTTTATCCTGGAAAACAAAAGTATTGGTATAGATGGCGCTGTGTGTATTGGTATATGTCACATAGGCTACTCTTTATCCTTTTGTGACGCGAGCGAAGCCGCGGGTAAAAGCTAATAGGTAAATAAATCAATGCATAAGTTATTATTATGTTTGATAATTGTAATTGTTTGATGAGGAACTCAGTAGCAGCACGACAGTCGCCGTGTCGCGGGTCGCGGAATGCTGCTCACGAATATGAGCCTCTAGCATGACTTTCGACTAGTAGAATTCCTCATCAAGTAAATACGTAAGTCGAAAGCATAATAATTAATTTAGTATGTCTCACG